GACTTGCGTAATATTATTCTGGATTTATAAAAATTTGACTATTTGTAAAAAAATTTAGGTATATTGAAAAAAATTCATGTATATTGAATTATTGAATGTGATTACAATTTTTTTATTCTCCTCAATAAATTCATTCAAAAGACAAATTTAATTAGTTGTTTATTCATAAGTATATTTTCTTAATTTGAAATTATAAAAAAAATATCTCAGGAAGAAAGAAGAAAAAAGAACGGAAATTAAGATCCCAATACAACGATTTGCTGACTCTATTTAAAAAATTAATTTCAAAAATATTCTTTTAAAACGATGAATATTTTTTTTAAAAAAATATAGTTATATAAATGACATCGGGAAATATTATAAGAATACTTTATTAAGTCATCGAAATATCATGCATTTGTTAGAGTTCCTTGGAAGTAACAAACCATAATTTTTAATGTCATTTCATTTCGAATTTTTCTTCCAGCACGTTAAATCAAGCAACATATATATTGATTGCTCTATTTAGGGCACACAAAATTCCATAACAACAATTGAAGCGATTATATCGATATTTTATGAACTACGAGTTGAAAAGTTGATTTTGACTCCTATCGACTTGATCGAAGTATAGTATCTTGTATTGAAGTTACTCAATATTCAGCAAAAGTCACAATTATCTTATAATTTGTATCTTTTTGATACTTTTAATCTGTATCGAAGATATATTTTTTTTGTATCTAGATAATTTTTTATAGGTTTTGCACCACTTTGTAGAAAATAATTTCCCCAGGTTTATTTAAACCAAATTCGAAATATTGCTGCTATAATAAGTATAGCCTAACTTTAACAATCACTGCCAAACATAGCCTTTCAAAATTAAATTCATCATAAATTTATCCTATGCCTCAATCTCATACATAGCTGATTAGCATAAAGCTTACTATCGTCCAAACCGTCCAAACCTTTCTAAGTCAATGATGCTGAAACCCTCTGAAATGGGACTCCCTAAGTTTAATTGCGCCCAATTCTTCTGATTTTACTCCCACATCCTGACAGTAAATCTACTCTAAATTTTAATCGATGCCTATATATCGACAAAATAATTGATGGGATATTTTTTCATTTCAAAATTTTAAAAAATATGTATAAAAATTTTTACAAATATTTTCTTCGAGGTGTTTTGTTTAGTTCATCGAATAATTCAAATCCAGTAAAATTTTATTCTTATATTCTTATTTGATTTTAATATATTAAAATAGATTGAAAAATAAATTTGGAAAATAAATTTGGAAAATTATAGTGGCTACTTAGAATTATCTTCCTCATTTATTCTATTTATTAATAGTATATTTTTTTGCAATTTATATAAATTGTAGTTTATATATTTTTTTAAATAAAGATAAATATTAGACTTTACGTCATTTTTTTAAAAAAAATAAAGTCGAACCAAATATATTTTTTTTTAAGAATCAATTAAATATCAAAAAAAAATTATCCTTAAATTTAAAACGATACAATTAATATCTAATTTTCTTTTTATTTATCTTTAAAGGCAAGATCATGGGATTAAATAAATTTCTGCTTTACACAATGATAATAGGTTTGATTCTCATTTACAATCATTTTTTAATCAAAATCCACAAAACTTTTACAGGTAAAATATAATATGTATAGAAATATTTAAAAAATTTGGGGTTGTAAGCACATTATCTCTTGGGTTGATATAGTGTGCACCTATCATTAATGTAGAAGGTATATATATTAAATGTGTAATAGATCTAACTTTCTAGCAAAATTTATATTCCACGTGTGCCGTGCACTAATGGTGACATTTTTTTCTTTAAATTTGGGTTTCTAGTTTGAGAAAACTAATAGCCGATAAGATTAATCTCGAATTCGCGGGCGAAATTACAGAAATATGCATATTGTTTACTTCATCGCGAATTCGGACTAATTGTGAATGAGTGATTAGTTGCCAGTTGTCACATTATTATATATACCCGAACTTAAAGATTTACGTATTTTGCATAACTCTCCTAATTCCCGAATTGTACGCACAGATAATGCTAAAAAAAATGTAAAGCTAATCCTTCTCTTTTTTTAAATTTTTTTTTTGAAATAAAACAATACCACTTTAAAAATTTATATGGCCTTTATATCCTTTGAATAAATATTAATGTGGTTATATCTAGAATCTTTAAAGTCCTTAAATGAGAGCATTGGCGTAGACAAGGAAGTTATGGGACCAACACCCCCCCCCCTCCCATTCCCACACGTTATTCTTAGGTAAAATTTTGTGTTTTCATACTACCTTTTATAGTGATATCTAGAGAAAAATTTGCTTTTATTTTTTTAATAGATAAAATCTTTTCTTGATTTTATATTTCTATAAAATCATCCCAGAAATTTCTTCTTCTATCTAAAAAGGCGCTTCAAAAAATATAAATGAATAAACAATAAATTTTTTATTCAAATTTTTATATAGAAAAAATTTGTTATAAATTATTTAATAAAAATTTTAAAAAACAGGTTACTCCCCAAAGACGTTAAATTCCTAAGGAATGGACGTTTGACCTTTTCTATTTTCAAGTATACTGTAAACGCATATAGTATTAGTATTACTTTACTAAACAACTTAGCTCTTGGGTTAGTGATGCAAAATCGCTTCATTGGAACCGATTTTAAAAACGGCTAACTCAGTATTATATGCAGAAAAATATTAGCTAGCCTGAAGGTTTATAGATGGCACAAAGGTTTGGAAATCTATTAGCAAAATCTCTAGGCTTATGCAATATTTTTCTGTCTAAAACATTGAGTTAGCCATTTTTAAAAATCGGCCCAAATGAAGCCATTTTGGAATTGATATCAAATTTTTGGAAATATGACTCAATTCAAAATATAATGAGATTTTTTAATTTCTAAAAACCGAAAGGAACAATAATGTTCTATAAAGATCATATAATCATAAAGATTATAGAATCAAAGTAACCGTAATGTATTTAGGCCTATCTAATTTCTGGTAATTTAAAATCCGATATTTGAGATTTATTTAAATGCACGCTGTTATAGTATTTGTTTTATTTACAACTGGGTTCTGTTTATTTACTAGAATGGATTGATGAAAGTAAGTAGTAATCAATTACATATTGGGGCAACTAGACAACGCCTCTGTAATTTCAGTTATAGCAAGATGCCAATTTCTCATTTTGCTGCGTTTTTTTACTATCTTCCAAACTGGTTGTAGCACAAAAATGTGCTAAATACTCACTATCAGAGCTAATGCTCAAGCTGCTTGGCTGACTACACTCAAAGTGTGCTATCATAATTTTTATTTGATTTGTAATTCGTTAACACTTTTTGTGGATGGCGAAATAGATTGAAGAATTAATAAGTAAGACATTAAATATTAGCGCAAAAATATTAAGAACTTCATTTTTCGTTCTGATTTGAGGCTAATTTTGAGCATTTTTCCCTATTTACCAATAAACCTTTCCAAATTAAACTATCTACCAAGCAGAATAAAGCAATAAAATTTACTAATAAAGCACTACTTAACAGTTTGGTATAAGTTTCAGAATATGGTTGGCTAAAACTGCTTGAAGGATCAAAAAGTACTAGTCAGATTTGCGCAAATTATATTTAGTTCTTCTATATTTTTTATTCTGGCATGATGAAAATTTTTGAAATTTATTCTTACTTTGCTAATAGTAATAAAAAAAATTTTTAAATACTGTCTATCAAACGGATTCAAATAATAAGCAATTGAGTTAGGATTAATACTTTCAATTGTTCAACCAAAGAAGGGAGATATTACAAAGATATTATTTATTTAAAAAAGCAAAATATAAAATATCTAATCAAAATTTTCAGAGGTCGAAAATGGAAGTTTAACGGCGAGACCCCAAAAAAATTACTTACAACCCTCCCCTTATATACTGGCTAAGTCACTGATTGATAGAATATATATCAGTCTATAAAACATTAAAAATTTCGAGCATATAACCTCATATGATTGAGACGCAATTTAAAATAATCAATTTTTCGATGGCAAACGGTCATTTGAACATAAATTAAAAACATGAAAAACATAAACCTTGAATTTTACTGATGAAAATTGACAATTAATTTATGGGTAGGAATAACCGTAAATTACTATAAAATCTAAACAATATAGACAGATATAATAAGAGTATTTTATGGCACAAAGCATGTTACCTTTCCGATCACTTGTATTAAATCCTATCTTCTCCCTCCTTGTTATACTGAAATTTTGGCTACACGTAAATGTATGCATTTTTTTTCCGTTTTTCAATATAATATTACTCATTTTATTTTATTCAATTTATTTTTGTATTTTCTCTCAATTCTCCCCTGACCGTAATGACTCATTTAAATTTTTTCGGCAGCTTTTCTTTGCTATCTAGAAACCTGGGAACAATTTAATCGGTAAGTTTTAGCTCATATAATATATTGTATTATGAGAGGTTTTGCAAAATATGGTTTATTTTTAGTTCAAAACAAAAAAACTCCAAAATATTTATTTAAGGTTATGGATAAAAAAATTGCTCTTTGCCAATACCCCAACTTTGGGCCTATAGAATTATTATATCCTCTCTTAAACTAAGGTAATTATTGCCCTTTAAACATAATGAATTTTGTTTAAAAAACTCAAAAAGGAAAGCTTCCAAAATAGGAATTGGGGGGGGGCTGACCTAACTATCATATTTTAATTACTAAATAAAATATATGGTAAAATGGGTAAAGGTCCTATATGGGCGCTAGGATTAGTCTATATGAAATTATTAAGGTTAGATTTATATAGGAGCCCGAGGCACTATCTATTTAATTAATAATAATAATGATTATAGATGAGCTAGTACTCTTTTTTTAGTCCCTTATCTTCCAAAAATTGTTGATAACCTAGTGTTTGAATTAACTTCAAAACGAGTTCTAATAATTGACTTAACTAAGAAATAAAGCATATAAGGTTAAAATACTATTAAACTCTTCTACAACGAATGCATTTAGATTCGGTCAATGCCCTAGATGAAATAACGGAGAATTACTCTTTACCCATTATATATATAATTACTCCTACGGCAAACCATATCACGCAAAGAGCTCACCTTACTAGAATAGCTCAAACTCTGGCTTTAGTGCCTAATGTGAGATGGATCGTTGTAGAAGATACGAATGAACCTTCATCCAAAGTGGAAAATATTTTGAGAAATTCTCGACATCCTTATGCCCATTTGTGGATTCACAAGGAATATGTAATTATTTTGATTTACTTAATCTGATCACTTATATCCTTTTTTATTTTCATCTATGTTTAATTAGGGTAAGGAAGCTATTCTAATAAAATATATATTACGTATTTTAAGATACCTTTTTTACCATATCTTATTGATCCATTCACATCATTCTCATGAAATGGATCGTAAATATATTTTATTCCCTAGGCTGTAATCATATATGAATTATATATTTATAAAATTTAAATAGAAAAGTTCTCTACTAAGTCCTAATTAAGAACTCTTTAAATAAATATTATATCTGTAAAATAAAAAGAATGAAAGCGTCGGCCATTACAGAGGGTCCGTACAAAGAAACCTAGGTATAGCATGGTTGAGAAATGCATTTTATACCGGTCAGTTGTCGATATCGACCATTTATTCAAAGTCAATATCAATGAATGATGGTTTGAACTCAACATCCCCAGCTTTTTACACCCAAATGGCATCAAATTTTGAATACATGTATCGCAAATCTACTAATCCTTTCAATCTTAATAACCCAAAATATTTAGGCAATACTAATGTATGGCAAGATAATCTGGGTAATAAGAATGGGGTAGTTTATTTTGCAGATGATGACAATACATATGATCTGGACATATTCAATCAAGTTTGTTTTTTTTTAATAGAGAAATATAAAAGAAAGAAAGAAAATAATACTTATTTAAAATCATTCTAAGTGAAATAATGCTTTCAATTTTTAGTTTTCAAAAAAAAATAGGAAATAGTATTTCAAAATAAATGCCAATTTATTCAAGTTATAACAGATGATATTTGCATTATTTCGAGCTTAGATGAGAGATATAAAGAAGGTCGGGGTGTGGCCAGTCGCATTGTGTGGTGGAGTGTACGCTGAAAAACCTCTAGTGAAGGAAGGAAAGGTGACTGGTTGGTTAGTGGCTTACGCGAAGGAAAGACCTATAGCCACAGATATGGCTGGATTTGCTGTCAATCTCAAATTGTTGTTGCGAAATAAAGATGTTTACTTCATCGAATTGCATGAGTCTGGTTTAAAAAACTTTACATTTTATATATTAAAGAACCTGAAAGAAAGAAAATTATATATTATTTATTATAATTTGCCTAGGATCGCTCGAAAGTAATTTTGTAGAAAGATTAGTGGATATTCAAGATTTGGAACCGCTGGCGGACAATTGTACTAAGGTTATATTCTGATATAAATTACGATTTTTAAACAAAAAAAATGTATATAATTTCATAAAATACGTTTTTTCCTATTACTCCATAAATTAAATTTAAAATTATGACCGTTAATTTTTTTAAAAGACATTAATCCTATTTGTATAAAATTTTGCAGATTATTATAAAAAGGAAATAAGAATTGTATTTTGAATTGGTGTAATATTCGTCTCTCAGAAAATTAGCCCCCGGAAAAATATTTTTAGTAAAAATTCTAGGAAAACCCTCCTAGAAAAAAATACCAAAGCACTAATTAATAATTTCCACTAAAAAATTAATTAATTAAATATAAATTATTGTTTAAAATGGAAATAGAAATATTGGAATCAAATAAAAATAGGAAATAAAACAAGATTTTTTTAAAAAAGCAAACAATAAAACCTCGATTGCCAAAACTGTAAGTCATTAAAGTTAGCTCGTAAAGACGACAGGCGCGTACGCAGGAATTTGCTGTGGGGGGGGGGGGGGGGATAATTAAAAATTTTTTAAATAAATTTTTGTTATTTAAAATTATGAAGCATAAATTTATTAGGACTAATAACTATTTCTAATACACAATTTTAAATTAATGTGAATTTTAAAAATTAAATATATAAACCGGCATATGAAAAACTTTAAAATATATAAACCGGTACATAAAAAACTTTAAAATATAAAAACCACCGGCATATAAAAAACTTTAAAATATATAAATAGGCATATAAAAAACTTTAAAATATATAAACCGGCATATAAAAAACTTTAAAATAAATGTGAATTAAAAAAATATTAAACGGATATAACTGGCGGCATATGAATAACTATAAAATAAATGTAGAAATTTTTTGTGCCTTTAAAATTTATATATAAAGTATAAAAAATATAAATAAGTTTATTAGGTATTATTGTATTATGTGAATGAACTATTTTTAATTCATAGAGCAGCACTTAGCAACTGCTCCCAACCTTTTTTGGATCCCAAAAAAATGCTATGGATGCTTTGCATCAATTCAAACATATTTTAGATTTTTTTTTAATAAATGCCTGAAGCCCATTGAATTGCCCACTCATTGCACGAGCTCCATCATACACTTGCCCACGTATCAAATTTATATTAAGCTATATTTTTGAAAAAAATAATTTAATAATGTGAATAATTATTACTTTGAATTTTTCAAGATTGTTAAATATTACATCAGCTAAGGCCCAGTCATGCTTGAAACTGGGATAAATTGAAGAAACATCTCTTTTATAATGTTATTTGAGTGTCTATATATCGTGCGCAAAGTGACATCTGCTCAATGCCAGCAATGTCTGTGGTCTCATCTGCCAAAATTGAGAAGCATGGGGCAGAATTGATTTCAGTAATCAATTTTTCTAGAATGATATTATTGCAAACATCAATTATTTCATTTTGGATCCTAGGGCTAAGATATGTAGCATTTTTATTACTACTATTAATGCTCTCCATTAATGCAGAATCTCCTAATGCTTTAAATTTTATAAGGCCACGAAAATTACCTTCGTTATCATTATTATTGAAATTCAGGCTTCCTGAATCTAAATGGCCACGTAATGCTAATCCCTGCAACCCACAATATAGAATAGCCTCAATAATTAGTCTTATCTTGCATCTATTTTCTTTTGCAATAGTAATCCTACTTTTATCAATATGTGATGATATGGGAATCACATCCCCACTTTGAATTGATTCTTTTGAGGAAATCATCAGTTCACAACTTTTGTGATAATTTGTTTTTTGATGATTATCAAAAATTTCTCCAGCATCTTTGTATTTGTTAAATGGAGTCTTAACAAGGCTATTAAGCTTAACCAAATTTTTTCCAGCATATCTTGGACCAAACAGGACACATATCTTACAATAAGCTCCATTGTCACGGATAGAGTATAATAGCCATAACCATCTAGTAAAATAGCTGTTTTGAAATTTTAACTTTCTATTAGCACATACAGTTTGTGGATATTGAAAATTGAGGGGTGGAATATAAATCTATTATTAAATTAAATAAATTATTTATCATAGGTATCTTATCTTTATTACCTTTTTAAGAAGTAAATGTCTTTCTTCTAGGCTAATATTATCTTTATCCAAAAAATTGGCTATATCATATGGATGATCATTGTACTCTAGTTATGAGTATAATTCATTAAAATTATTTTAAAAAAGCCAAAATCTTTATTTAGAATAACCTTTTGATGGCTTTGGCTCTATATCCTGACTCTCAATTATTTTTCCAACAATTATTTCATTATTTGTATTTATTATGGCAGGGGTTTTAATTACTAAAAGAAAATAATAAAAATATGTTATAAAATTATTCATACCTTTTTGCTTTTTTATAAGATGAGGATGACTAGAATCTTTATCATCATTCGTGTTTTTAAAAAAATTTCTTATGTCCATAATTATTATTTGACTAGAAAAAAATGGTAGATAAATATTTTGCCGGTAAAAATTTGAAAATAGGACTAGGTAAACTTGAAATTGAAATTAATTGATAAAATAACTTCGTAAATGATTGTGATAAATAAATGTAATTAAATATATATTTGAATGAAAGATATATGAATAAAGATAATAAAAATAATATTAATATATAGACAATAATTTTTTTGAAAAATATATCTGACATCTGCATTTTTTGGCTTTGGGGGGGGGGGGGGGGGGGGGATTTGTACCCCTGCCCCCCCCCACCCCGCTGCGTACGCCAATGAAAGACGACTAATAATAAATGAATGCAACCAGGTTGCAATAGCTTGAATTAAATGATTTTTAGTTTTGAACATATGTTTTTTATCTGTGTTGACATAGAAATCCGGTTAATAATCATCTAATCAAAATTTTTCATAGAAGGCTAGGCAAATGGGGGTTTAAAAATTTTTTTATAATCCCCCTTAATAACTATTTATTGGTTCAAAGGCATTTATATGAATTCAGATTACTCGTTTCTTTCTACATTTCTTAAAAAGATAGAAAAGTTGTTAATAAATTTAAACTTAATTGTGACAATTATGAATGCATACTTCGTGGGATCTAAGAGTATAATATAATATTGTATCGAAAATTTATTTGTATATTTTTTTAGAGGTCTAGATTCTAGATCAATGACATAATGTCAATGATGTAGAAGTAGATATTATTCTCTTTTTAAGGAGAGATGTTACGTTTTGCATTAATAAAAAAACATAATAGAATACTATAAAGCGCAAGAATGATAATAATTAAAAATTTTTATTGGATGAGTAAAATATATGCGTGATAAATATTACTCATTATTCTCCTATAAAAAGATAGGATTAGATTAAGGTAACAGTGTTGTAGGTTACGGTTAATATAAATTTTAAATGAGTGTTATTGCAGTTTAAGGATTACTATTAGTACCTAAGAAAATACTATAGGCTTAAAATTTTATTTTCCTCGTTATAGGCATTCCTGGTTTTTGTTTCAAGACAAACACAATGTGTTAGTTTACATCAATTTGAAATCATTTAGAGGAGTGAAATTAAAAACCTTTATAAAATTTAGAATTAAAAATTTTAACCCATTTATTATTAATTCAAACTAGCTCATTTATATTTTTTTTACCATACGTTATTATGAGGCTGAATAATATTTGAAACATTAGCTTTATCTTTAACTTTCCTTTAATATTTGTGTAGTTATTGAAATATGGTGATACATGTCATATAATATATTAATTAATTTTATAACAGTTGATTATCAATTTAATAAATTTTTAACACTTAATTCTAAAAAAAAAAGATATTAGTATGGCATACACAAACACGGCAACCAAATCTTGAGCTAGAATCAAATTTCATAAAAATGTACAATGTATCCTCAAATAAAGATATTGAAATTTAATTTAAATAATATAAACTTAACAATCTCATGTATTATTAGTATAACAATATATTATATCGACTTGTATTGTATTAGATTTAAATTGTTCATAAATATATATAATGTATATACTGAAAAAATATTTTAAAGATACTTTTTGATTATTTTATAATGAGGTAATTTATTGTTAAAAACTCAAATTTTCAAACCCAGTTCATCATTCTTTTGGGAAATTTTATTTTATATTATATCATATTTTGCAAGCATTTTAATTTTCAGAATAACTAATATAACTTTGATAAAGATATTTTTAAAATAAAAAATGGCTAAAGAGCGAAATTTTGCCGAGCCCTAATTGGCAAACCTTATAAAATTAAAAGTTATAACTGATTTCAATCTTTTTTAATAGTTTTATAGTTGATTTTCAAAAACAAATATCTAATACTCTTTTAAATATTATTTTCGGAACGAGTGAGCAATTCACGGGGAGTAAATCCATGCATGGGACTGTTATTGGAAATAAAAATTTTATTAATTTTTCGTAAGGCTGTGTCCTTAATATTAATGGTATAAAATAATAAAATAGTGTTCTAAACAAGGACATGGAACGGAATGTTTCGCGAACGGAACTTAGCATTCCAGAATCTTTCCGGAACGGTCCTGACACGTTCCTAAAAATTTATATAAATTTCTAATTTATTTCTATAATTAAAAAAAATAAAAAATTTTAATCCATCTAACAGTTGCATAATCAAGTTCCTTTTTGTTAAATAATAATAAATAATAATTAATAATATTAACTAGCAAAGTAATAACAAGCAAACAAGTAGTAGGTTAAAAAATTAAACAGAGGGGAAACATTTTTATCAAATTAAAAAATTTAGTTAACTATTTTTTTTTATGGAAAATTTTATTTTTTATAGTAATAAAAAATCATCCAAAGCCAGGTAAGTGTTGAACGTTGTTTTTCGACACTCAAATTTATATTAACACACCAAAGGACTAATATGAATTATTATCCTTTAAAAAATATATATTGATTCATTTAATAATTAAATGAAGATAAACTAAAATGTGATTTAAAAAATATATTTAGATATTTCTCTAGGAAAGTTCCGAAAAGTGGAACGAGCAGAGCAGGAACGGACCAATTTATTTTGGCCGGAACGGGAACGCAAAAATGCCCTTATTCCGGGTCCCTGGTTCTAAATTATTTTTCATGATTTACAAAAAATTTTTTTTAGATAATAGAAATAAATAAATTTAATCAAATTTTGCTTAAAATTTATGAATTTGGGTAATTTTATGAAAAACTAGTAAATAATATAGGTTGTTATTTTTCATATTTTATTATCGTTTTTTGGTTTTTTTGGTTATTTTTTCTTTTTTGTTTTTTTTTGTTTTCCTTTATTTTAATTTTTACCAACTTTAAGCAAAAATTAATAGTAGATTTTCATGTTTCATAATTTTATGCAGTTGGCGAAAATTTATAAATTTAAAGGGTTTTTTTTCAATATTTTTCGGACACAAAAATAAAAAATATTTGTTTAAAAAGAATGTGATTTTTTTTTTTTAATTTATAAGTTATTGTCACATTCTTATGGTTTGCAAATGACTTGAAAAGTCTTTCAAAAAAGTGCTTTGAGTCTCCACTCTCCTCGAGTAACTTATTTTAAATATTTTTAATGCCCATTTTGTTTGCATAGATTGATGTGATATTCAAACTTTAAAAAAAAGAAGTTTTATTTATATAATATGAGTTAATAAATTTTAAAAAAATCCGCAAGGTGTCCAATATAAATAGGAATTATATAAGCGTATAATATATTTTTAGTAAAAAAAAATTTCCTAGAGTTATATCATTTAGAGAAAAGCGGGCTCAATATATTCCAGGTTATATTACCATTGTTAAGTACAGAATTCGATAGTTTTTTTAAAGATTTCTATGAAGTTTTGATATATAATATAGAGAATAGAAAAGAGAGAGTTGAGAATTTTTTATTCTAAATATCTTGGATTGGGAATCAAAAAGATTTATGAAATTTCTGGGTCAATTTGAAAAATCGGATATTGGGCGTAAAATTCGAATGACAGGTCATGATCTTAATTCAGGATTTTCAACTTTTTAGAATTCAAAATTGGTACAAATAGTTTTTGTAGACCAGAAATCTGCAAGGCCAGGCCCGACTTGGCCAATTAATGTTTTTTGCATAAGTGGCCGGGTCTGTTATTAAAATGTTTTCTAGCATATCGAGATCCAATATTTTTTTTTATAATTTACCTGCCCAGTTTGTTAAATTTTTTTACAAAACAAGCTCAGACCGTTTAATTCTTTTAGACAAATTGCTCGAGGCGGCCAAAAATTATCCTATTATCTTCTACCGAAATAAACGGTTCTGTCTAAGACCTGATACCAAGTTCGTAGACCGTTAGCATTATCTAGGGACAGTGGCATCAATGACCTTTACAATCTCGAAGGTAGGGGAGCTTATTTTTTAGAAAATATTTTAAAAATTATAATGTTTTTAAGATATTTTTTTAAAAAAAGTATTTTGTCAAAGCTCTAAGATCTTTGGTTTTATATCACACATAAATTCATTCATTCATTTAGCACGTTACTAGTCCTGAACGTGAATTATGCAACCTCCTCATATAATCGCACCGGTTTTTTTTGCAAGGAAGTCGAAAAAATTTGTTACAGCTAGAAAAATATAAGATACTAAAAATCTCTTCCTATTTATTTGTATAAATATATACAAATTAAATATTAGAAAGTGTAACAAAATATAAAACGTATCTTTTAAAACGGAATATTTCAAAATGATAAAGATTGCCTCTTTTTTTTGCATTTACTATCATAATAAATTCTTGCAATTATTATTTTCCAATCCCACTATAATTCTTTAAAAATATTTTGACCACCCATAGCTAAAAACCTGTTTAAATTATTTATGTTTTCTTCCATTTTTAAATTGTAAATCAAATCAATTAAAATCTCACATATAAATAAAAATAATTAAATTAATGAATCTCCCTTTAATTAACCTACGATAAAATTTATACTTTGTTAATTTGAAATTAAACTTTTCATCCTTTAAGGTTTAACAGATCTACCTAGATATTCCCTATGTCCATCTAACTAGGATAAATTAGGTTAGGTGAAAAATTAAAAATAGGATCTACACGTTTGTAGGAAAGCCCTACATACTTGTACACGCAACATTCCGAAGACTGTCGTAATCGCCCATAAGCTGAGACAAAAAAAATTAGAATTGGGTATATATTTAACCACTTTATGGGATAGGGAAAGAGCTATTTTTAATTAAATGCCTATGTTAAATTATTAAATTCTGTTGGTGTTGATTAGCATTATGAAAAATTTAAAATTTTTATATTGTGTTGACCATCTAAGATATATATATAATTAAATAAATAATTAATAAATTTTTAATAAATTTTTAATCTTGTATTTTGTAGCTTTTTTATCTTGCTACTCCACTGAGATTCCCAATTCATTTTACCTGAAAAATCCTAGAGTCCATCATAAAGATGAAAATTTTTTTTTATGTAATTAAGAGAAAAAAATGAGTGTGAAATTTTTAAGTAATAATATAAAATGTAAAGAAGCAAGAATATAAAAAAGATCATCATTAAAGCTATAAGAATACGAAACGGTAAAGTGAAAACTAAAATAAGATTTATATAAATAAAATATATGCTAAGAAATATAAAGGTTGCAATATTAAATATTTATGTAGATAAAAAAATTATCCATATAAGAATATAAAACTGTAAAGTGAAAACTAAAATAATATTTAAATATAAACAAAGAAATATAAAAAAAGGTTGTTACAATAAATATTTACGTGGTACTTGATAAAAAAACGTTTAGATACAACAGAAAAACGCTAGATTTTTCTCTAATCCATCAAACTGTATATTTAAAATAGGGGAAAATGAGGAGATTTCACAAGTTTATGGGTAAGAAGCCGCACATACTTGGGAGTATTACTTCAACGTCTGTGGTTTAATTTAAAAAGAGTTGGCCAGAGAAACAGCCTACTCCCATAAATGTTTATATATATAAGGCAATTACATCGTAAAAAAAATTGACAAATATTTAATATCAGAAAATAAACAATCAAATTTGACGATGATTGATATGTCTATTAAGAATTTGAGATATAACAAGTTTGTATCTTCTCCTTATTTTATTTTTGCTCAAGTGTATGGATATGTTACATCAGGATTTGCCTGATATTCCATTAGATAACGAATTATTATACCATTTTCTTAGTTCTACCTTTTCTATTTTATCATTGATTTTACAATATATACAAATATATAAAACAATATGGTGGCTTCCCCAATCGCATACTCCTTATGCATTAGTATATAATTATTTAATTTATAATTTTTAATTCTTCATAGAATTTCTATTTAATGGATTTATACTTGATGGTATATGTTATTATAATTTTAATAAAACCATTTATTATGACAATAAAATCCAAAGAATCATATGTAAGATAAATTTAATTTTTTAATATAAATGCTAAATTAGGGAGAAATGTTTTGTACTAATAGATTTACATTGTCAAAATATATAAATGCTGGTCTGAACTTATTATTTATTGGTTTATTTGTCATTCAGATACTGAGTTTTTATTATGTATTCCAAACATATGATGTTTTAAGACTACTCTTTTTAATTTATCCGTAAGTTTTTAATAAAATATTGGTAATATTATTTTGGAATCTAGTATTTTTATATATCTCATTTTGTATCATAACCAAATCCATTTTAATCCAAAGTTTTGGACCTCATTTAATTTATATCAAATTTGTGGGACATTTAAAAATGAAAATCTACATATTGAAAAATCTATCAAAGTAATTTTTTTTTAAATTTTAGCTTATATAATTGTAATTATAGCATAATTGTATGGATATATCAGTTTATCCAGCTCACATTTACAAAGAAATCAATCATTTAAACCAATTCATACATTTAAACATTAAGAATATTTTGTATAATACAATTATCATAGCATATTATGCATGCTTTCTACCTTGTGTTATGGCACCAGTAAAAATTTTCATGATTAACATGGAAAAATAACCATTTATTTTTTTACAAATAGCCAATCATTAATTATAATTTAAGAGATATCATTTTACTTTCAATGATTATAACTGTGACAACTCTAGCTCATAGTATTTATCATACATTTTCTTATAAAAATGTTGATGAAATTTACAAAATCTGCATCCATTTTGATTATATAATGGCTGACACATCTCAGAATATAAACAACCATTCCCAGTAAATTAGTTAGTATTTAATAAACATTTATAAATATCATGCCAATTTTAGCTTTAATGAATATAAAATTTTTAAATTAATCTTATATTTGGTTGGGCCTCCATATATCTGAATAATGTTTTAAAAAGGGCTCACTAGGAATTGGTTTAAATCAAACAACCAGAACCTTTTTAAATGTCTTAGAACTAGTACTCTTAAAATTTTCATGAAAATTGTTCCTCATTTTAAAAGATTTATTTAATGTTTAAGTTTTTTTACATTGCTTTTAAACCAGAGGAGAATTCTCTAGACCAAATCAAATATAAGATCCAAAACTTATTAAAAATTTCTAACATCTTTTTTATTTTACTTTTTAGACAATTCTCAAAATCAAAAAAATATTACTACCATATTGATCATTTTAAGCAGAGATTCGAACCGAACCCGGAGAAGTGAACCCGGGTTTTTAGAAAAAAACTCTGAACCCGAACCGAACCTGAACCCCATTTATAAAATTTTCAAAACCCCGAACCAAACCCAAGAATTTTATTTGAACCCGGGTTCAACCGGGTTCAGTGTATTATTTAAAATCATATATTAATATATGTAAATACAAATATTATATTTTCAAATTTCCAATTAAATGAAGTGTTAATAAATTTTAAACAACTTAATTCATTTATGCCATTTTTAAATTTATTCTCGATTCCTATTGGAGTGTTAAAAATTTTTAAACAAATGAATTAATTTACGCCATTTATTTTTAAATTTATTCTCGATTCCTATTGGAGTGTTAAAAATTTTTAAACAATTGAATTAATTTACGCCATTTTTTTAAATTTTTATCTTATTATTCTTAAAGATTATTAATTAGAAGAAAATGTTTAACAAATCAAAGTAAAAATTATTATATTGTTAACTTAAAAAATTCTAAACATCTAACTTAAAAATTGTTAAATGTAGGGCAGTTTTTGAGAACTTATTAAAATGATTTTAATATTATATGCTAATCATTTATTTTTGGTTCAGATTAATTTTTACAAGATATTAATGAAGTGCATATTATAAATGAAATTAAATTTATAAATATCTTTTTTTTAATTCTGAAATCATTGCTATTTAAAAAAATTGTTCTCTTTTTATAGATTTAAGATTAAAGACAAAGTCATATTTGATAAGCATTTTACCCTTAATACAATAGAAAAAAAATCAATATGTTCATATTGCAAAGTAAAAATGTCTGGTAATCACTTGTCAAATTTAGAAAGACACCTGGAAAGAAATCACAACAATGAATATTTAAATTATTTAAATGAAAAAACCAAATATCAGGAATTGTTTTTGGCAAAAAAACCTAAAATCAATATAGAAACCTTTTTTCCAAAAAAGCATATAAGTATAAATATATCATCTAATGATTTGATGAGTTCTATACTAGAACTTGTTACTGTAAATGGCCGGCCTTTATCAATTATTGAAGATTCGGGATTTCAAAGAATTATAAATCCACTCCTATCTGGGCTCAATTTAGTTATAAACAAAGAAAATTTATCAAGAACTATTAATAAAACAGCCCAATCAATTAGAGACAAAATATCGAGAGAGGTAGAAGGAAGATTAATAAGTTTAAAAGTTGATGAACGACTAGATAGGTCAATTCTTGGTGTAAATATTCAATTTATATCAAAGTCCATTATAAATTTGAGGACTCTTGGAATTGTAGAGCTGAAAAAGAGATGTACAGGAGAATATATAAAAGAGAATATATTAAAAACTTTACTAAAATTTAAAATTAATATTGAACAAATATACACAATTACTTCTGATAATGGTTGTAATTTTTTAAGAGCTATAAATCTCCTGCAACCTGAAACTGATTATGATATAAGGAGTGAATCAGCATATGAGGAAAATATGGATGTAAATGTATATAAATATGATATTGATGATATACAAAATACTTTTTTATCAACTATTATATCCTATCCGATTTATAGTGTACGGTGTGCAGCTCACACACATCAGCTGGCACTTCAAGATGCTATAAAATTATCACCTATTGTGGAAACCATTGCAAAAGCTAGGAGCCTAAATTTAAAATTAAGACATCCCACTTACCAAAAGTTATTAAAAAATATGAAACTCCCTAAGCCTGTGTTAGATTGCCACAGATGGCATTCAACCCATGATATGTTAGAAAGGCTGATTTTACTAAAACCAATATCGAAGATTTTTTTCAGAGCAATCTGATTATTTATTGACTGAAGATTGGAAAGAGATAATAACGATTGTTGAAATTTTAAAACCGCTAAAAATCGCAACCAAACAATTCCAATCTGAACAGTTAACACTGACAGATTTTTATGCAGCATGGTTAAGATGCTGCATCGAACTGGAAAAAAATCCAAACCATTTTGCTCAATCTATATTCGTGTCTTAAGAACAGAGAATAAAGGTTTATAAAGAACGAAATTCTCTTAGCTGCCATATACCTGGACCCAAGATACAAGGTTAATTAAAAGCTTAGTAAATTAATTATTTTATGGAATACTTAAATATAAACAATATAAATCCTTGAATATTACAGGTATTACTTAGTGATGATGATAAGATTTGTGAGAAAAGGCATCTTGTCAATTTATGGAGACGAATTAAAAGCTTAACAACGCCGATTTTATCTGATGATATTAGTTCCGATGAAGTTATTGAACAAGAAGATGATTTAGAGAAATTGATACAACTTAAAGAAAGGCAGGAGAAAATACTTAAAAGAGGGCCAACGATTGCTGAGAAAAGTATTGGAACAATAATTACTGGATTTAGCGATTATAAAAGATTAGATAAGAAGGAAAATATTTTGCATTTTTGGGAGTCTGCTAAGCTGGAACACCTGAATTATATATTTTATCTAAAATCTTATTTGCTGTTCCTGCAACCCAAGTTAATTTATCATATTTTCACATATAAATACATTTAACATAGGTTAGCGTTGAAAGATCTTTTTCACATTTGAAATTCATTCTTTCACCACATAGATCGAGGATGAGTGAACAACTCTTGGAAGATATTATGCTAATACGTCTAAATAAAATTTTTAAAATTGATACATGACTATATGCTTTGTATTTTTAACTATATTTGCCTATAAATAAAATAAAAAATTTATTTTTTATATCAAATTTATGTCTAGTTTTTTATTATGATTTAAATATAGAATTTTTTTTATCAACTCAAAAATTCTTGAACTCGAACCAAACCCGGGTTCAAAAATATTTCCCTGAACCGAACCCGAATCGAACCCACCTTTTTTTTTATACCCCGAACCGAACCCGGGCAAAAATTTTATCGGGTTCGCATCCCTGATTTTAAGATTTTAGTCTATTTTTTCTAAAAAAAAATTAAATATTACAACTCTAATCTTTATGGAAATTTAAAATATATTTAGGGCTGCACTGATACACAATTTTTTCACCATCCAATCCTACATTTATTTCAAAAAATACCTAATACCAATATTTACATGGATTTTTTTTGTCATTATATTTTATAAGATAATGAAATAATAATAATCTACATATAAATTTTCTTTTAAAAGTGTTTTAATCAGAATATTCACTTATTCTGGCTCTTAAAAATCAAAAAAACTTAAAGCTTCACTAAAAATATGTCTTATCATTAAATTTGTAACTCAATATTTTATCCAAAAAAAATATTACCAAATCCTGAAGATTTGGGTCATAGGTGACACATGGGTTTGGATATCTATTAGCACAATCTCCGGTTTAGGCAAAATTTATCTGCCTATAATATTGAGCTAGCCATTTATAAAAATTGGCTGAAATCGAGCCGTTTAACAACACTACCACCAGCTGTGCTAAAGACTAATTCTGATACACTTGTTGCAGGAAATATCAAATACTAACGTTCAGGGTTTGTCAGAGATGGAAACCAGGGCTTAACCCTCCAATAATCTAGAGGATCGCGTATTCTAAAATATTGACATCTTTGTTAATTAATCTAATTTATATTCCTTATGATTTTTATTTACTTTAAGTTCATTCTTAATATAAAAAAACAATGGAATTAACAATAGACAAATAAAAATATACAAAAATTTTGGGCAATTAATTTTCTTTATATTAGTTTATTAATATACTTTTACCACTATCGTTAAAAAATTTTAAAAAAAATTTAACATTTTTATTTTATAAGATATATTTTTATGGGAGTTATGAAGATTTATTATGAGGGAAATTAATTCAAAAATATGCATAAAATTGGTATCGGGTAAATTTTAGAAAATTTTGACAGATTGAATAATTTTTATAAAATTCCAATATAGATGGCGATCCAATATTGGTAAAGCCCTTGAATCTGCCAATATTTTTAGCAAATTTTCTTGTAATTATTTTATAATTTTCCCATTTTGCCAAATTATTTTAAAAAAACTGACTTATTTTAAAAAAAATTTCTAAAATGTTTTTTTTAGGCTGTGCCCCCAAAATCATTTTAGAAAAATTCAAAATTTCAAAACTTTCGCATTCAAAATTTTATTAAAAGCGTAATGTTAAAATTTTTAGATTTATAAAATATTTCTAAATATCTTACATTTATTTATTATTAAAGTTTCGAAAGTTTATAAATTTAATTTTTTGACGTGTTGGTCACAGCCATATAATGTACTTAATAATAATACCTATTATTTTATTAAAACAGTCTTAACGATAAAGTCATCTGTGATACAACAAATATTCAAGAATCAGAGTTTTTGCAGTCTCCATACTTTGTAAAAAAAAAAATTTTTTAATATATATTCTTACCCCATATTTGGCCACCCTTTAACCTTAGCCTTAACCTCGTTACAGAAAGAAAATGGCCCCACCATGAATTGAATCACCGCTTAATGTATTCACTCCATATCTTTAACTCTCTAAATTAAAACTGCCTTTCCAAAATTGATGGGTTTTTTGTATATAAGGATAATTAACTGAATTATATAAAAATAATGTATGCCTGACTTGCATTATCATTACTCATATTTTTACCCTAACATTCTAATTTTAAATGGTTCCCAGCTTTACCCTAAATTCATTAACACGAATTCGCAGCGAAGTATACAAAATAAATATGATATAAATATAATCATTTTACAATCATTTTTGTATATCTCATCACAAATTCGGGCTAACTTTGAATTCAGGATTAACTATATTTCTTTTTTAAATTGTAGTCAAACTCAAACACCATTATTTGTGCAAGACTTTAATATAATTACACAACGACCATAAGGGGTGGGTTAAATATGTTATTTAGATTGGAATTTTTTTTTAAAGTTCTAAAGCGTTTTTTTTAAAAATAAGGATTGATTGCTGTATATTTTGTAGTCTGTGCATTTTAATTTCAATCTTAAATTAATATATATATAATCATGTAAAAGTTTTATATTTATTTTTCTTATAGCTCTTCTTCAAGGAACCTACCAATTTCATAAAATCGTTGTTAATGCTTCAATCTACCCTGATTGCCTGCCAAATGTACTCGCTGTATATTAATACCGAGTGGAACCTAGTGTTATCAATAGGTTTTTTGCTATTCTGCAACTACTATCTGTTGTTCAAAATTTTAAGAGATTATTTTACACTGGAAAAAGTATATGGTATTAAATCTAAATCATCTTAAAAAAGGTCCCAAAAAATACTCCAAATTTAATTTATTTATATAATTATTTTTCACCAAAATTTAATTGTAATCATTTCATCTTTGGAAGCGATATCATTTCAAAACATGTGTAAACTTTTTTGAGTTTACTAATTATTCTTTCGTGGAATTTCGAATGAATTATTATAAATAATAAATTTATAAAAGGAATAGAGTTTTATAAAAACAGCACATTATATAATCCCAAACTCATGCTTATTTGGTAAGGTAATATATAATGATGAATGCAATGCATCTAGTATGACTTGACTTGCTAAATAGGTACCATTGGTGAGTTTTCCCTACAAAATCTCTAAATGACGGATAATAGAAAAAATAATATTGATATGATATATTTTAAATATGATAAAATGTTAGCCATCTTTTTGAGATTTTGACATAGATAAGCTAGGTATATCAAAAACATTTTACCAAATGTAATGTGGGGTCATTACCCCCTTCATTCTCACACCTCAAAATCCCATAAATAGTATAATAATGAATATAAATTATCGATATTTTGCATACATTGACTGACATAATAGTTAACTAGTTTAAAATATTTGCCTTTTATATAGTATTTACAACACGGGGCATTTTTAACCCCCACTTAAATCGAAAGTTATAATAAATTATTTAGAATAAATGTAAATCCCATTAAAAGTTTATATTTATAAAAATGGGGTGTGAGAGATCAATATTATTTTAAAGTAATTTTATATAATATAGTATATACATATTAATTATTATATAAGATAAAATTTAATGGGCCAGCCCAGATATTAAAATTTTAAAATATTTTTTTAAATCAAATAATATTTTGATTAATACTATTTTAAATAAATTAATTACAAATCAAAAAATTTCCACCCATATCCACACGATCGCATATTTATTATTTTTAAATAAAAAAAAATTAAAAATTTCCCCGAGTCTTAGTGAGTTACCAATTATTTATATGGTTCAATTACAAATGCACAATACAAATATAAAACACAATTGATTTACAAAACGGCGTAGAAATAGATAACCATTGAGGAAAGATATAAGAGTCGTAATTGACATTGAAAAAAGTTAGATGACATTAAAATCGTGAAGGCCAGAAAATTCTTAAAAAAATTTTAACGGGCCTGGCCTGATATTCCGTAAAATTTTAATGGGCCGGGAAACTTGTGCAAAAAATCTTAAGCCATTAAGTATTTTCATTCACAATCATTATTTATTCCTATATCATTTATAGTATCTATAAAATATTCCCAATATATAAATCTTCTATAATGTTCTCAAATAATGATAGATGATTTTTTTTTTGTTATCATCTGGTTGTGCGCAAGTGAAACATTAATCTCCTAAATTCGAAACAATTGTTTAAAGTTTATTTAGTCTAGGGAAGCTAATGAAGGTCATCGTCCAGTAAACAGAATCGAAATGTAGGAACTAGCTTGGTATATGAATAAAAATTGAATCGATTCTGAAACCACTTGATATTGTCTATATTTATTCGATAATCATAAAAAGATAATTAAATCATCTTTTTTTGTCACCTTTACAACTATAATAAGATTTTTAATATTTATATGAAAATAAATGCATTGGAATTGGAAAGAGACATACAAGACATATTATCACTGCTAAAACTATTAAAATTTTCAATATTTATATGAAAATAATTTCCAGGGAAGGTTGAGATACACCCTTTCTCTTCTTGCGGGCATCCATGGTAATTTTTGAAAAAAAGTTTCCTTTTTATTGGTCCAAATCAAAGACCGACTGCAAAAATCGAACTTCTGAACCAACAAACATCAAACTGCAGCCTGAACCGAGAAAGCCGGACCGTTTAACTTGACTAAAAGAAGCTAATTTTTCGACAAAAAAGCTTACCTTTTAGAAATAAATTTTGAAAAAGGTTTATTGTTAATTTAGTTTATTCCAATTTTTATGAAAAATCATTGTGCTATTCATAAAAAATTTCGGTGCAAATATATTAAAATTTCTTCAATACAAATAAAATAACTATGTGATGTATCCTTTTTCATTAAAATTATTTCTTTAATAAAATTGTATTTCCATATTCCATTGTTTAATGATTGTAAAAATTTTGTATGATAAAAAAAAACATAAAGTAAACATGCAATGTAACCGTTACTTTTGGCTACATTTGAAATGAAACTAATATCGATAACTATTTACTCTTCAAAATAACTTTTAATAACACTATAATTGCTATATAATATTAATTTTATAAACAGTTAAAATTATTTTAAATTTGGTTTTAAAAAAATCATTAATATAAATAAGTAATTATATTAAGCAAAACTACTACTATTGAAAGAAAAACGAACATTTATAATTGTGTCATTCATTATAAATACAAATATTTGAATAAATTAAAATATTAAATTTCGGAATCAGTTCTTGATGGCGTTTCATAATATTCTGTTCACGGAACGTGCCCGGAACGTTTCGTTTCATGTCCTTGAAAAATTGTAATATAGATCTTATATATTAATCTAAATTTTATTTTCATTCATACATATAATCAATTATAATCTTTACTAAACTAACAAAATGCCATCAGCACCAGTTGATGCCTTTAGGACAAGGAAGGTTGTGTTAAGTGCCAAACATTCCTGTTTAATTGATCAAAGTTTTTAAAAATAATTATTGTTAAAAATAAATAAAAAATGTCCAAAAATATGTTACAAAATGATATATGAAAAAATAGTGAATCTACTATAATTTTATGGTAACGAAGTTTTCTTAACGTTACTTTTTTTGAAAGTATCGTACTGCACTGCAAAATTTATTAATTCTTTGATATGAAATTAAATATTCCTTTAAATAAATTCAAACAAAATTAGATCCAAAACCAGAAAGGCTAAAACATTTAGAATTTCAGAAAAATTATATACATATTTAAAGTTAAATATAAGGCTTTATCTTACCTTAGATATTTCCAAGTGATATTTTGATTTTATTTTGAAAAAATGTTATATATATATATACTATGCAAAAAAACGTAAAAACCATTAAGATTTCGAATAAATATAAAAGATATTTAAGAACAATTTCAATATTTATAATTTATGGATTTGTCCAGAGGAATTTCATTAACATTCATGAAGGTGCTATAGTCAAACCTTTCTACAAAATATGGTATATTTTCTTCGATCACTTTTTCTGTGGTAACTTGAACTGATAGAGGTTTATCTTTTGATTTTCTAGATAAAAAAGAAGTTAAACGGGTTTTAAAACAGCTTTAACTTTTATGCATCTTGTAAACTATTTTTTAAATATAATTATACTTACTGATAAAAACCCATAAAATTAATAAATAAATAAAAATTTATACTGAAACAAAATTTTTAATTTATTGGATTACTGAAATTGTATCTAAAGATAGTCTTAAGTACCAATAGCTGTATAGAACATTTTGTCATTTTAATTAGTGGGCTTTAAATTTAATGAGTACCATTTTTAAATAATATTAATAACACTAAAAGAGGGGAACTCATTGATTACCGAAACGGAAAAGAAGTTAACTAATTTTTTTTTAAAATATAATAACAATGGTTTACCCCGGGAATGAATCTGGCCGTTTAACAACGAAATCTAAAAATAAAATATATTTGACTTAAAAAATCTATTAAATTAATAAGGTATTTTATAAGCATCACATTTCAATATATAATTCAGAATCTAGAATGAAACTTTAAAGTAAGCTGATATAATAGTAACGGAACAATATATTTTTAAATAGTAAAACACTCCCAAGAAAAAATATCTATGTAATAGTTTATATTCACATTTTATTTGTAGGTTTATCAATTGAACACTAATAATTAAATTATTTATCTAAACGGGCTATCTGCCGAAATATAAATTTAAATAATAAAAAAGTAAATTTTTTCTTGATCAAAGTGCTACAAGAGTGCAAATATTTCCTTATTGTCGCATTTTAAATAATCTACTTAACGATCATTTACATTTTTATCAAAAAATATCTTTGTTTTTTTTAAATTACCTTTTATTTGTTTCTGCTTGAATATTATCGCCACCAAAACCATAATTAAAATTATGAATAAGATATAATATAAGAATGATAATTTGATTTTTCCTTTGTGCGTTAATGTTAAAGGATGGAGACTTGATTTATTGGTTATATTCACTATATTTATTTGGTCTGAACAGTTATCGGATAAAAATTTATCGTTGATTAAACTCTTAATCGCTTTATTGGGAAGATTTTTGGTGATTGATTTTTTTGAAGAATTCTTTAGATCATTATTATCGGTGTTGTAAGAGCACACATTTTCTTTACCATCAGGATTTAGGAGTACTGTTCCCTTTGATATAACTATCGATAGGGAATATATAGAGCAACCGCATCTTAAATTCGAGTTACTTAGTTGTACTATAGATATCGGTTCAAATTTATAGTCTATCGTTTTCAATGGATTATGGGCTAAACTGAGGTTCGATAGTCTTACACTGAAATCTATTGAAGGAAGATAGGTGATTTCATTGTCAGATAAATCCAGAACTTGCAATTTTTCTAAATATCTTCTACCCAAAGAACCCGGATGTATTTGTGAAATTTTGTTAGACTTCAACGATAACAATATAATTTCCCCCCCGTCCATGAATGTAAACTCATTCAATCTTGTGATAAGATTGCCTACTAGGGATAATAATGTAATTTCTTTGCGAGTAGAGCCCAGAAATTTGTCTCTTAACTCTGTGATACCGGAAGATATAATGTGGAGAATAGTAAACTTAATATTCGTAAGGAAATCATAGGGTATATAGCCGTTGTCGAATGTTATATAAACAAGTCGCATCTCGATGTCATTCACATTTAATGCATCGGCGGCTTCGCATATAATATCTTGGATGACTTTATAAGATGAATACACGCACGATATGATATTTAAAGTGTTTTCCATGCAATCGCATGGCATTTTCACGGGGCATTTAATTTCGCAAGTTTTGTTCCTATCCATGTACCACTGTAGGGCAGATTTGTTCATCCCCGATGGCCAGGTGCACATAGGTCGATAAAATATCATTTTATCTTCAGGATTTTTTGTTTCTTCCAATAGTGACGATAAGTAGAATAAAAGTATACTATTTTGGCAGCTGCAAACGATGCTGCAGTTTTCGATCGACAGATTCACTCGAATAGATATGACGCTGTTAATAAATGGGATAGGAAACCAAAGCACAGGATTATTATTTATGTTAAAATTTTTTAATTGGCTCGGGAAAATTTTGGTGTGGTTCAGAGGCTCGTACGTTAAATTACAATGCGATACGTCAAAGGTTTCTAAAGCAGGTAAGTTTGATTTATCAAAATGGTTAAATGTTTTTAAAGGGTTATTACCGAGATAAAGATACTTCAATTTGAAAAATTTGTTAAAATCAGTTAAGTTCACTTCAGCTAAAAGGTTATGCCCTAGATTTATGGTTGTTAGACTTTTTAACGAAGATATCCTTGTATTTGATATTGACTTAAAATTATTGTAACTCAAATCTAATTTATAGATTTCAAGATAAAATTTGAAAAACGTCTTGGGCAGATTTGAGAATGCGTTGTGGGCGAGGTTTAATACGGTTACACTCATCTTTACTGGCAGCGCATCTACGAATTCTTTAGACCTAAATTCCGGTAATATTTTAATATTGTTCACTTGAAAAAAGGTGGAAGAATGAATACTGAAATGTATGCCAGGGATAGATTGTTTGTAGTTGGTTGAGTAATTGGGAGATTCAGTGTGGGCTAAATTGGTCGAATCAATCATTTTTTTGTACAAATTGTTGAAGGCTTCGTTGACTTCCGAAATCTGAACTACGTCTTTGCATTCAATGGAATATTTTTTGTCTTTATTATTAGATCGGCACGAGTAGTAAGTTGTACTCTGATCGTCAATGTCTATTCCAATTTATGATAGCATAGTATAAAATATTTTTATACTTACAACGCATTTTATGTTGGATTCAAATTTTACTAATATGAATTATTCGTTTCAAAAATTTAAAAGAATACGAATAATGCATTTACTCGATTTATAATTTTCTTAGTCCTAGCAGCTATAGATGGGTGAACCTTACAGCTGAGAATCGAGTTTTCAGCTAAAATCTTGGTTTAGTGGTTTTTGAAATCGGTACCCAACTAAGCGGCTTAGGGTATAAGGTTTTAAGAAAAATTTTACCTCGGGTTTGAATTATGGACAAGACAAGTGTTATTAGATTGAAAATGCCGAAAAAATAATTTGAGATATTTTTATAGAGTATTATGTAGAAAAGGCATCTTGTAACGTGCATTAATACGATCTGACATTTTTCCCAGATTTCTTGTAATGGTTGCCTAAAAAGTTTAATTAAATTAGATCTTTACTGGGAGGAAAAAGGAAAGTTAATATAATATCAAAAACATTAATTATAGAAATTTAAATAATATATGATTGTTGCATTTAAAAAAAATAATATAGTATTCTAATTTGATTAAAATGATATTTAGGAAAGTGTCATTGCTAAACGATCCCTAGCTTAACCTTTCAGCTTTAAATATTATAGCAGTTACATTGGACTTGATTATTTTTATAAATTTCCTAAATTTTGCTTATGATTTGAATAGGCCTATTAAATGGACAACATAGTTATTTATTAAATAAAGCTCTAATTTTATTAAAATAGGCACTCTCATTTTTTTATTAAAACCAAACTTTACCTTCTTTTTTAAGTTAACTGGTCGAGGAAACTGAAAAAATTTTTTTGCCCAAATCTGGATTACAATCTTAAACCAGATCTTCATTCAATGGCTATTTTTTTTTTCTAATAATTTTCTGTTTTTTAAAAATAATTCAAGTATAACAGTGGATTATCATTAATCATAAATTTATAAAATTCCTCAGTGTGATATCTTTGCTAAAAGAAGAGTCCTCAGGCTAATATAAGTTTTTGTATTTTATTACGTTCTAACTTTTCCTCATTTTTATGTTCCTATTTTGGTCACATTATAAATGTTCTATTTCTTTTAGCTTTAATGATATAACTTCTATTACTAGTGGATTACACATAGAATCTGACAATATTTTACCATAATGCTACCATTTCTATTCTTATGAACATTATTTTTGTATTTAGACGCCCATAGATGGTATATGGAGTTATATTATTTTATAAATAGTAAAATAAATTTTAAACTGGAAATTTTCTATCTAAGGAGTATATAAATAATTTATTTTTACTCATTTTAAAAAAAATTTGGACTAAGGGGTTAAAAAAAGACTAGATTCTTTATAAAAAAAATTGATAAGGCCATAGTTTAATGGTTTTCCCGACATGTGCATTAGGTTTTACATTTTCAATCATTAATTGAGAGCGTTTTATTAAATTTAAAGATCTGATTTTGGTGGAAATGCATTCCAATATGTGTTGAATAATTCATCCTATAAATTTCAGACAATTTTATGACTTTTGAAGTAACCTTAATTTATATTAATTTTTTCAAATTTTTAATGTGGATTGAAATTTATACAAAAGTTTATTATAAAATTGTCTGAAATTCATAGGGTGGCTAGTGATCTGCATCGGGCCTTATTTTTCAAGCCCGGCCCGAACCCGAAATTTTTTTAAAATAAATTTACCGACCCAGCCCAGCCCGAATTTATTTAAATATAGAAATTAATTTTTATAATCACTCAAAATAAAAGACATATGTTATATGTCGTTAGTTTGAATAAATAAAATCAAATATTTTTATTTTACTAAAAAATTCAATATAAAATTGATAAATTTAGATATATTTAAAAAAAATTTCAAGGTCCGACCCGACCCGGTCGAATTTTTTTTAAAAATATTAGACCCGGCCCGAACCCAATTATTTAAAATAGAATTAGGCCCGGGGCCGGGCAGGGTACGGGCCGGGCCTAACTTTGCAGATCTCTATATTATACACCTATTGGAATGCATTTCTGGCAAAATCAGAATTCAAAATTTAAAATAATGAGCTCAATTAATGATTTAAAATGCAAAAAATAACAATAATTACATATTAAACTATTGCCTTACCAAAGAATTTAGTAAAAATATTAAAAAGATACGAATTACTTCAATTTTTTGCTTTTTTATGAAAAACATTATCCATATCTTTCTCACAATAGGCTAAATTCAATGAGGAGATCAAAATAAACTTTTCAACCCATGGTTCCAAAAAAATTGTAGGCATCGCTTTCGCACCTAATTGCTATAAAGGAATGGTGTGAAACTGAACAATAAGAAGGGACATAGAGAAATATCTTATTATGTTATTGTTTCACAAACAAGCTGAAAAATAACTGATATCAAATTCTGTAATGTATTTTCTTTTCCAGTGGAACTGTGCCAAAAAATTTCAAATCGTTAAAATTTTTCTTAGTTTACCTAAAATATTAACAAAGACATGATATCCGATGATTATAATAAAATATTTTATATATCATTTCTGTAACGCACCGTCGTGTCAAAACATTTGACTGCAATTTGGCGGCCCCTTAAAGAAACACAATTTACATAGGTTTATTTGAAAATTTTTCGCAATAAGAACTACCAGCCATCATAGACTCGTTAAATTTGCTTGTTGAATTTGAAATAAGTTTAACATAAAAACAATATATTGTATCTTTCATTACGTACACAAGCCACGACGATAGACTAATTGAAATTGGAAATTTTTCGCATATGGGAATGGAGCAGAAAAATGGCAACCATTTTGGTTTAGTGGAAAATTAAATTTTCGATTCGTTGAGGATCTTTTTCTACTAAAAACTTTAGCAGATTATCAGTTATCTACAATGGCAATCATCTATAACGTCCTAGTTTGTGGTACTAGCGATTTTTTGTGGAATTGTCATAAAAAGACATATGTGAACCAGCGAATTCTGTAGGATCGTCATGATTATCCATCAGAATATCAATATGCTCATCATCGAGATGGATATCGATTTCTGGCATTTCACTTGTGGCGTCATTTTTTAAAGGTCTGAAACCGGCATATTATATATTAAATTAAACATTTAATAATCGAATCTAAATCAAATCAATCCAGATTAGAGTAATTTTAGGTATACCCAACCAAAATTTATGTGCATTAAATGAAGACTATTGTTTAAAGTTTTTTATTTCAAAATAGAATAATCAGACTATCCAAATAGTGCCTCATATCTTTACAACTATAAAAAATGAACCTTATAAAATAGACTAAATATTTATCAAAATAGTCATTTAGAAATCGAATTTTTTAAATAAATTTGTTATATTTGCTAAAAGAAAAATCAAAAAAAAAATTTCAATAAAAAAATCATATTTCTTAAGTAAAAAATTAATGAAGTTTTTTTTACTAAAATATAAATTAATTTTTTTATAATCATTTGGCTTATTACATGCCAAACCTTTTTCATAATTCATAAATGGATTTTTTTTAAAAAAAATGCCTTGTATATAGCATATTTGTTAGCGGCAATTATTTTTTTCAACTTTAAATCATTTTTACAGCTCGTTTTTTTAAATTCTAATTTTACCGGAGATGTATACCAGCATGTTTAAAATACCTCTCTTATGAATTGTAGACAATTTTTCCGTTATCCATTGGACCATTTATAATATGATTTAAAGTTGAAAAAATAACACATTGCCGTTAACATACAAAACAAAATTATTATTTTTCAAGACGCTAGAAATAATTGAGTAAAATTACAAAATTTGGTGGTCTCTAAAATTGTTTAATTTCGAAGGCACGGTGTGGCTGCCCCTCTCCGTCAGCACGGTCCTGCTATAAAGATAATTAACAGAAGACATCATTATAAAAAGTATTTTTTTTGAAAGCATAATCAACAAATCTATATCTCCAACATTTTATAATAAAATTTGGTTTAAATATCATGGGTGTAACTCAGCTAACACAAAGTGTTAAACATACTAAACGCAACGCATTTGGCAAATCTAATTTCCAGTCTACGTTATCTAACGCAGAGGTGTGATCACCTAAGTTATTTTTAATATCAATTTATTTAAAATGGCTGAAAGAGAAGAAGCCTTGTAGATATTGGACAGCATAATAACCGATATTTTATTATAGGAATTTTAAGGAATAGTTTTTAAAGAAAAAAATTAACAAAATCTTGTAATCGAAGAAAAGAATTTCTAAAGTTAAGAAATGTTATTAATTATACAATATTTTTAGTTTTTATAAACTGTTAGCAGAAATATTATCAAAATTCGAATTCATGAATTGTAAAATAAAAAGCTAGTTCGATATAAAATCCTCAACCTAAAAATCTAAAGATCGTTAATAAATTCAAAATGTAATAGAACAAGTCATATTTAACTTTTTTTTTAAATTAAAGATAAAATTTAGAAAAACACAATTCTAATTATACAATTCTAATTAATTGAAATAATTTCTTGATTAGACTTCTTTTTTTTAGTACAAATATTTTTAATGATTGTTTTATTGTTAAATAAAAACTAATAAATTGGAAAAAAGAACATTATTAACAAGTTAATAAATATTTATCCACCATGGAAAGAGTAAATCAGAATTGCAGCAAAAATAAATCTCCATTAAACACAAATACCAGGCATTCGGACGATATTTCTGACGAAGAATTAGATAATAATTCATCAGATACCTCAACAGCTTCAGCTCCAAATAACTTGGCAAATAAGGATAATGGTAAGAGCCCAAGAGCTGAGATAAAAGACGATGATTACGAGAAATTGGACCTCACGTCGGCAAATAATAGCAAGCATTACGAGGAAGACGATGAAGAACTTATTACGAGAAAGAAAAAAGGCAAAGGGTTGATAATGAAGATGCCTGGGATGAAGAAAAATATGAAGGCTAGTAGGACAAAGAAAAGCGGGGAAAAAAAGAGGATCAAGAGATCCCGTGGTAAGAGCGAATCGAAAGTTAGCCAAAGGAGCTCCAAAAAAGTCACTGCTAAACGAGAAAAGAAAACAGTTAGGGGGAGGGGGAAAGGAGGCTCGTCTTCTAATTCAGGCCAAAAGAAAAGTAAGAGCGTGAAAAGGGGGAGATCGCAAAATCGGAGCAAATTAAGCTCACAGAGGAAAAGAGGAACTAAAGGCACGAGCAGGCTTTCGCGAACCAGGAAGTTGAAGAAATCTGTAAAGTCTAAACCGGCTACCAGGGTAAATAACCAGCCAGGAACAAGTGGTTTGAATAAAAAATTGAAATAAGTGATCTAGTTTATTATACTTGTAATACTATCATTTTGCTTATAATGTTTTGTCATAATATTAATTAGTAATTATTATATAAGTAAATTAAATTTATTACATGTATAACACAGGCATTTTACACACGAAGAAATTATATTGTAATAAAAAATGTTATGTAAATCACTTGAAGAATATAAATAATAATAAATTATTGGTGTAAATTTTATGAAAATTGGAAAGCAAGGTAATTTAATAATTGTTTAAAAGACGTTATAAATATTAGATTTTTTGTTGTTTGAAAAATAAACAAATCTAATGTTGGAATTGTAATTTAATTTTTTTTAAATTTAAAATCTTGATAGTATACTACATGTTCCACAAGATGTGTATAGAAGGTTTTCGACTATTAACAATGAGTTACATAATTAAAATATTTATATATGAGAGGAACAATCGTCGCAATTTTCATTTTATCCAAATTTAGAGATTCCCAATAACCGAATAACAGAATTTTTGTAAGCTTTGATATTTTGTTCTGTTTCTGTAGGGCTATCATGATAACGCGAGACGGTATTGCCGAATTCTCTGACCTCTGAGTTTGAGCAAATGTCTTCTTTAGTAATTTCTCGTTCGGATGGTAGGGAGTGGATAAAAGATGGATAGGAAGCATTCGGTGTTCTCACATCTGGGTGAGTAAGCTGAATGTTCGTAAAGTTGTAAAAATAGAAGTTATTTCTTAAGCATAATATTAAAAAAAGGAATTGAGCTTTTTAGAACAAAATAATTAAGCTCGAGGAGCTATACCGTTAAATATAAAACGTCTAAGCTATATAAAATTGGATTGAAACTTCATTTGTAAAATGAAAGATAGGTTAACCTTTCTTTAACTATAATATTTATAATTATAGTTGAAAAGGAGGGTGGAGAGGGAGGGGGGCTAAAAAAGTAAAAGTTTAATTGTTAGGTAAATGATTAAATGGATGTATAAATCCATCCTAAATATCAACAAGCACAATTTAACAGTGGAAATTAAAAGTTCTTTAAAAAAATAACTTCTACAAATAAATATTGTGCTGTTTATGGAGTCGCATAGGTCGTTTAATGTATTATAAATTTTACAATCAAATAAATATATATAATTCATTTACGCTAAGCTTCTTTAAATCTTTGATAGTTCTTAAAGCGGAATCACTCGATGGCATTTTATGCCAAAAGTACATTTCTAAATCCTGGTCCGTTTTGCCGTTTTCTTCCCATGGTTCAACTTTCTATATTTTGTTTATATTATACCTTTTTTACAATTTCTAATAACAATTTCTTAAAGGGTCTAAATAACAGATAGAAATGTAAGATTATCTATTCTAATCTCTATTGAAATGTCAGACAGATTTAAAATGTAAATATTCTAATAATTATTTTTGATCTTCTGGTAGCAATTTAGTTGCCAAATCTTGTACGAACATTGTTAGAAAATAATCATGAAGATCTCTGGAGGAGGGTTAACTATATCTTGATATAACATTCCATCTTTATGCAAACAAACTAAAAACTAGCAGCATTCCATCGCTATAAAAAAAATCTAAATTTTTGAACAACCATAAACAAAAAAGTTACAATGAATGAATTTCAAATTTTTAAACCATAAAATCTCATAAATCTTTTCACTGGGGAACTGGACTAGAACATAGTGTTTCGCTATACTTTATTAATAACATTTTTATATTAGAATACCCTTAAAATAATATAGCAAAATTCTGAAACTCATTTTTTTTAAAAAAATAATCGATAAATTTAGATTTTTTGGTATTTGTCTTTATAGCTACTTTTTATAAGAAATCTATATTATAAAATCCAGTATAAATACAGCATTTATTTATTTATTTATTTAGATATGTGTATCAAGATATAACCACTTAACTCGCATGTTTGTTTAGACCAACTATTTTTTTTTACATACAGATATGAACTTACAATTTAATATTAGATGGGGGTCTTTCTCAAATGCAATCAGGAGTTATTAAAAATAAAATTTTAGAAAGCTTCTTATCTCCGCTTAATTATCTTTATCAGGACTAAAATATGAGTTTGAGCTCTTAAATTATATATGTATTTATTTTTAATTTTTTAAGAAATTTTGATTATGGCTCTAGGATGGATAAATATCTTTTTATAATGTAAAGAGAGTTTATAACTTATAAATATAAACATCAACATTGATTAGCTCTCTTATTAAGTAATCTAAAACAGGGTTGGCATGTCGGTCAATTGACCAGAGGAGTATTTGACTGGTCAAATACGGTCAAATACTCTAAAATATTAATGGCGAATAAATATTTTGATATAATTAACTAGCATGCATTAAAAGCATGTTTATCAATCTTATTATTTTTTTATTAAAATATAAATATGTAATTTTTCTAAATATAGTAATATTTTTAGTTATTTTTTTGCCTAATCATTGCCGTTTCTCGTCTTCTTTATTTTTTTCAATTCATTTTTCTTAAAAAAAATAAAAATACCCGATTTATTATAATCATAATATAATTTTTTCATTCTTATTTTTTAATAAATTTAAATTTTATTTAATATTTAGCCGAGTATAAATTATATTAATTCTCATTTGTTTTACTTACACTTGCTATATTTGGTTTTTAAAATTAATTTTCATTTTAATTGTTCTGGTCAGATTTACGGAATATTATTCAATTCTGGTAAAAAGTTTATTATATTATATTTATAATATTAAGAAATTATTGGAATAATTGGTCGATAATTATAAAATAGTTAAGATTGATTAACTTTACAATAATCAAAATCATTTTTTGTTAAATTTTAATATATTAGGGATTATGGTCAAACCAAAGCATCATGTTTGGAAACATTTTCAAGAAGTACGCGATGGTAAATCAGTTAAAGCGGTGTGCAAGTTTTGCAAGATGTCCTATATCACCCACGTTGATAGAATGGTCAAACATTTATTAAGCAGCTGTACTATGTGCCCTGTTATAATTAAGGAAAAATTTTATTCAAATTCCAAAATATCAACCTCTACAAAAAATATCACAAATGTAATTTGTAATACTTCTAAGTCTAACTCTAATGAAGAATTGGGTGAAATTAGTGAGAATGATTATCAAATGAACAATATTTTGTCTTGTGACTCAGGAGAATTTGATTCCCTTATTTCTAATCAATCTACAAGCAAGGCGATTAAATATAAATCTCAATCTTGTATAACCGGTTTCATAGATAGAATTAATCCCAAAGAAAAAAATGAGCTGGATCAATTGTTTGCAAAGGCTGTATATGCGAGCAATTTACCTTTCCACATCACTGAAAATCCCTAAATCCAAGAATTTTTTAAAAAAATACGTCCTATTTACACATTACCCAGGAGAAGGCAGCTGGCTGGATATCTTCTAGACAAAGCGTCAGGTGATATGGAGGTGAGAGTTGCAGATATAATAGATAAAGCTCCTTACTTATCAATTGTATCAGATGGCTGGAGCAACATTAGAAACGAGAGTATTATTAATTTTATGGTGATGACGCCTGTTCCAGTGTTCTACAAATTTCTAAATACTGAGGAAAATCGCCATACGGCAGATTATATTGCCCAGGAATTTAAAAATGTAATTCATGAATTGAATCCGGTAAAAGTATATTCTTTAGTTACTGATAATGCAGCTAACATGAAAGCAGCCTGGAGAATTCTAAAATCTGAATCTATTTATAATCATATACAATGTTATGGTTGTGCAGCGCATACATTGCAGTTATTCTTTCACGATTTTGAACGATTGGACGCCTTCAGTGACCATATTTCAATAATTAAAAAAATTGTTAAATTTTTCAAGAATAAACACATACCAGCTGCAGTATTTTCCCGTAATAAGAATCTTCATGGCATACCATCTACATTAAGTACAATTAGCCAAACAAGATGGGCATCGTCAATAAAATGTATGGAGCAAATTCAAATATGCAAGAAAGCTCTAAAAGCATCAGTTGTTGAAGAAGCTGTTTGTGATAATTGTCCCATAGAAATTACCAATAATATATTAAACGAAGAATTTTGGACGAAAAATTTAAAATTTTTAGCTATACTCCAACCTTTAGCTACCTCATTGTTGAAAGTGCAAGGGGATAAATGTACTTTGGCCCAAGTAAAAAACGAGATGCTTAATTTGGAAAAACACATAATACAATCATGCCATGATTCTATATTTTCTCCATCTCAAGAAAAAAAAATTAAGGTTATGTTTGAAAAGAGAAAAACTGATATAAATACATGTGCTCACAATGCTGCTTATTTATTGGACCCCCAATATCAAGGGGAGCATCTTACTAATACTGAATTTGATGAAGCATGTAATATAATACAAGAATTGGGTATTTTACAAGGTGGTGATAATCAAAATATTTTGAGTAATATAGTAAATTTCAGAAGCAAAAGCGGTATATTTAATAGCCATAATATGTGGAAAGTTGTAACTTCCATAAGAAACAATCAAATTTCGGCCTCAAGTTGGTGGAATGCATTTTGCCCACCTTGCCCATTAAGAGAAGTCGCTAATATTTTACTAACATTTCCTAGTTCGACTTCTTCTTCTGAAAGAAATTGGTCGGTTTGGGGCAATATTCACACGAAAAACAGAAATAGATTAAAGGCTTCTACAGCAGGAAAATTAGTAAGAGTGTATCTTAATTTAAGATTGATTAAAAATATTAAAGAAAATAATGATATTGAATATGAATCGGAACAAGACTCTGCCACGGAGGGTGAAACATTGACTATAGAATGAATTAAAAAATATTATGATATTTATTATTATACATAGATTTATTATAATATTATATAAATGCAAAATAAAGTTAATATTGGTGTAAAAAACATTTATTTGAATTTGACCATATTTGACCGGTCAAATATCGGTCAATTGACCGAATTGTATTTGACCGGTCAAATGCACAACCCTGATTTAAAATATCATTAAAAAAAGCTATTATTAATGCAAATTTTACATTAATTATTTTTATGGATACACATTACTCTCTCCTTGTCTAACTTTAAAAAAATGATAAGATAAATGTTTATACTTTGAAAATCGAAATTATAACTATTTTTAAAATTCATATTTTACACCTGACAAGAAAAATAATCAAAACAGGATCTAGAGAGCTTTGAAATTCATTTTCATATGGTATGATGAGGCTTGAGTTGACCTCCTTATCTAATATTTGAAAATAATGGGTCAAATAATTACTGTAGTGATTCAAAAGAAGAAATTGTCGTCAATCTATATGGCAACTTTACATTGATTCACTTATATCACCACTTCGATCAGGTTTAAGGCAATTATTAAGTTTTATAAAAGTAAAGATTTACTCAATTAATCTGATATGAAATATATGATTGAAATTAAAAAATAATATGTTTTTTAAAAAAAGGACAACAAACCATTGTAAACTATATCTAGCTATTAATACTCTCAAATCTATCCTAATTATTTGTTATATAGCATGCGTCAAATAAAAACAGTTGCACTGATGGTCGATTAATCTAGAGATTGTGTTATCTAACCATTATCAATTTACTTAGAGAGAGATCATAAAACAACACAAATTTATAACGGAAGTTGTGAATGTTTGGAAATGACTCCCTAAATACTTAATTTTTATTTAGTATTTCATTTAACAATTTTGAGGTAAATTATACATTCTTTAAAAAAAATCATAATCAGTTCGATTAACCAAAATTTAAAAGTTTTTGTTAACTAGTTGTAAAAAAATAAAAATCATGTAAATATAATCACTTATAAAGCTCACACAGACCCTAATATGGGTTAAGCCAAATCTTTAATAATTTGATGCAGAATTATCGAAAATAATTGCGTGAGCTATATAGTATAATGTGAATTTATTGAAAAATTAATGTTACCGTAGCCAAATATCAATAACAAGAAAGTATATAAAATTTTTCTCCCAACGAGGATGTATAATACTGCATACCTTACTAAATCCCGTTAGAGTCAAATAGATTAATACCAGAAAATATATTTTAAAAAATCGCACTTGATTATTATCCACCGTATTTAGATACTCGATCTCATAAGTAAGCATTAATAACCACAAGATGTGCAGAAATCCAAACTATAAAAGAGTATTGGTTTGGTTCAGGTTCTGATTAAAATAACGCTTTAGGGTTCAGATTCGGTCCATAAAAACCCATTCATACTTTTTCGCACACCAACCTTTTAAGAATTAAGTATGAAAAAGCACATTTTTCAAAAATTTAATCTTTAAGACTATACTAGAGTTACTAATGTGCATTTTATTATCAAATATACTGAAAATCTAATTTATAACAAATATACAGTATTTAACAAGTATAATATATAATTATATTCAAAAAAATACTATTGATACCGTATAATTACAATATCATCTTATAAAACTATATCAATAAAAGAAATTTTTTTGTGATTGATAACACTTCCATAGGCTAACTTAGGTAGCTGAACTGTTAAACAATTAATTAAAAAAATATGTTACATGATGTTATTGATAAATTTTAATTAATTATAATCTTTAAAACTATTCAAATAAAAAGATTCAAAAATCGGTTTACAGACCCTTTTAAATGTTCGATTCAGGTTTGTTTGATTACAAATTTTTGACGGTTCAAGTTCGACAAGTTCAGTAAATAATAATGGTTAATATCAGTTTGATTTTGACTTTATATGGGGTGTGACCGGCAACGCTGGCATCCCCTCCCTTTAGAAAGTCTATTGATCTATTTTTACAAAAATAGTAGAAATGGCGGTATGACTCCAATAATCAAGTAATTAAAAATAATATTTAATAAATGAAGAAAAATATAATTTATACCTTGGATTCGTGGTACAAAGCCGTGAGTAGGTAATAGGCGTATTCCAAATTTTGCTTTCTTGTAGGACATCTGTCCGTAATTAAGTTAAAAACTCCTTTTTCAGAATCATACATGTTTTTAACTAGTCTCAAGAGTTTGTCGGTACCATGATAATTTAGGCGGAGAGATTCTACACTCACCTAAACGACAATAAAAAATTAGAGTAGTAAAAATAGCAGCCCAAAAATTTTAATATATTAGAAAAAATAGAATAAGAACCAATTCTTATTTGGCAAAGTAAAATTATAGCAGTATTGGAAAATATATTAAAAGTTTTTTTTGGTTTCTATTGGATAAACTTCGAAATTCGTCGCTTTTTAGGCTAGAATGTTAAGATTTAGCTAAAGTCTGCGGTTAAAACTTCTAAATGAAATTAATTTAATCGACTTATACCATGAGATTTAGACCAAAAAAATCTTCTTATATCTTGGATATACCATTCTGGAATCGGCATGAGGAAAATAATTTTTTAGCAAGGATACTCTAAACAAAAAATATTGGATAAACATCGCGCCTATGGCCATCCATTTTTGATAGGCTCAAGTTAGATAATCACAAACAAAAATCACAATATTCAGCAAATGTAGATATATTTCTTAGTCTATAATATGTGTCCTATTTGACTTGTTACTAAAAATCCGGCTGTTTAACCGGCTATTTAGTATCGACTAAACGGTCTAAAAAGCAAAATAATTTTTTTTTTAAAAACCAAATTAAAAATACAAAAAATAACAATGCCTCCAAATACTTAAAACAGACCTAGTGTCCTAGTTTAAATAGCTGAGAGGCTAAACAGTATTAAGTATCAAAAATAAGACGAATCTGGACACCCATAGTCCAAAATTTATAATTTTTTAAAAAATATTATTTTTCATAAAATAGGCTTAGAAATAGTTTACAACCAAAAAGGAAAAACACCAGTTATATGAATTTAATGTAGATATTTGGGAATAATTATCAATTAGAGAATAGGGTAAATTTATTTTATTGTTAAAATTTAAGATTTTTTTATGAAAAATAAAAACACTCATGATAAAAAAAAGAAGTGTTTTTGACATTAAATTTAAAAATAAGGTATTTATACTAATAAAAAAAAAAATTTTCTAACAAAAATTTAAATTTCTTATATTTGTTAGTTACAAGATATTTTAAATTATTTGGAAGCATATTTACACCGAAGTACATCAAAAACATGAATTGATTTTGATCAATTTCAATAAGATGCATCTAAGGTAAAAAAAATTTGTTTCAATCATGAAGACTGAATGACGAACTGTTGCTCATGTACCCAATTTTAAAAAAATATATTATTTTGCACTACCTGTTAGGTGTAATATTTATTCATTGCCTAATGATGCAAAATCCCAATAGGCTAACAAAGAAAGCATGGAAGAATGACAAATGTTCAAAAAAGGCTTTAAACCTTCAGTAAATTATAACAAAGAAGATTTGTAGCTAATAAATAAATACCCATTTTCACTTCTCAAAGAAAAATAGTTTTAATATTTTATTTCCCAATATTTGTATAAAAAATAAATTTAATTTAATTATTTCTTTAGATTTTTTTTACCTATTTTTAGTATGAAAATTCAAAGACAATATCATGTAAAATCAAAAAATTAAATTATTTCTAAAAAAAAATATATAGTGCTATAATATTATAAAAATATATTAAATTTTATAATTCTAGGGAATAAAACATTAAAAAGATTATACATCAAGTAGTATAATCTTAAAAAAAACAGGAAATATATAATAAAATATTGGAGAATATGTTTGTGACGGTGTTATAAAAGGTATTGAGGTTAAGAAGGATCATCTTGTAGAATGAGACTGCCTATGAAGCAAATATAATTAGCCTTGTGTATTGCAATGGCGAGCCTTTGCCTTAAGAAGAACCCCTCGCAGGGTTCACCGGTTAGTTGACGGATGTGGGAGCCGAGTACCTTGAAAAAGGATAAGGCATATTTCCCAATAGTAGTAAGGGTAGTGGAAATGATGGGGATGAAAATATATTCTTGAGAGATTTCAGAACATTTCGCTATTTTGAGTGACTCCTTTTCTCAAGTATAATAACTGTTTGATTTGATGGAGCGAGTGGATCAATGCAAGAGTAGTCCCAGACCAGGAATTGACCGCGCTTCCAAGGAATTTGTGATATTCCGTCAGGCCGTTTCCTATCAGATCTGAAAAGACCAGAAGGTTCAAGAGTGGAGGGGATTTGAGCGGATCTAAGAGCTCTAAGGATGATAGAATTGCATAGATTATGTCTTACAATTCGACCTTTACATAAGCGACAATGAAGACTATGTCTACCATTGCCCAAAACTGCAGAACCGCAACCTGAACATATGTGGGGTTGGGTAATAAGACAATTTAATCGTATACCAATCGCGTTTTTAGAAAATTAGTCTTGATTTTTAGTATGAAAATTTAAGGACAATATCATGTAAAATCATGCCGTAAAGAATGTGTATGTATAGAAAGGATAAATTTTACAAAAGTCAATATACAAATTAGCTAAATGTCAAATAAGATATATTAAAATTTGCAAATTTTATATAAAATTAACTGATAGTAGAGTTGTTAACGCTCCTTTTTAAAGGTAGCTAGCTCCCGCTCCTACCTTCTCAAAAGGAGCTAGCTCCCGCTCCCGCTACTACATTTTTAAAAGAAGCTAGCTCCCGCTCCAAGTAATGGAGTGCCACTCCATAACCGCTCCTTTGATTTTTATTTTTTTAGAAGGTATACGAAATAAAATCTTATTTTTTTTTTATCAAAAAGCTTTATTTATATTAAATTATCTATCAAAATATTTATAACCTTTTTTTAGCTTTTAAAATTAATAAATTTTAAATTAGAATCTATCAAACATCCACTCTCCCCTAAGACCTGTTTTGCAATACTAAATAGGCACTCCACAAGAGCACTATAGGGAAGCAGGGTATTGTATTTTATAAATATATTTTTTAATTCAGGGAATTTATCAAAAATAGTAATTTTGGGATCATTATTTAAAAAATATTTGTCCAATATATTATCTTCCTGATGATCAATTTCATGGAATCCAAAAAAATCTTCCAAATTAATTTGTATTTAAAAGAAAGATTTTTTACTTTTAGATGCTTTTTTAGATTAAAGCTGCTCACTTTTGAAAATTAAATAGTTTTATTTAAACACTAAAGACATTTTGCCCGTAATTTGTTTGATCATTTGGATCAACATCTTTTAGAAGTTTAAAATATTTTTTGTATGATGGAAATTCGATTTCTTCATCTATGACATCTAAATCCATAATATCTAAAACTATTTTTTATTATATATCTATAAAACAAATATTAATATGACTTACAAGATTTTCCAAAAAATTTTCAATATAAAAAGGAAAACTTGATGTTTAATATAAATGATTAGATAAAAAACCAATATAAAACTCAGCTAAACATTTAATAATGCATATTATTTAATAAATATTATTAATATTTAAAAAAGAATTTAATTTATACATTAAATTTAAAGGAGCGGTGCTCCTCCACTCCAGTCCTAAAAGGAGCTAGCTCCCGCTCCCCAATTTAAAAAAGGAGGGGCGCTCCAGGGTTTTTGAAAAAATGTAGCACTCTGACTGATAGATATAAAATAATGGATTCTTGATTTTGATGAAAATGTTATTATGCCAATTTATAAGAAATATTTATATAATATAAATTTAACTTTCATAGATATCTTCCTAGCCCTTGGATCTTTTAGGGAAGGTGCTGAGAAACAATAGTCACTAGTAGTTATCTCAATGGGAAAATGTTCTGACATTATCTTATCCAATTTATTGGCCTCAGTTTGATATATTTTTTCAAATTCGGCCTTAGTTAAATTTTTATGGCTATCTAAATGTTTGTTAGTTTGATCAGATTTGACACATTCTTGGATATTATTTTTTGCAAAAGGATTTTCAATACCAGGAGGCATAAGCTTTGATGTTTCAACAAAAGATAAATTATAGACTCCACTCTTCTTGTCATCACCAGTATTATAAAATGGGATTAATCCTTTAAATTTGTATTGCGATGATAAGGCTTTAGGCCATGGTGTGCAGAACTCTTCAAAATTATGAATATAAAACGTCTACATTTATTATACATAAAATCTATTAAACTTTTAATAGCTTCACACTGTTGTTTAATAGCTTGTGGAGTCAAGTGCAGGAAGTTTGGTATTTTCATCAATTCAAGATTTCCTAAACTTGAGGGAATGACTCTTTTAGAAGAAACATTGCCTTGTCTAAGAGGTAGAGGAACAACAGATGCTTTAAAACTTGATGCTGTTGGCCAAACACTAGGCCAATCTTGATCTATAGGCATACGAGTATGTCGTGGAGGCATCATAGAAAATTTCTAAATAACAATGAAAATAAAAATATGAATTAAATTACTTTTTGAATACTGCGCCTTTTTTTCCTTTCCTCAGTTGATTTAGTATATCGTTTGAATTCATTTTCGCCTAAAATATTATTTTGATATTATTAGATTTATAATTATTACTTATATCATCTGGTTTTATATCATACCCACTTATAACCTTTAGACTTATACAAGATAAATGAAAATTTTTACAAAGTTTTAAATCGTAAATTTTCAGCATGTTTTTAAATGAATGGGTTGGGAATTTAATTTTAAGTAATAGTGCTAAACCATAACTTGACTAAATAGGTCATATTTAATAAAAAAAACTTTGTTACATGAAATAAAAACATAACATAGTCCATTAATGCAAGGGAAGCATTTCCCCTTTAAATTTTATTATAAAAATTTCAAATAATTTTAATATAATTTTTATACTATGTTAAAAAAATAATCTGTCATTGTTAAAAAAAAATTAATATAATTTTTATAAAGTTAAAATTAATATAATTTTTATTATGTTAAGAAATGACTATTATTTTTACTACGTTAAAAAATATATTATATTTATTACATTAAAAATTTACTATTTTTTTACTATGTTAAAAAAAATGTACATGAGGGTAGCAAATTAATATTTTCTATTTTTTTAATAAATAGGGAGAAAATGAGCAAATGTATTATGTAGTTTTACGTTTAGAAAAATAAGGAGTGAGGAAGCAAATAAAAAATGTTTATTTTTTTTATAAATAAAAGAGAGAAAATTTTAATATTATATTGTTTCCCTTATTTTTTTAAATAAAAAATTTTTTCTTTTTTATAAGCAATATTTAAATATTTTTAATTGTATTTCTGAAAATTTGATTATCATTTAACTCAAGAATGCAAAAAATTGAGAGTTGAAAAAAGAAGACCAAAACCAATTTTACAAAACTTGAAAAAGAAATCAAAAGTATAGTTAAATCAGACAAAGAAAATCTTGACGTTTTTGCAAAATTTATGTGTAAAATAGAATATGGAATACAATTTTCTTAAAAAAAATAAAATAGATCATACAAATTTGATAATTAAAGGAGATAATATAATCAATGAAATTAATTTTCAGTTTGATACATTAAAAAATATCAAATTCGTCGAATTGTGAGATATTAGTAAATTTCATAAATTTAATCAAAATTTCCCAAATAATTTATGACAATTTAAAAGATTTTTTGACTTACACAAGTTGAAAACCGAATCAAAAATAGTATTTCGGGAAGATGAATTTAGAAAGAAAAAGAATGTTAATGAAATACTTGAATTTTTAATATGTACCGATTTGATGTATAGTTTTAGAATTTTTTAAATTATGTAAATTTATCTTACTCTGGCTCCAACAATAAATTCAAAACAAGGTTTTTCATCTTTAAAAAGAATCAAATCTTATACCAGAAAAAAGATGAATCTACTGAATCTAGCTATAACTTTTAAAATTCAATACTTAAATATTTTATTCAAAAACAAGGACAAATTCCACTTATTTGTAAATCTTAATTTTTTTTTTGCTGTGACTAATACAAAGAAAATTTTTTTTCGAATACTACCATAATAGTAAACTTGACCCTTCGTCACGCAACATAACAACCTATTAAACAAGGCTTTAACTATAATAAAATAAAAATATTTATTTTTTATATATTAATTAACCCTAAATCATATCTATTATAATGCAATCTGCAAAGTCAGATAAAATTTTTATTTTTCGCTGAAACGAATCTATAATATTAAACAAATTCCTGTAAAATTATACAGAAACCGACATATAAGATTATTTCAGTAAAAAATTTGCTTGTATTTTTCTCTAACTTGGAATTACACCTGAGTGCGAGTCAAAATAATTTTAGCACAGTTCAGGCCAGTAACTGCGGGACCTTAACTCCCATTTAAAAATGATTTAATTTAAACATAATATGTCATTAAAAAAAAAATTTATTTGATTTTTAGTTATAATATCGTTTTTGCAACTCATCGATATGTTTGAATAATTTTATTTTTTGCTATGAAAAATATTTATTAATGCAAAAAGTTAAAATAGAATCAGAATAATAAAAGCGACATTTTGTCAAAATAAATTAATTACCCCTTGAAATTACAATTTTCCTGTAAATACGCCACTAAGTTTACCCAATTTTTACATTGTTTTTTTTGGATAAAATTATATCGTTTTTTTATCATTTAAATTTTTCTTTTACCACATTCACTTCCAAATAAATTACTCAGATTAAAGTATAATTTTCATGACATGTTATTAAAATTTCATGAACATTCTAAATTTAACATAGTATTCGCCAATGACGAAGAGTCAAGATTGATATTAGAGAAGCAATTAATTAATTTTATATAAAATGTTAAGATTTATAAATAAGCGAAATGCATCTCTCATTTTTCAGTAAAATATGCATGTACTGACTTATAAAAGCCTTAAGATTCTTAATTTTCATTTAATTGAAATCAAAGTTTGATTATAGATTTAGACTCATTCTATTACTATATAGTTTTAAACCCTTTTAGAAATGAAAATCCTATCTATGAATTTGCGGTTGTTGAGGCCAAAGTTAGAATGAATTCGCATAATTAAAAAATTCTTTGTAAATTTTAAAAAAAAATGACAAGTTATATTTAAACTTTCAATTTTTGGGGAAATTTTGTTAAAAGGTTTGGAATTTAGCATTGCAATCCTTAAAAATTAATATACGAATTATATATAAATTGAATTTAAGTAACCGATTTATTGAAATAAATTGCATAGGCATAGCCAGGTGGGTGGAAAAGGGAAAATCCTGACCCCCTTCAGAAATTTTTACTTTTTGTGAATATCATTTTAAGCTAATAAAAAATATCCCCCTTAGTCCTCCCCCCACTCCCTGACCCTCAAAAATGTATGCATATATCTTAAACAATAATTTGAAAGAAAGAATATAAAAGTTGATATTTTTTTATAAAACTATACATCATAATTTATATATTTTTGGAAAAAAGCATTTATATATATAAAAAATGAACCAAAAATATTTTTTTAAGAAATGGAATATAAGCCAAAGAAAAGTCTTCAGACAAGAGTGAAATGTATTATAATTATTAATAATAGATCCATAAAATTGCTTAATAATATATTATATCAAATATAATTTTTTATAAAGGAGTATTTATAATTTATTTATCAATATAATTAAAATATAATTATAAAACTATCGATAAAATTAAATCATAAATTATATTAAAAAAATTATAGCACAATACAAACAGTGGAATATTATATGTCGTAGATATCAATTATCATATGACAATCAAGTAATTTTTACCAATATAGCGAATAATATATTTAACAGAACACTATAAATTATTGATAAGGACATCAGAAAATATATTTTACAGACATTGTGGGATGAATAATATAAAAATTAATTTTAAAAATCATTTTTTAATTATGATAAATAGATGGCGTTAAATAATTGAATGCAAATTGATGCAATATTAATTATCAAGAGCATTGATTAGAAAAATTTGTTAAAATATTAACTGTAATATATTCTCTAACTGTTAAATATGACTGTAAAAGTATAATTTTACCTAGTATTTTGTAACTAATTCTATATAATAGAGAAATATCTACTATATGTTTACTTACTTTTTAAATAAATTTCTTATACTTGTTTGGAATAAATTATTACCATGCTTTTATATTAATGTATATACAAGTAATTTATTATATTTTATATAAACTAATATAAATATATTTCATATTTGTTCCTGGCTTAATTTTTTTATTAAAATTAACCTCCCTATCTTGTAAAATTATTTTATTAGACTAAGGTAACCCGGCCGAAGGCCGGGCTAAAGCGAGCCGAAGGTCCGCCCAAAATAAGGTCTGGGGGCGAAGACCCTAGTATTTTTTTAATCCCCCCCCCCCTTAGGAAAATCCTGGCTACGCCTATGATAAATTGACTAATATAAATTAACTGTCCTGAATAATTTGTTATATTATTGCTAGTAATATGGCCAAAACATATTGTGAAATTTTCAAAACATTTGAAACTCGTTTCAGATGAAAATTTAGAGGGCTAAAAAAACCGGCTTAACCTAGTTTTTAATTACTGGAGTTTTTCTTAAGAATATATCAAAACTAAGATAAATTAAAAGACGAATTAGCCGACATTTAGACATTACCCAACCATAGTCCCTAGTTATCAATCATTTCTATTTAATATTATACGCGAATAAGGAAGATATTTTATTTCATATATAAAAGGTTTTATAGTATCTTTATGAATAAATCATAAATCGCAAAAAAGACTGCTAATATGTAATCCAAGGGTTTTTTTTTGAATTGTTGAAATTTTAGTACTATGATTTATCATGTATAATGATAAACATGTTTATAAAATATTTTTAAATTTAGATTAATATCAGTCAATATAAGTTAACTTTTCATAAAAATCCTTGTTTAAGAACTTTAAAAAAAATTAAATAAAATCTTATAGATAATAACTTCAACTTCAATAAATGTAACAATATTTGCTAAAATTAATAAGATAAAAGAGAAAATGGACTTTAATTATTTTTTCTCATTCGCTTATATTTTTACATTATTTAATCATATGGATTTGGTAAAAAAAACTTATATCCAAATATTTTTAAAATAGCAACAATATATGCATTACATATTTTATGTTCTATATCATAGGCATTATCCAAGATATTGGGGGGGGGGGTACTATTAAATGGGGTTTTTCTCCATAATTTGGGGGTATTTAGATCCCCTTGTTTTAGATCATTGGCTTGTATTTTTATAAAAATTCTGAATGATAGTCGTTATTTTTAAAAATTATTAACTTTTACTAATTTTTCTTTCAAATTATGATTTATGATATATTGTTTACATTTAGAGGGGGGGGGGCATAAATAGAAAATTTTAAATAGCTTAAAATGATATTTACGAGAACAGGAAAATTACTGATCAGTTACGCCTATGTTTCAAATATAACTCTTTTCTTAAATTTATAAATTTATGGGGGCAATTATATGTGGTCCAAACCAAATTTTACTATGTAATGCAGGTAAAAATTAATTGATTAAATTGTATATTTCCATGTCTTAAAAGAATCGGCTTATCTGGGTAAACCTGGAAATCGCCATTGAACGGAGATGTCTTTAAAAAATCATATTATTTTTTTCTTTCAGAAATTGTAATTACACGATGGTTGGTTAAGATTAAGAATAAAATACAATACTCCAATACATGTAGCTGTTGATCTTGATTCTTTGAAATGATTCAAATGCGATTTAGTTATACATTTTACAAATATTTGAGCAATTAAATACACTTTCATTATTATGTTACAAAATTATAAATATAATTAAATCCTATATATACATCTTTATAACAACCACGATTTATTGAATGATATTGCGATGCCATGATTCGTAATCTATTTTAATAAGGATTATGTGTTGTATAAATTGTCTTTGTTTTTATCGTCTTGTTCATTATTTTCTCTATTTTGGGGGTCTTCTCTTCTGTTTGAACTAAATAAAAAATATTTCTTTTTACTGTGAAGCAATATACACAAAATTATTCCATACAAGAAACAAACCAACTAATATATAATAATTAACGTCGTTACATTAATTGCTTTATTTTTCTAAGGAAAGGGAATGCCATTCATTACTTGTTTCAGAGGGTAACGAGTAACGAGTTTCTTATTTTTGAGGGTCGGGTTTATTTTTTAAAAATAATATCGGTTCGGGCCGGGCTTAGATTCTTTAAATATGATATTATTATATTTTTTCAAATAAATTGATATATTTTTAAATTTTGCAAGAAACAAGGAGCTAATATTTTTTATTTTTTTTACAATCAAAAAAAATATTAATTTAAATAAATTAGGGCCGGGCGGACAAATAATTTTTATTTAGGATTGGGCTTTTAGGGACAAATAATAAAAATTTTATTTATAAAAAAAAATCTGGCCAGTTTTGAAAAATTAGGCTCGTTGCAGATCACAAACCAAAAGTTCGTTGAAATTTATTTAGTACATTTGAAATATTATAGTTAAGATTGTTAATCTAATTAATATTGACAATCAAGGTGTATTAATTTGTGTTCTCTAATATTATTAATTATTTTATAAAGAAAATTGTACTCATTTCTTCCGACAAAGATGATCTAACTCTGCTCTAGCCCCAGTATGAAACATTTTTACACAAATAAAGAAAATTAAGAGCACTAAGTCTAAACTTTGTAAGTGTAAATGTGCCCTAATTCAAATATTTCAACCTCGATATTCAGCAGCACAAATCTAAAAAAAACATAAGACGGTAAAAATATGAATTCAGATTAAATTCTGATAAAGATAAAAAAAAATTGATGAGGATCTAAATAAAGATTTTTTGTGAAGATGATCTAATAAGTTTTTTTTGAAAATAAAGATCCTTTTGATAGCATAGGTGGGGGTATGCAGACCTCCGTCATCTAAAAACGATTATTAATTATAATTCTTTTGATATTTTTCTGGATCTTTTAATAGCTTAATATTTTTAGGTAAAGAATATATGTGCAAAATTAATACTGATTTTGTTTGGTAGTTCATGAGTTATAACGGTTTTTGAAGCTCGGGCTAAACATAGACCCCACCTTGTCATCCGGGTAACTTTTTTTCCTTCTAGTTTTAGCCTTGATATATTAAGCTCATGCCTACTCAAGCAGAGACTAAAAAAACAAATATAAAAGCCTCAGCAATTTTATATCCTCGCAAATTGCAACTTTTACCAAAGGATAGTTCGCTCCTATCACTTTTGGTTTTTTAAAAAATTTAACTCACAGAATCAAATTACAAACATTTGAACCTAGGGAATTCCTATTCCTGAGGCAGAACATACAAAAATTTAACTATTGTTTCTTTTTAGGAGCCCAATTATGCTTTTCTTTTATATAACGTCATATTTATATTCATATTGTGAAAATTTATTAAAGTTTTAAATAAAAGTTTTAAACTATAGCATAAATAAACACTTAATTATAATCTCTAAATTGGAGTTTATATAATATATGCTTATTATATGAAAGCTACAAATAAATTCAATTCTAAGATATAGCGTATCTAAACTGGGCCCCTATGCACCCATTCTTTGAGCCCGTTGAACGTGTGTTTAGCATTGCGAAAGCTATGTTGAGAACTACTCTTATTTAACTGATCAAAATTTTGAAAATATTGTTGTTAAAAATAAATAAAAATTCTTACAAAAAGAACTCATCTTATATAATTTTCTTATATATGGGGGAAAAAAATTTTATATATAATATTTAATATTTTTTATGCAAAGCGTTATTTTTTTTGAATAAAGAATAAAGCGTTCCTTTTTTGAAATATGGTTTACAACACTAATAATAATCAATTAATTCCGATTATTTATAATTGACCGATTTTCCTTTTGGAAGGTATAATATGGTTGTTGCAATCATAAGTTTAATTATAATTATTTAAAAAAACTTCTTACTAAAACATAACCGCCGTTGGTTGATCATTTTATGAAGGTTTCTATGTAAATGTTTAGGAAAATTATTCAATAACGAAGAATAACTTACTTAGTTTCGTTCATTTCGGACCTGCTATCCCTTTTGGAAGAATAAGTTATATATTGCACGTCTCTGTTGAGATTTTTATCGTTGGCAGAAATAGTATCCTCATTTTTTTTACTCCTTTGCCATTCGTTCTTCAGTTCCCTCAGCATTTTAGGCGTCAATAGACCCCTTTCCAACAATTGGTCCGTCAATCTTGACCGAGGGCCATAATTAATCGTTTGATTATTACCTTTATTACCGTATCGCTTTTTAGTAGGACTACTCATATCATTTGTTTCGTGGTTAGATAATTTAGTTTCTAACCCATTCGTCTCTCTCTTTTTATGAAAACCTTTGACAAATTTTCGAGTCGTAGTGACGGGAGAATTAGCGTCGCTCTCATACGCGATATTATCGTCAAGAGTCCTTGCTTTATCATTAATAGCCTCTGAATCATTGGAATAATTCGAGTTATTGGTGAGAGATCTTTGGCTAAATTAAGAGTAAAATCATATTTAGTAATTAAAAAAATATCAGAGACCTGCAGAGATACTATTTGCAACCCGGCCAGGATTTTTTTTCAAACGGATTTTTTAAAAATATATAATATTTATCTTTATAGCTAATAATGGTGATTTAAAATATTTGGTATAAAAATATACGACCCAGCGGGGTATATTTAAAAAAATAATAATAGGGCTTAAGGCCAGGCCTGCAGTCTCTGATATATATTTAAAGGAACCTTCTCATATTAAGTATTAATTTTTTGTCTCCATATATTATTTTTTTTTAATCAAATCAAGAAAACATTAAACCTTTTGGAGGTTTTGTATTGAGTGGGTATATCGGGATCATAACTCAAGACATTGCTAGGTCCGTTAGAGTTGCAGAGTAACTTAGTTAGATTTGTGACGCCTATTTTTATGATAGCGTCTAATTCTAATTGCATATCCCGTATCATCGCAACGTCCGGAAACATGTCAACAAATCTGTAACTACATTATAAACAAAATTAATTTTAAATTTTAAGAAATTCTCTTCATTAATAAAAATTATTAGATATTTAGAGTATGGAACGAATTTATATCGGTTTGAGGCTAGGTTTTACCCAAATAACATTAATTTCAACTTAGACTAGTGATTCATTTATTAAAAGTGAACATACATTGATGTCAGCTGTAAGCAATGTCATTGGCTTCAGCAGACATTATTTGAAAGGAATTTACTTGTGTATATTCATAATGAATGAATCGCCTTGTTTGAAATAATTTCGAATGAACGGGGAAACTGATTTAAAATTTTTTTGTTGTTAAAAAGTTGAATTGGTTTTGAATAAGAAACTTAATTAGACCTACTTTTCATAAACAAGATAATTTTTGAATAATAATTTTATCATTATGATTGCCTAAATATTTATGCTTGCATAATCGAATGAAAAATTTGTAATATCATAATGAAACCTCTATGTGCCTCAATAAAAAAAACATTTAAATGTAACAAAAAAAATTTTTTAAATTAGAAGTAACAGCATAAGTAGGGGGGGGGGGGTTAATATAACAATAATAAACTCGAAAGTTTTAAGACCTTTGTCTAGAATCATAATAAGAGACAAAATAAAAATTTAATATTCTGATTTTAAATTTGCTAAACTGCCATAATAAACAGAAGTAATTACCTTAAAAATAAGACAAAGAATTGAGAAACTTTTAGATTAAATAAAACCAATATACATGAATACCTGAGCCAGAGGTACATATCCAAAACGTCAAAAACACCTTCCAAATGAACCAAATCGGTTATGGTTAAAGGCGGTGAGAAGGGCCAATCGTTCAGTTGATGGCATAACCATTCGAAAGTCAGGGGCTGGCCACGGCTGAATTGACGGGCAAACTTTTACAATTAATTGTAAGTGAATATTAGAGGGTAAGGTAAAATTAAAAAGTTAAGAATATTGAAAGATAGTGCCCCCTCCCATAAGCCAATGATGCTGAGACCCTAATAATGGAGCAGAGGGGGTATCCTGTGGTGCAAGCACACTCCTCCTAAAAAGTTAAGCCAAAATTTAAATATTTAAACGGGATTGAGAGTATCAATAAGAAATTATTATCACTACAATAACAATATACTCATCGATAATATATTTCTTCCTCCCGTTAAATGATTGAGAAAATGAAATACCTATGAACTAAAATTTAGAATAGATTCGATCATAAAAAATCAATATATTTTTATAATTATTTCAAGTTTTATTTATTTTTTCTAATAATAAAATAAGTAAAATATAAAAGAAATATATTGAATTGTTAAATGAAAATATATTGAATTGGACAATGATTTTTCTAATATTTCAAAAATGGCCTGTATTGTATGTATGTTGTATAAAACTAATAAATTAATGATTTAAAAAAAAGATTAAGGTTAAATGCTATTGTTTAGGGATCCAAACCGTAACGAGTATCGGTTTGATTCTGATTTAGGTTCAGTTAAAAATTACGGTTCATGGTTCAGGTTTAGTTCATAAAAAATAATGATATCGGTTCAATTTGAATGTTCATCTCGCTTACTAGCGTTATAAAATTTCAAATTTCATCACTATTCTCTAAAAAAATAATATTGAACCCTATACAATTAGAATATTCCCAAGATTCTCTTCTATCAAACTATATTTATAAGGAGGAAGATTTAAGTCCAAGAACACTTTTATATGCAATCTTGGGTAGCTAACACCCTCAAAGCAACATACAAAAATATTTAAAAATAATAATCTTTAAGTGAGTTATAAATATCGAAAAGTTCAAACGGATTCACAGGCATTTTCAGAGATTCGTTCCAGGTTCAGGTGGCATATTTTTAACGGTTAGGTATGAATCCTTGATTTTGCCTTTAAACTGTCTTGTCTCTGAAACATTTTAATTTTTATCGATCGGATATTTACCAATATTGTTATAAAACCGATATGATATTTATATTGATTTTTTATTTACCAACTATCTTTGAACCAATGTCATAAAAAACCAAACAACTTTCGCGAATGATTAAGTGTATTTTGTTTTTTTTTATTTTCCAAAAATAAATAATCTTATTTAAAATATGAGCAATGTTTATAGTTGAATGTAGTGTTGCTAAACGTTTCAATTTAACCGATTTTTTTTAAAAAAATCGCTAATAGATGTCTCCTTTATACCATCTGTGGGTAAAATCTCCAAGATGCCATTTTTTCTTATCAATTATAGTTTAGTATATATGATTTTTCGAAATCAAGCAATAGTTTTGCTAATAAGATATATTGAAAGTAAAACGTCTCAGTTGAAAGATTATTAGATATATATATTGTACGGATAACATGGGTGGTTTTGATATTAAAATAATATAATATGCTAACTTTATTAGCTATGATGATGCTTCAAACATGAATGGAAGGATAAATAGAGTATATGGTCTGATTAGAGGTGAGGACCTAAAGTGATCTTTTATGCTATTGTCATCGTACCAAACGATAAAAGAAAAAATCTTGAGTTAGCCGTTTTTAAAAAGATAGGTTAAATAGGCCGTTTAACTAGCTGAATGTAATTCGTTATATATTTTTTAAATCCTTCTCTTGCTCGCAGATATTACAAAATCTGCATTTTTCTTTAAAATCTTTTTTTGAAAATATTACAAAATAAATTTAATTTTGGTTCCTTTTTTTAAATTAATTTATTATTAGTGTGAATTTTTATAACTTGAAGAAATCTCATAATATAGGTCAATAGTAACTTTTTATCCTCAATTCTGGTATACAAATCGTATGGGGATTCAATCTCTTGATTTTAAACCCTTTACCGAAGGCGATTTAAAAAAATTTTAAATCCAATTTAACCAGAAATGAATTCTAGCATGTGTAGAGTATTTACCCTATAAATTTCAGCCAATTTTGCCATGAACTTTAGAACTACTTCTAATTTATATTAATCTTTATATAAATTAAAAAATACTAAAATGTCTATGGCTGAAATTTATAAGGTAAATACTCTACACATGATAGAATGCATTTCCGGTTAAATCGGATTTTAAAATTTTTTAAATCGCCCTCGGTAAAGGATTTAAAATCAAGAGATTCCGAATCCTCACGGATTGCGAATCTCCATACGACATATATATTTACTATTCTATAATTATTCAATTTAACTGACCTTTTATATAATATTTAATATAAATACGCTATATTATTGTATAACAAATATATTATTTGAATATTATAAACTTTAAAAAATATGAAATAAAAAATGGAATTATGTACAAAAATTTAAAAAATAATTCCTACAAAATCTTTTTTTTTAAAAAAAAGGGTAATTAAAAAATAAAACATATCGATAAAAGGTCATTTGGCATCTTGAACCTCGGATATTTCAGGTAGAGACCCGCAAAATAAAAGAAAAATCGGCCCGAAGCCACCTACGGCTCGGTGGCAAAAAATTTTGAACTAGACCCGGCCCGAATTTAAAAAATAAATTTACAGGTAAGAAAATCTCAATCTCAACATCTTCCCTATTTTAATGTTATGCATTAAATTTAAAAGTTCAGCAAAATACTTTTAGAATATTTGTTTATTTTATTCTATTTATTATAAGGAAAGTTAATAGTAAATATCTACCATAGCCATCTTATTTTTGTTAAAATTTTATTCATTAAAATAAAAAGGAAGAAAATATAAAATTAATATTTTACGGGCCGCGGCCGAGTCTATATTTTCTTGATAGTGGCTCGGACGTGCAGGACTCTAATTGTGAAGGAAGCTAAAAAAAAAAAGGACCTTTTTATCTATTGGGGAAAGGGAAGCTAAAATTATCGGCGTTTTTTCCGATAATTGTTTTATATCAGTTTTATAACTTTGACCAACCCATTTAAATATTTCAACCCTAAACCCTCTTTTAACTTTTAAATTTTACGTGGCCTCTTTAATTTTAGAAAAGTATAAATATAATATAAATAAACAAAACGGTAAAATTTTTATTTAATTTTAAGCTACAAATTATATGGCTCTCTTACTGTTAAAAAAAAATCGAGCTTTTTGTGCCCTTTTAAAATAACCTGACAATAATAACATTAATATCTTAAATCAGGCCACTTAAATATTATACAAGATATAAAAATAAATCCCAATAAAAATATTTACATGTGAATAAACAATAATTAAGATAAATTTTGACATGTGGTAGTTTGAAGATTAGATTATTCCATATCACCCCTTTTGTCAAAAATGATTTTTTTTTATAAATCTTCTCTTCTCTCCGTTTAACGGCGATTTCCAGGTTTACCCAAGATAGCCAGTTTTCCTTCTGATTTAATCATTAGGAAATTTTGTAGCAAGGTTTTTACAATCAGATGCCCTTCCTGAAATCAACCCCTTAAGGTAGTTTTACACCTCGTCGCGGAAACGATGATCCTATTCTAGACCTTAACCCCAGGAAACATTTTAGAGAGGCTAAAAGTAGGATTTTGGGAGTTTTTTTTCAGAAATAGATTTTACTATTTTTTTACATAAAAAAAAATCCGAAATATATATAAAATAAGTTAACTTATGGCCAATACAAGGTTATACCATAATATTCAAAATGATAGATATTTGACTTTTTAAATTGTTCTCCTGTAAAATTACAAAAATATGGAGATAAAATAAAACTAATTGTAAGGCGACAATATAACAATTAGCAAACAAAATTTTAGCTAAATTAAATGGATCGAAAGAAAGGCTATTGAGACAAGGAATTATTTATTCAATAATTTATTCTCAAAAATTATTATTCCAATTATGGCATTTTGCAAATATGTAATTTAATAACTCCCCAAAATTTAATTTTGAATATTTCCCTAATTATTTATTACAAAACTATATGAAACCACAATAAAATTTACTTGTAAAGGGTAATATTTTATTTTTCATACATGTGATACCTTCTTCTACCCCTTTGACGCCATATAAAATGTAAAATGCTTCATCAATAAAAAATAACTACCTTTATAAACATAGCACAAACGAATGTCTGTTTCTTGCTTATGGGTGCACAACAGAACACATATCTAACTTTGAGCGGCAAAGGTATATGCTGGGCCGCGTCAGCTAGAAATTTGAAATCTTCCAGGTTGCACATAAAATATTTGGAATTGTCGACGGTGCAAATGGCGGTAAATATATCTAGCAAGTTGGAGAGGCTGGCTTTAGGGAGGTGGTAAGAAAATAGTTCTATCTGCTCGGCAGTGGGATGTAGTCCGGCCACCTATTAAATATTTTTTTTATATTATATATGTAAGTGTTAAAATAACTATTACTTCTGAAAATGGGTTCAATAGTATTTTTTTGTCATAATCTTTATACGATAATTTTACCGTTTTAAGTCCCACTTACATCAAGGCTGCTATTAAAAGCTTGTTAGCAAGCCTTTTAAACACCAATTAACATTGTATTGTGTTTTTTCATTATTATTTTTTCGGTTCAAATAAATATTATATTGTATATATTTTTTCAAGTATAATAATTTCTTTATTTAAAAGTAAATTTCATTTGATATTTTGATTAAAATTTGAAAAATCCCAAATTATTTTGAAAATAAGAAAATTTGACGAGTTAGATAAATAGTAACTTGCAATGCAAAAATGAAACTGCATAACTGTTTAATCTATCATCTAAAATAACGTGACGGTGCTCTAGAACAACCTCAAATAAAGGTATCGGAATAAATTCAACTGAAAAAGATAGAATTTAATATGAATAAATTCCCATTTGTAAAAATTTAAATTCCAAAAATAGTAGGGCCAACTTAGTGGATCTTAAAATTGCTCTGTGTATTTAATCAAATAATTACTAATTCATTCAAGGTGGTCCTATAATAAAGCATTTAATAATAAAATTATAGGTGGATAAGAAAAATATTTTAATATAATAATCCATCCCTATTTTATTTTTTATTTACTTGGTGGATAATATAGATACATTAATTGTTATTTAAGATTGAGACAATTAAGTTAGACATTTCTATAAAATTTTTAATAGATAAGCTATATAATTTTTAGAGCAAATTTTTTTATTATATTTTATAAAGGACACATTAATAAATCTTAACGACGTCGCAGGGTTAATGAATAGGAAAGTATTTAAATTTCGTTTAATACGTAAAAATAATACACAAGCCCAAACCTCGATAGGTTCAATAGAAGCTTCCCCATTTCTGAGCAGAGACTTCAGGGTGAATAAATCTTGAGATCCGAAAGTAGTGACTTGCCCGCCAATTTCGTTATCTTCCGAGTTTTGTGACATACCGAATCGGCCCGCTCTGCCGGATATCTGCAAAGCTTGACTAACGGACAAACGTTCCATTTCTCTTTAAAACATTTTTTTGTCCATCCAAATTTATTTTTAAAAAGGAATATTATAAATATAGAGTTTTTAAAAAAATGTCATAAATATTAGCCCTATATCTAACCTATTTTTTAGTTATACGTCTTTATCCGACTTTTAAATAAATTAAGTCTCATAATCTGCTCGGCTCGATTTTGGATATGACTAATATTTTAAAAACTTTATAGAACGACATTTTTAAAAAAATATTTTAATATTAATATTTAATTAAGGATAAAACATGCTAAACAACCTTAAAATAAGTTCGTATAAGTACATCTGGATATTCACTTTTTTTAGCATTTATTTTTTTTATTAAGGTTGAGAATTTATTAATTTTAATAACTATATAAAATCATAAAACATGACCAAAATCATCCTTTAAAAATTTTTAAAAGTTTTTTAAATGTTTATATTTCCCATTTGTTTTAAATACTTCCAAATTTGATTAATATAACAGCCCATTTCTTAATAATGAAAAATATAAATTAATTTTAATCTAACTTTTTTTTCCGTAAAAATTTCACAACTTTATAAATTTTAAGTTAAATTTATTCAATTTTATTAATTTCTAGAACTTTAAAAAATTAATAAATTTTTGTAAATTCGAAAAAAAAAGATTTAGACCATTATTTTATTTTCACATTAAAAATAGCTTATTTCTCTTTTTTGGTTAAAATTCATAAATTTAATTATAGTTAGTATCCCCACCGATCAATGATATATAATAATGGCGATTCATTCATTTAAATGAGTATCAATACAAATCAGCTGATGGTACGAATAATTACGAAAATTTACATATAATTCCATCGAATAATGGATAAAAAATTATTCGAAGTAAAATATTTTTCATTATTCGTATTCGATTTGAAGTTTGAATAGAATAATTTTGTTATTCATACTCAAAAAATTCGAATTAAATCGAATCGAATAATTCGTTATAGGTATAATTCATGCACCAAAATTTTTAAAATTAGTAAGGACAGGGAAACAAGAAACATGTTCATAAAAAAAGATCAAAAAAAACAAACGCCCTTTTCCCTTCGTCATTTTTTACATTCCTGGCCAAAGGTATTCCCCTTATTATTCCTGGTATCAATCCCATCCATCTTTGTGAGGGGAGGGCTCTCCGGTGAAAGTCTAGCCTCAGAAAGAGTACCCTATAATAAATAATCTCTTAAAAAAATAGCGATTGTAGAAGATAATACCTATTTAATTATACCAGATATTTTTTTTAAAAAATCGGACATTTTTATTGTCTAGGTTTGCCAACCTTTAAGATATGATAGAATATCTTTAATAAAATCTATGGAATAAAAACAAGTGTATTTAGAAATAAATGTTGGAGATGATGATTTATATGAAGAACATTAATTTTCAAAAATAAAAATATATTACCTTTCGCCCGTCGTTTCATTCAAGGAAGGTTTGAGGAGGGAATAAAATATGATGCGTTTGATGTTTCTATGATAGACATATATTTTTAAAATATTTAATAAAACCTTCAAAAATATATATACAGTATTTTTATAAGAAAACAAATAGGCTTATTAATTTTTGATTTAAAAAAAGGGTCAAAATATAGTTTTAAAAAATCTCCCATCCATAAAATATATTTATATTATTAAATTTTGATATGGTAATTTTTTTAGATTTGTAATAAAACATAAAGAAAAGCAAAAAAATAAATAAATAAAGCAAGAAAGAAAGAAAGAGGATAGAAGCATAGTTAAGATATTCTGCCTATTTTAAAAAATATATCTTAAAATTTAGGCAATGACGTAAAAAGTAAAATCTATTGATCATCCATTATTATTGATATATTATAGTATTGTGATAATATTGATATTACAGATTAATGCCCATTCCTATGGCATCGGTTGCAACCATTATTTTACAGGGATCGTCTGGATCGTTGAAACGTTTGGCTTGTTCAAGTTTGGTCCCTATATTTTTATTTTTAAACAAATATTTCATATATTTTTTTATAAAGAGAAAATCAAAGAAGGAAGTTAAGAAAAAGGATATAAATTGTAAAAAAAATATAAACATATAATTAAATATATATACCTGGAGGGAGGCCACCGTATATAACAGCGCAGGACTTTCCTCTGGCCTCTATTTTCTGGCTTATCATGTAAATGTCGTTTTTGCTAAAGCAAACTATGCAATCACCATCCTTTACGTTGTCGAAAGATCCTAGGTATTTTAAATTTATATTCAACAAGTTTCATATAGTATAAAGAGTATATAGAAATTTAACTTTATTTTTTTTAAAAGGTTCCTTTCATTTTTGCTTCAAGTATTTAATCTTTGCATCAACCTTCCTTTTTCGATCTAATTCTTCTTTCTTTTTTTTTCTTTCTTTCTAAATATAGTTTTAAAATTTCGAAATGAAAATGACCTAAAGGTTTGTCCAATATCGTGAGAGGTGTCAATCTCTTGTATTTTCTGATCTCTACGTTTTCCCCGATAGGGTTCAATATATCCTTGACTATTTGTATTGCCGAGCTTTCCCCGCACAAATGTATTTCGTCGGCTACTAGACCTGTTTTAATTATTAATTTTAATTTTTTTTATAGAAATTTCTCTTTCTCTTTTTCATTTATATTTTATTCTTGAAAAACAAAGTTTAATTAAATTTAAAAGGCAATAATTATATTAATATATATACACATTGAGTTTTAATAAACAATAGTTTAACTTCTAATAAAACATATATCAGCGCGTTATATACTTTTACTAAATTTATTTGCGAAATATTAGTTCATTAGAATCATTTCAACGTCCTGAAGCCTTGCCTAACCCAAAGCTGAGTTTGGGTTTAAAAATCTTAAAAATAAAAATAAAAATAAAAAGGAAGGGGTGGGGCATATACAAATAATTATAATACCTGGGAGTTAGAAAAAGCAAATAGTAGATTTTACTAAAGTTTGTGTTTAATTTATATTTTTCAACTAAAAATTTCAAAATATAATAAAAATTCGGGCTGGGCTTGGACTAAAAATTATTAATTCCTGCCTAGTTTGAGCTTAAGAAAGAAAGAAATTAATATTATAACCCTTGTGTAGTTATTTTCGTTCAATGGGATTGGCAAATACACCGCATAGACGACGTAAAATCAAAAGCCTTTTGAAAAATTAGTCGTCATAAAGAAAAATATTTTTTATGTATTGATTAAAATTGCTTTTATTTTATTATGTATTTTTTGATCATAATTCATGTTTTAAATATGTGATTATCGTAATAAACATAGGATATCTTGACAATTTAAGAGGTTGAGGTTCAGGAATAATAGCCCTTATTATCTTAGCCTTCCTAATAAAACTTCCTGTTTATATTTTTCATCTTTGGCTACCTAAGGCCCATGTGGAAGTGTCGACATCAGGATCCATACTACTAGGGTCCCTATTAAAATTAGGAGTATTTAGTTTTTTATATTTTTAGCCCCCTTTCCAAATTTTAAGGAGGGGCTGAGCCCCCACGTTAAACAATATTATTTTTCAAATGTTAAATTTGAATCTCCTTATTATTAATATAAAAATTCAAAAATCTTTTTCATATTTTTTTCTATAGCTAGATAAAAGATGGAAAATCAAAAGTTTTATTTTTAATATTTTTATAAGTCGTCGCCTTTTCTGTTTTATTTAAAAGAGAGATTTGCCACTAACAAGTAGTGGTGATAAATAGCCCTATTGTTAACATGTTTTAAGCCAACTCTAAAAAGGCTAAACCGAATTTTTAAGCGAAAACTATCATCTTAGCCTCGACCGAGGTTCAAAAAAGATTGCTGAGTTTATAATAAAAGTGTACTTTTGCTTCAAGGCTTAACGAATTTTTTCGATTGTTATGATTTAGCCGATTTAACAACACTACAGGCAAGAAATAGTCTAATTTAACAAAATCTTTTATAGTGTTTATATAGGAATTTAAAATTTAATCGGTAGGTTGTTAGTTGTAAGGATAAATCAATTTACTTTGAAATAATATTTTGGGATATTTTTTTTATCGAGTTCTTGGATGTTCTTTTGCCAATAAATCTTTTTTTTTATTGACTGACTGATATTTAGAAAAAATTTATTAGGAACATGTTGACAATAATAAAATATTATGTAGGCAGCGTCTACAGAAAAGAAAATTTATTCGAGGCAAACCTCATCCAAAATCTACCCTTAAATCTCTAAAAAAAATCGCGATCTTCAGCCAAGATATATCCATATCTACTCATTAAGCTCTATCAACACCATGATATTAATTTTAAAAAATCTAATATTTAGCCACCATTTTTAACCAAACAGTTCTTATTAAGCTCTTCCAGGCTTCATGATTATTTAAATAGCAAATAATCATTAGTTAAGATAATCATTAGTTAGTGCTAATCGATTAGTTGTTACTAAAACAAACCGTAAATCTAAATATTAGCCATGAACGAGTCTGAATGAATGCAAAATAAATATTTATTAATAAATTAAAAAATTTTTTATCAGTTAATATTGGTTTAGAAATTTGAAGATCAAATTTTTTTTATGAATCCATGGTTATATACAGCTTTCGTAGAATCTTTTTGTAAATTTTAATTTAAGTAATCTCGGACATTTATTTTATATAGTTTTTTATAATTTAATATAGTTTTTACATATGTTTTAAATAATTCACCTGTTTTTATCATTAACAAATAGTAATTATTTTTACCTTACCCTATCTCCTTTGGATTCAAAAAAATTGTAGGCAAATCGCTCCTACTCCTATCAACCCCCCCCTCTCGTGTAGATGTTGTATGTAAGTAAATATTTATAGATGTTGCTCGATTCAGAAATTCCACTTTTATTTAAAAATATGCCATTAAAAAAAATCCAAAATTAAATGATGAGCTTCGAGAATATATCGACGAAGATTCGTCCTAATGAGAAATCTAAAAAAATTCCTTTAATGTGTCGTTACTTTATTCTACTGCCGAGTGTGAAATAGCTTCCATTTTATGATTTTGATCATGGCAATAAACAAATAGTTTAAGAGTAAATTATTTGTTAAAATTTAATGTTTATAAATATTAATGAACCTTCGATGTTGGAATGGATTCCAGATCCATGTGTCAAAAAAAATAGAAAAAAGGAATCACCATGGAAGAATGAGATCCTTTTAAAGAAAAATACAGCCAAAAGAAAACGAAGAAATGAAAGATTTATTGGAAAATATTTTAATTCATATTTATTTTAATTTATATAGATATCGGTGTATTAAATTTGTTATATTATTCCTAAAATATAATATAAATATTTTATTCATATTCGTAATTTAAGAAATTGATTATATATATCAATTAATTTGATAAATGCGTATTCTCCCCTCCCCGACAAGTTTTTAAGCTATACACCACTGATTATAAAGCTAGACATTTTTTAAATTTCACCTAATAAGGCCCTAGACCAGGCCCATCCTCTAACCGGGTCTTTTATCATCTGTATCTCATCGATTATTGCTACTTCGTAATGATTTCCTTTGGTCGACTCACTCAATAAACCTTTTTCGTTGGTTTTAATAAGATTATCTTTTATATAATCATCATCTTGGGAAATACTAGTTTCTGGAGATAATTTGGTCATTTCTACGGTGCAGGATACATGATTACTAGGAATTCCATCAGATCTGGCTAGCTTCCTCTCCTCCCCTGTAACTAAATCACAGTTTGTATTCTATTTTAAAAAATTTGGGTGACATTTATAATATATTTTGCTATTATTTTAAATATAATGTATTACTTAATTGGTTACAAATCTCGCCTAAACTCCATTAGGCTTAACCTACAAATCGGCTCTAACTAATTGGTCAAAAATTAGGAATAGGCTAAGGAACTTGGCTAATCGTTCATCAGCCTTACATGAGATGATTTGATCTTTAATTATTATTTATTTTTATTTATTAAAATTATTTATATATAACTATTCTTAATAAAGTCGGTTAAGTTGTTTTGGAGTCGGCTAAAAGCAGCCGATCATGCAGTTGCAGAATATTGCCTTGTAAAGTAATCAATTTCAAATTTTACGAGTAAGGAGTATCATTTTAAATTTGTAAAATAAGTTTAAAGCTATACTTTTATAAGCTTAAAATAATACACAGGGTAAAATACAAGATACTAAATTAATATATATAAATAAAAATTGGGCACCTATTAAATTTCATAATTTAATTATACAATGATGTAATCAAAAAATCAATAGACTTTAATTGCATTCAATTGAACCACTTAAGATAATTAACATTTATTTTAATGCACTTGTATGACTTTGATTTTTTTAAAATGATATAATAATATGATGAAGCTTCCATAGAAATTAGATGAGCATTACCACCCTTGCAATATTTCTTAAAAAATTATCAAATAATAATTATTACTAATTAAATTATATTCATTTTTTTTAAAAAAATATCAATTTCTAATACATTAAAAAACTATATTAATTACTCTAAAAAATATTTTTAACTGACATTAAAAAAATTACTGGTAAACAAAGTTAACATATTTTTTTTAAAAAATCAAAGAAAAAATCATGCAAAAATGATAAAATTTTGGTATATTTTAGATATTATACCTAGTCCTAGTTCGATTAAGTGTCCAAGTTACAAAACATAACTAAAATTAGTAACTAATTTTTGTGAACAAGATATTTGAATCATGTTATTCATTATATTTTAAAAGAATGCATATGAGTTAGGTGAATTTCGTTTCAAATAAAGCTATGCCGATATTAAATATCGGATCGGGCCGATACCTGTAAAAACCGATCCGATTTTTTTTACTTTTCTTTTTTTTGTTATTTTATTTTATTTTACGTTATGTTATGTATATTTATTTTACATTATTATAATATTTTGAAAATATTTTTTTAAATTTTATTTCGTTTTTAAAATAGATTTATAGTATCTTAAAAGTTTTTTTTAAAAAAATAGAAAGGAATACCCAAAGTTTTATTTATTTTTAATCTTTTTAAATAACGTCAATTTTTTTATTTTTAAATAAAAAAAATTTTTTAAACATGGCCTCTGAATTATGGAAATATTTTACAAAAGATAATTTTGCAAAATGCGTTATCTGCGGAATCATCTGAGTCTGCCTTCAGTATGGCAGGAGATATAGATAGTCCATATCGTAGAAGCTTATTCCCAGAAAATCTAGAGGCTCTCATATTTATTAAAAAAATCTAATATATTATAATTTTTTATATTAAATATTACAATTTTATAATTCATACCAACATAAAATAGATATATTATTAAATATATATTTTTTTATTATAGTCTTAATTGTAGAAATAAAAAAATTAAATTCATAATTCGATTTTTTGCATAAAAAATATTGATTTCTTAATTACATTTGGTTCAAACGGGGGGTGATTAAAAATCAGTATAAATATCGGATCGGTTTTGAAGCAATATCGGAAAATATCGGATCGAATCGGTGAAAAATATGTGGATCGGCACAGTCCTAGTTTCAAATGCTTAGACATACAAATAAATTAATTCGCTAGATTTTTGTAAATACATTTAGTCGAGTTAGAACCAGGTATTACATTTAAAATAAATAAATAAATATATGGTAAACAAATATAAAATTGATTATTTTTAAAAAAATAAATCGTTAGCTGAGTATTATATCGTTTTATAACCATTTTTTTGTTCAAGCAAGCTTTTCTTAAAAAATGTATTACTTGTGTTTTAGATAGAATATTGCAATGTAATCCTACAAATAAATCATTAAAAATTATATTTTTTTGTGTGGATATATAGGGATATGGGACTGAAGAATTCATCTATAAAATTTTGTAAAAAAAGTAGATACACTATAACACTCAGGCAACAAAATAAAAAGAAAGGAAATTTTATCAACTAAAAACAATAATTAATTTATATTTTAAAATATCTTGTACTTAAAAATTTATTTAAAATGTCCTTTGGCTCCTATTGAAAAATGAAGACTAACTTGAAAAAAATAAAATTGAAATTCTTAATTTTTCTATAGATGAATATATAAAAAAATAAGACAATCTAATTGGATAGCGAATCCAAACATTTATCCTAATTCCCCTTATACCCCTCCCTCTCAAAAAAAATTGGCAATTTTAATTTAGATAAAACTTATTCACAAATTCTAATTCTAGAATAGTAAACTTGATACATTAATGATATAACACTATTATGTTAATAAATAATTTTATAGATAAAAAAAATATATATCATAAAATAATATAAAAGTCTACATTTTCATTGGTTTTATTGTAGACTTCATTTGCAAGCATTTTCAAGGGGCCACAATATATTCCTGATTTTGCATTTATAAATCTTTGAAGTGCCTGATAAGTTTTGCCACTATTAGTTGGACCAGCATGATATATGATTTTTCTGGTATGTGCTCTTGCCTCTGAATACCTAAATATATATTAATAGATTCTATATGCAATTAGAGTAAATTACAACGTTAACATAAAATTAAAGTGTTGACCTGATTCGATGGAAAACATTTCCATATTTTTCAATTTATTGATAATAAAATTATTTGACTTGCAAAAAATTGTTAAAATGACATATTTATATATTCTTATCAATTTTTTTTTCAAATGAAATGTTTTGAATTTAATTTGCACAATACTTTATATAAATAAATAATATTTTTATCTAATAAAATTAAAATATCAACCAGGGTTTTATGTTTTTAATTATTGAATCTAATAACAAAAAGATTTACTAAATCAAATAAATAAATTGAATGTTTATAAATTACCAATTTAATGGATCTGTAAGATCACTTATTTTCTTGAGATCATCCATGCATTCTATATGAGGAAACATTTGTTTAGCATGTTTAAGAAAATATGGAAATATATCAGAAACATGACCAGCATTTGTCAGTATATCACTCATCACAATATGGAATTCTACTGGTAGGGCATCAGATTCCAAACAAAATCTCCTAAAACTAAGGAATCCTTGTGAAAATAAACGTTGATCCAATCCTTGTTCTTCTGCTAAACTTTTAATTTCTGATAGTCTATAAAAGGCATTTAAAGCTTTGATTAACTCTTCCTTTTTAATATTATTTTGTGTTATTTCAAAGCCTATATTAATATCATCAGGATTTTTTTTTGCTTCAATAGTTATGGGTTTAATAATTGAACTCAAATCGATTGGTCTTTTAGAGTAGTTTTTAACATTAATACAATTTAAGGATTTAAACCAAAATGCTATAATATGAGATCTATATGGAGAGTTAAGTTTTTTGCATACATTGATCATAATATTTTTTAAAAAATTAAATGAATGTAAACAACTCATATGCTTTTGATTATTTATATTTTTTGATTTGTTAGACACTGACCAGTTTGATAAAATAAATAATATAAGCTGATACATTGGCGTACGCAGCGGGGAAAGCCAAAAAATGCAGATGCCGGATATATTTTTCAAAAATATTATTGTTTATATTAATTTTTATTTGTTAATATTTATTCGTATCTCATATTAAATATATATTTAATTACATTTATTATCACATTCATAAGTTATTTTTCGATTTCAAGTTTTCCGGCGTAATATTTACTTATTATTTTCAAATTTTTAGTGGCGTAATATTTATCTACAATTTTCAAATTTCTAGTCAAATAATAATTATTTCTCAAACTTCTGGCCCAACAGGGAAAAAGGCAACCTTGTCCAACGAGATAGAGTCTCTGCCATCAAGCAGTAACAGCTTTTAAGGAGTTAGAAGAGCCAATTATTTGCTATTACAGAAATATCACAATGGTCTGAAAGAAATATTTCTTAAGAAGCAAGAAAATTATTGGATTCAATGCTTAATCCAAATTTTATTTTATACAACTATTTTAAGTATTACTTTTCAAAAACATTACATTACATTGACTTGATTAAGAAGATGAGAATAGCGGAGAGCAATTTATCAGAACTCAAAGAAATTAGGGCTAATGTTGATGAAGAATTTCATATTTTATATTTTATTGTTGAGTCAAAAGCAGAGCTATACGTGTTTAATATTTGTTTCCCTCGACTTGTAGCAGGCAAGCTCATCGTTAAAACATTAATATAGGATCAGTAGAAGAGTATATCTTAGATACAGATACATTTATAACCCAAATGAATGAATTTTTAATTCATCATGCAGCACTTACTAATCTGCAAATATTACTTCCACAAAAGCCTTCCCAACCTTTTTCAGATGGTGATATATAAAAAAATATTTGTTAGATTATATTATGAAGATGTTAAAATATCTTATGATGCCTTACTAGCTGAATAACTATGTTTATAAGATTAACTATGGTTGATATAGTTCCAAAAAATGCTATGGATGCTCTGCATTATTTTAAACACATTTTAGATTAAATTTCCAATGTATTAAAAAGGTTTATAAACTCTTCCCATAAACTAATGAGAGAACATTCTCTTTTTTAAGAAGAATAAAAGCGGCCTGCAGAAGTACCATTTGTAGGGCACGCCCGGATTTTTTTTAAAGATTTTTTACGGCCCGGCCTGGGTTTTTTTTAAAATTTTCAGGCCCGACCCGGCTTTTTAAAAAAAAATTTTTAGGCCCGGCTCGGCTTTTTTTAAAAGTATATTTGAAATCGTTATTATTAGCTATAAAAATCAAAAATAAATATAATTTATTTTAAAAAAATCCGGGCCGGGCCTATACAGCCCGGCCTGGGTGTTTTTTTAAAATAATTCAGGCCCGGCTTGGGTGTTTATTTTAAAAAAATTCAGCCCCGGCCCGGGTGTTTTTTAAAAAAAATTTCGGGCCCGGCCCGGGTATATTTAAAAAAATTTAAATACTGTCCGGCTGAAAAACATACCAAAAAGTACAACATCTGAAAGTAGAAAAAAAGGTTTGGATCTTTTGAATATTCATAGGCATTTGAAGACAAGCAGGAGATTGGATTTTATGTTGTAAATATATAACATACAAAATTCAACTATTCCTAGACACCTTTTGTGTGAAGGCTCAAAAAATTCAAATTTCTATTTTGGCTCATTTAAGTGATTCTTTACATATAATTTTTTTATAATTCACATTAATTTAAAATTGTGTATTAAGAATAGTTATTAGTCCTAATAAATTTAAGCTTTATATTTTTAAAAAACAATAATATTTCTTAAAAAATTTTATTATCCTCCCCCAGACCAAATTCCTGCGTACGCGCCTGACCTGATAAATAATAAATAGCACAACAGAGTCGTCGCTAAGCCTGTGAACCGAGTACTAAAGTTTCCCCTTTTTCAAAGTTATCACCAATTTTGAAAATAGATTGGCACTTTAGTTAAAATTAACACCAAATTTTTAAATAATTAGCACCTATTTTAAAAAACATTTATATTATGTTAAATAGTATACTTACAAAATTTTCTAGCATATTTAAAAAAAAATGTTAATTTTTTGGTAATAAATCACTTTATTATTATTATATATTCAACTAAAATAAATTGGTGGAAAATCAATTTTGAAAAAATGGTATATAATATATAAATATATTATTATTTTATTAGATATATCTACATATAAAATAAAATAGAATTTAATCAGAGCATGTTTGTTATTTAAAACCAATAAACATTTACTTGAGTATATTAAAGATTGTGATATTTTCCAATTAATTTCATATTTTAATCAGTTCCATATTCATTCCTAAAAAAAAGGCAAAATAAGAGAACGAATTGGTAGAAATATATTTTAATTTAATATAATAAAATCTACAATAAAAACTTTTGGATTGAGGTTTTTTATTGTTATGAAAATATAGCAGCCGAATTAGATTCCAAATTTGTGTTAAATATTATTTTGCTTAGCAAATTACACTTATGCAAAATTTTTACCACATTAGATATTATTCACATAAGAATTTGTTACTTTTTGCAATATTATAAAAGAAAATAATATTAAAGAAAACACAAGGAAAAAATTAATTAGTTCAGGAAAAAGTGGCATGTACATATTAACAGCTTTCATCGCCTTCATTCTCATTACTGAAGATCCATTACTCAAAGGGAGTATTGTATTTCGATTATTGTATAGATCATTATCATGATCCAGTCTTGTTGTTTATTAACTTTGCCCATAAATGTTTGGACAACTATTAGCGAATCTCGAGGTTTAGGCAATATTTTTATCTCTAAAATAGTGAGTTAGTTATTTTTAAAAATCGCCTCAAATTGAATCGTTTCTAGATTCAGTTTAAATAATAAAAAAATTGAATGAGTGTGATTACTTTTTCTGGGCAGGTTTTCTTAAAATTTTTCAATGATATAATTATTTAAAAATTGGGTTATATTTTATTAAAGTAAAAACTTTAATTTATTATTTCGACTAAGTTTCGATTTTTTTATAGTGCCAAAAATAAACAGCGTTATAAACAAGAAAAAAAACTTGATGAGAATTAAACATTGAAATTGGAGTTCTGAAATTCACATAATCCGATGTTATAATTACATCAACTGATTATGTTCTAGTTTGAAAGAAAAATAAATTTGAATAAAAATTGCTATTCATATGGAGTTATTAATTCAAACATAGGTACAGGTAAGTTGTATAAGCATTGTATAATTTCAACAAAAAAAAACCTAAAATAGATCTATACGTTCTTATTGACCTAATCAATTTCTGCTAGGGGATACACTTTATAGGAGGATGGAATTTGTTTACAACGCCGCAAAAGAAAGATGTAACATATTTTTAAAATAAAATTTCCAGGATAAAAAAAAATACTTAAACAAAATTTTCAGTTCTTGAATATTCGTTATAATGGAGGTCTAAGTTCATTTGTAATTCTTTTATAAAAGTCGTATAATCAAGTTTCAACTATGAAATATATGCTATCTTTTAAAACATTTTATTTTTTAAAAAAATATTTATTATATTCAATAAACTAACCGTAAAAATTAAATTATAAATATTTTAAAATCTTTAAATTATATTTATTTATAACATTTAATCAAATTAATAAACAATTGATGGGGTCGGTAGAGGATCTAAACATAATTTGGCATATAAACCTGCTCATCAGAATTAGTCGTTCCTTCTTCTCAAAGCTATACAGGAAGGGCCAGGCAGAGGAACCGGCAATGGGTCGATATTTAAAAGTAGAGTTTCTGATTCGGTATCGAAACATTCCACACTGTTTAAAAGGCATTTTGATGTTGAACTAATTCCCCCCACTATATAAAGCTTATTGCCTAAAATTATAAATATAGAAAATATAATTATAAATGTTTTGTTTGTTTAAAAAAAATGAATGTTGTGCATTATAAAATAAACCTTTCTTTCCCGTTGTATAACCATCCCCTTCCTCACCTTCCAAATTTCAAATAAATTATTTGGTAGAGATAAAACTCTATTTGATATAGCGAAGGGGCCTATGAAGAGTTGAGCGTTCCTTATTTCCTCCGACTCTTACTAAAAATATTTCATATCCAATATTGATCTTTTTTTAAAAAATTTACACCTTGTTAAATTTTTCTGGTATATATAAATTATGAATTTAATTTAATTTTTTTTTCTTTAAATTTATTTTTATGAAACAACCAATGCCAATAGCTCCGCAACGATGTCTAGCCTTGTTAAGTTTTCCAACGCACTTCCACACAAAGTTGGGATTTTCAGATGCCAATTTTTCTATTGTATTCACGCTGATTATTTTATCGCTATTCTTTTCACAATACGCCCCTCCAATCAAAAATATGCTGTTTTTTATTTCGGCCAAGGCCATGTAACATTTTCCTGATATCATTTTACCACGTGTAAACCATCTAAACTGAGAAGTAAAATTTGTAAAAAAATAATTAAATACGAATTGTTTAATTTGGGTATTTAAAAAAAATACGAATTGTTTAATTTATATGTTTTAAAAAAATATGTATTATGTATATTATAATGTGAGAGCTAGCTATTTGATTCTTTTAAATCATTCATTTTGTCTGAGTGAGAATGGTGAGCGAATTAAAGAATGTAAAGAGCCATGCTTATACGTTAACCCTCTCATAATGCTTTTTCGCGTTTTGGGTTTAGTTTTGGGTGCAAAATCTTATAATATCTCGTTAGTTCTAATATTTTTCTAATTTAATGCTTTGATTTACATATCTTACATTTCACCATATAAATGAAATCCTTTTAAAATAATAATCTACTTGTTATTGGCCGGGTCAAAGCACTCGACACATTTTTCTAACTTGTAAGAATCACTACTATCCACATCTTCTATTCTATCGTTGGTGGAGTGGGATATTCCTCCAAAAGCCCATATCAAACCATTATGAACCAGACAACTCAATCCCATACGTGAGTATTTTAAAGCCGGGGCGTCTAGCCAAGTAAATATGATAGGGTCATAACATTCTACAGTGGCCAATATTCTTCATTATTTTAAAGTCATAGAATAGAGAATTTAATGATAATAAATTTTTGTAAATTCGAAAAAACTATTATATTTTTATATTAAAAATAGCTTATGTCTCTATTTTTTTAAAGTTAATAAATTTAAATAATTATATTTTTAATATTTAGGTCACAGCCAGGTAGAATTTCTATTATCATGATTATAGTAAAGCTTACATATATTTTTATACACTTCAAAGATTGAGAATTGTAGATTTCTATAGAAAAATATTTTTTAAATTTCGAGTTAACATTAATACAGCAGTATTACCATTTCGAAATTTGAAATATAAAATAGAAGTCTGAATGCCGGTCAGGCAAAAGAAATTGGACAACTTGTGAAAAATATTTGTAGGGGACCAAAATTTGGCAAGTTTTTTCCCCTTTCATTAAGAGATTTTAAGACAATTTGCAAATAATTATTTTACGGGCCTGGAAAAAAATTTATTGGTAAAGCCGATAACTCTTTATAAATCTTCACTTACGCTGATCTTTAATATAGAATATGGGAGACCGGAGTAAGTCACAACTTTTCTTGTTCAAACCAGAATACATTCAATAATATTAGACTAATCTGAATAAATAAAAGATCATCTGAATCCTAAATATATAAGCTATTTGAAATAGTTAATATATATTTTATAAAAACTATTTTTTAGAGAGTTGTATTTGAAAAAAGGTCTTTTGCCTCAACAATACTGTACTCTGGGTACGTTGGTCCAAGAATATGTGATAGTTGGAAATTTTTAATCGGTATTACGAAACAATAACGATTTTGATAGCACTAACCAATAATCATTCGGGTTTCCTAATATGACATTTTCATATTTATGCATTTAACACTCTGCCCTCTTAGTGGAAAATAAAATTTAAGTTGTAATAGGCTAGTAAATATACTTTTTTTACCATTGATATTAAATAAAAACATATTTATATATTAATATAGATATTAGAGATCTGCAAAGTTAGGACCGGCCCGTACCCAGCCCGAGTCCGCCCGGCCCGGCCCGAAAAATTAAATTTTTTAACACAAACAATGAAAATAAGTATTTAGACCAAGGATGTAAACCTGACCCTGAACCCTCGTATTTTTGCTGATCCCAAAACCGGGCCCCAACTCTTTTTAAAATTGTAGGGTTCAAGGATTCTAAATCTCAAGAAAATAATTAAATATTTTTTAAAAATATTATCAAATGATTTTTAAAAACATTGTCTATGAATGGTTGGTAGCCATCTCCAGTTTTAATCTCGGCCTTCTCATGACTGGTGAACAAGTATAATATTCACATCTATTTTCTTGACTATAATAAAGTTGTTCCCTGCATTTGCCTTATTATGGTCTGTCCATCTCCATCGAATCGAATGCCTACCATCACTTTCACTACAAGTTTGCCACTTAGTTACCCTCAAAAATTTAATATTTTATCCACTCTTGAACAAGTGGGTTTTTCAAATAAATTCCTATAGCCCAGATGGTGTATCACTTATATCTTGGACGAACGTTCTCCCACTAATCTAAGACTACATCTGATTTTGCAGCGAAAACTAACCTCTCATTTTCTGCCATCGAAAAGGCAGGAGTTCACAAAATTTCCTAACATTTTCTTCATACCAATAGTGGCCACTACTTTAGGTATGTTCAGAAATGAGGGCCTTAATCAAAACCATAGGAAAATAAATAAGGATGCAAATATTTTAAAATTCTGGGAAGAAAATCCTTCAATATATTCAGAACTATATATCCTATCGAGTCATGAGGTGTTACCCGCGACACAAGTACAATAATTTATAATGCATTATAAAGATAGCTATTTATTAGGTCAGAGTAGAACGTGCATTTTCTTTAATACATATTGTCAGATTTACGTGAAATTATGTTATGATTATGCGATTAAATAAAACATTTAATATATATATTAAATATTAAATTTTTGAAATTTTTATCTTGTAAATTGACTACTTTTCATTTTTCGATATTTTCTTAAAATTTTGATATAATCTCGTCGTCTTACAAAAAGAAGATGTAAATATTTCTGATTATTCTTCTTTTGTTATTTTATATTTCTCGTGAATAAATATTTTCATATTAATTAAATTATTTTCATTATATTTTGCTTAATTCTCAAGCTCGGATTAAGCCCACAATAAGTCTAAAAAATTTTCCCAAGCCCATCAAATTATTTTATATATAGTTATGATTAAGTAATACATGGAAATATAATATTTTATTTAGTAATCTTGACTTCTTGCAAATCAAATGCTCTTGTTTAACAATACGTTATTATTATAAATTTTTTATTCAAATATCGCTGATGTCACTTTAAATACTTTTTAGAATATTGCTTAATATAGATACGAACATAAAACAAAAATGACAATTTCCCATGGATAAAACCAGCACTGCAGTATTTAGCCAATGGGTCTGTTACGAGTCGATTATCGGTATCACAATATTTTTAAAATTTGTGATAATGTTTTACACGTAATTATACTATAGAGATATAAAACAAAAATGAACGTTTTCAATTAGCAAGTTCAGACAATCGGATATTTAGTAGGCGGGTCCGTTTTGAATTCGGCAATCGGTCAGATCACAATATTTTAAAAATATTTTTATAAAGGATAACACGTAAAAATACTTGTATAAAATAAAAAATGTTTCCATGCCACAATTTAGTATTTAGTGATTGAGTCGGTTACGAGTCGGTTATAGGTTAAATCACATTATTTTTAAAATATTTCTTGGGATAATGTTTTGCTGGTAAATATCAGCATTGAAAATAAAAATGAGAAGAATTCGATAAATAAAGCAGGCAATGTGTGCTTTACAAGTTTGCGGTTATTTTTCAATTCTAATCTTACTTATAAATTAAATATATAAGAAATCTTTCATTTTTTTTTATTTTTAGGTTTTCCACATGTATCTACACCTAAATACAAAAATAGCACTGACCAATAATCATTCGGGTTTCCTAATATGACATTTTCATATTTATGCAATTAACACTCTGCCCTCTTAGTGGAAAATAAAATTTAAGTTGTAATAGGCTAGTAAATATATTTTTCTTTTACCATTGATATTAAATAAAAACATATTTATATAGATATTAGAGATCTGCAAAGTTAGGCCTGGCCCGTACCAGGCCCGAGTCCGGCCCGGTCGGGCCTAATATTTTTAAAAAAAATTTGGGTCGGGTCGGGTCGGACCTTGGAAATTTTATTAAATATATCTAAATTTATCAATTTTATATTGAATTTTTTATGCAAAATAAAAATTTTTGATTTAATTTATTGAAACTAAACGCTATATTTAAGTAATTATAAAAATTAATATTTAAATAAATTCGGGCCTGGCCGGGCCGGTAAATTTTTTTAAGATAAATTTCGGGTTCGGACCGGGCCGGCAAAACATTTTTAAAAAATTTCGGGTTCGGGCCGGGCAGGCAAAACTTTTTTAAAAAAAATTTCGGGCCAGGCTTGAAAAATTAGGCCCAATGCAGATCACTAACAGATATTTAATCTATCATTTTTATTTAATAAAAAATTGATTAAAATATATTTTAAAAAATGTTTCTGAAAATAATTTTTTTAAAAAAAGATTATATAATATAATTTTAATTAATTATGCTTATTTACTTCTTATCAATGCAGTTTAGTGGGACAGCATTTATTCATATCCAAAACAAAAATACATCAGTGTATTTAGGCAATCATTTTGTTTGCAATACTGAAATTTATTATTCTAAGAAGTAAAATGCAATATTTTTTGTTAACAACTGCTTTGGACAAAAAGGATAGCAGAATCTGAATTTACTATAAACAGTAGAATACGGTTAGGGAATATAAAATTAATTAGGAAGGCCTGGAAGCCAATGGGTGGGCCCGGCCCACATAGGTGTCCGCCATATACGTAGAATATTTAAAGACTTAAGAAAATACAATTTATTAAAAATCAACATTTATATGGGATGAAATATCTTTAATAAATTTGTTTTAATTATTGTACATATTATTTTGGGGATTAATAAGTAAAAATTTTGGCTATTTTCTAAAATGTAATTAAAATTTTATTTTCCTCCTCTTTTTTGAGGGATACCTGAAAAAATATATACAATAATTCACAAGTACCATCTTATTTTTTTTTGTAAATCCGCATAAAACTAAATGCGAAAATAATAAAATAAGCTAAAATGTCGGTGGACCAACCATCCTATGACCAACCATGACCGAACGCACTAACTTTATAAAAATCATCCAAAATCATATTAATTCGTGTTATATGATTCTGAAAAATTGTAATCTCAAAGTGCCCAATTTCCTCTATTCCAATTTTTCGCAGTTTTTTATAGAAAATATTTTTAGGGATTTTGTGATTTTCTTCTATTTTTGTAAGAAGCAATATTTTGGAAAATTCGTAAGAATTCTTTTAAACATTTACTTATTCTCATGGTTGCATCCTCCTATGGCGTACAATCTTCCATGAAAGGCTACTAACTGATGATCCTTCCTAGGGTACTTCATTTTCGAGATGGAATTCATCGAAAAAGAGTTTTCTAAATTAAGTCTGTAAACAGATGAGCTAGCTGTACCGTTGATATTACTTCCACCTTTAAGATATAAAGAAAAATATTTAAAAATATTTTATTTAAAATAAATGGTTGAAAGTTTCAGATGTTTAAGGAATATTTCTCGTAATATTATGTATATGAAGTATAACCGGCAGATAAATTTCCTAATAAATCTTTCAAATTTATAGCCATTTCCCCACTCATATGAATAACTATGTGACTTGACAATTAATTGAATATCAACTATTTATGATAAAGAAATTTCTATCTATTATTTTAAGTGCTGACTAAATTAATTTAGGGCAAGAATTAATATAGGAGGGAGGAAAAAACCATAAAACAGGTTATCAAAAGATATCCAAATTTATGCAAAAGAAAAAATTGTTATTCTATACAGTTGGGTCTCTAATATATTATCTATGATTTTTTACCAGAAATATAAACGTCGTTATTGAAAACGGCACAATCATGTCTATCCAAAAAAAAATCGTCCATTTCTTTGTTGACAATAGGTTTCCAGCAATTTGATTCGGCATAGTACATATAGGCGTACACTACCATGGTACCTTGTGGCTTACCTGTTATTGATTCTTTTGAAGAACAAGAATCACCTATAGCTAGTATTGCGTCTTCATTCTAGAAAGTTGCAAATTTAAAATGCATATATAAATTGATTGACTAAATTTTTAAAAAAATTAGAAATTATATTTCAGACATTTTTGCAGTGAATTGATCAAAAAAAAATTTTGAATCGAAGTATCATCAGGGATGGTACTCCATGTTTTCTGATATAATTTTTAGTCAAATGACCAATAAAATTATTTAAATTTAATTTATATAAATTTTTTTTTATAAGAGGGTCTTTAGGTATGTTCTTGGATATAGTATGAGCCACAATCTCTGTGCTCACAACAATTACAATAGAAGCCAATTATTGATTCTTTCTTATCCTTAAAAAAAACTAAGTAAATAATATGGGTAAAAAAAGGAATATACTGTTCCAAAAAATGCCTTAATAAATGGCTCATGTAAATAATGATATTTAAATAATCGTGAACATTTATTATATTATAAATAAATGTGCGATTCTCCACAAAATAGAGTAAAAATTATTTTTTCTTAAAATTTAACGAAAGATATTTCCTTTTACATTTCAAATTATATGTTGATAAGAATGGGGTAAAGGGGGACAAGGGCCGATTAGTGCATTTTAATATATTTTACAAAGTAATTAAATTCTAATCGATAATTACGATATAAACTTCTCGGGAGTAAAATGTTTATCATTAAAAATTTATACACAAAAATATGTTTTCAACGCGAATAGAAATAATTTATGTTTGATTAACATATATAATATATCAAATAAAAGTCTAAACTCTTCTCTTTTCCTTGTGCGAGTTTTGTATAATTTTTAAATAACAACTAAGGACTAGAGGACGTCAGACCGGAGTTTATAGGATCCTCTTCATCATTAAAATATAACTTTTTATAGAAATTTATTTTAAATATTTTTATTATATCACAAATTTTGTATTTTAAGGTCCTGGTTACCCCATAGATTCAATATGTCATGGCTTTTTTAAACTTAAAAATTTTAAAATAAATTGAATATTTAATTTTTTAAAGATTACTATATAAATCATTAATATATTTTAAAGCCTTTAGTATTATAGCAATATCAAAACTAAAAAAATGTGCTGGAACAACTTACCAGGCTTTGAGATATGTTGGTCTAATAATAAAAAAATTATTTCAAATTTTAAAAAAAAATTAAAAGCTAACAAAATATATTATTTTTAATTAATAATACTTTGAAAATTGAAAATAAGTTTGCAGATTGATTTAATAGTATGAAACTTATTCTGGCTTATACGAAAAATGTCCTAATCTTCCCCGGTCTCCTTATTGAAATTAACATTTATATCTTAGACTATTATTAAATGAAATGAAAATGAAATTGAGAATAACTTGCAATTTTTCTGACTCAGAATACTCTACACATTTATGACAGTGTAAGGTAGGTAGATGATAAGCAGTTTTGAAGTGTTTGATATCTTGATTTAATGGGAAATTATTGGGATGATCGAACGTGTTACATGAATGGGCCCTGCCAATGAAATAAATATATATAGGATTTATTATTAATTAATAGATGAAATAGGTTTAAAGTACTTGCCAATAAGACAGCATTAGTGAGCATTTTAATAAGTAAACAATTATGTGTATTGTAAATTATATAGAGTTAGAATATATATATAAGTTTTCGACAATTGTTTTCGGAGGGTTAATATAGTGACCAAGATTTTTACTGATGTGTATATTCGTACAGAAAGGGGACCTTAAAAATGCAGGGTTCATATATTCCGAAAAAAAACGAAGCCCTGATCTATATCATATTATCAAGCGTAGAAAGAATTAAAGGCTTTACTTTATTTGTTTTTCAAATAGACTACAATTATTAGAACCTTTAGACAAACTTCAAGGAAAAATTAGTCAAATATTACCCTTAATTTCGCAAGAAAAAAACGTTTATATTATAGGAAGACATAATATTTACTTAACTATATTCAGAGCAAACGCGAAGTAAATTAGAAAATATAAAAATTAAAATCTTTTTTTATTTATATATTTATTTACCACATAGCCTTCAATAAAAGGTCCTTCATTTCTTCGTGCTGCAAGAAATTCGCGTTTAATTTTATTAATTCGAATATGGCCTCGGGTTGTATACCACCTTTATCAAAATCGATGGTTTCAATTAGCAAATTAATATTACTCATCGCCTGACTTTGATAAGTCAAATTTTTAAACCATTCCATCAAGATTTCCATTTTTATAGATTCGCTATCTATTTTTAATTCGGGGCTATTCAAAATGGATTTCATAAATTTCCAACTCTTTATACATTTCAAGAATTGAGGATGTTTCAGAATCAACAGTTGAATGTTCTTTAAAATAAAATTTCTGTAAGATTCTGGTAAGGATATCACATCATCTAACCCTTCCACACTTTCTAATATCGTAGTGATGTCTAGTGATTTAAGCAAATCAAATTTATTATCAGGTGATATACTCATTAATTAAAATAAAATATAAATATATTAACGATTATTATATTAAGGATCATCATTAAAAATTAAATATGTCATAATATATTTTGATTTTGTAATTTCGAAATTGAAATATGAACTAATATTTTTTTTTTTTGAAACATAGGAATTATGCACGAAACTAATTCCTTTCTAGAAAGTCTATGTTAAAACTAGGCTAGTAGGCTGTTCTTAATTTTTATAGGCGTAGTCAGGATTTGTATTTGTGGGGGGGGGGCTTTAAGTGAGTTTTATCTACACACATTTTATTGGAGATCTTTAGGTCCACTTAAAAGAATTTCAAATTTTAGTCGTTATTTTAAAAGGCTAATAATTTTTACTAATTTTTTGTTTCAAATTCTTATTTAAAGTGTTACTGCAAACATTTATGGGGAAAGAGGGTGGGGGGGGGGGGGGGTGAGAGTGCTTAGGAGGAAATATTTATTCGCTTAAAGTGATATTTGGGAAAACTTGTAAATTTTTGAAGGGTGGATTTCCCCTTGCCCTACCCCCGGCATTTTCAGAGGATTTTATTTGAACTTTTAAGCTGCTTTTAATTTATATTAATTATTATTATATATTTTTTTTTATATAATGCTGCTTGATTGTTATAGAGTTCTATGATAAAATTTGATCGAAATTCAATTAGAGCCAAAATATCATTCCAATGAATCCCCTCCACCCCCTTTGCTTTTAAAAAAACCGATAAAACTTAGTTTTAATTAGGATTTTATGTAATAAAATAAAGTTCCATCTCCCTTTTGCCTAATGTTATCATTATTATACGGTCCTATTAATTTAACCAATCGTAAACCATTATTTTTTCTTATGATTTTAATAACAAATATTTAATTTTTAAAAAATTTAAAAAGATCGTCAGTTATTTTTAAAATATTTATAATAGTAGATCTGACTACAATAATTGAGATTATAAAAAGGTAGCTTTTGAGTTTGCTAATTATAATACCTAATTCTTAAAGGAAGTGGATAAAATAAAAGACCTTAACCAATTTTTTTACATAAATTTATGTAATGTTTTAACATAATACCAAATTTAGTCAATATTCAATAATAAGGCTAATATAACAAAAAATTCAAATTTTGATTTTTTATTTTAAAATATTTTACATTTTTAAATGTGATTTTTTGGTTTTGAAACAATATTTTGCTTTTAAAATTTTTTTTTGAAAAAAACTTTCTCTTTTGGTCTTCAGTCCTACTAGCATTATTCTTCATTTTTACCCACTCTTCTCGCACTCTCTTTTTTAACCTAATCTCCATTTTCTTATCATTATTAAATCTTATTTTCTAATCTCTACCCTCCCTCCTCCCAAAAAACTTCACTGTTTCTTTTCGCTTTCACCCCCCCCCCCCCCACTTTTATTTTCTCTAAAATGTTCTCTCCCCTCTTTACCTAATATTTGCCTCCTTATATATATTTTGTTTTACTTATTCCCTAGGCCATTAAACCCTGAATCATTTCCGGACATCTAACACCCCTATATTTTATCATCCTTCATCCATCCTAATCTAGTTCTCTTTTCCTTTATTTGAGTTTATCTCTTTATCAATGTTATATTAGGCTACCACATCAAAACCGAGACGATTTCTTAATCAAGAATTCGTCAAACGTAAATTATAGAAAAATAATTTATTTTTGGCTATAGAAGGGCATACCGAATATTGGGGGGGGGGGGGTCTTTTCTATTCAGGAGTTGTATCTTTGTACAGGGTGCTATAACATTTATCTACAAATATTAACATTTTGAAAATTTAAGACAATAATATTTTTTTTAAAGCCATTTATAGTTTTGCTCATAAAGGTGAGATCCTAAAACAGTTATTTTCTCACTCATAATGTCCTTAAATTGACTATAAGGTTCCTGCTAATAAAATTCTAAAAAAGATAGATTATTCATTAGTTTTAATATTTCTAAAATTCAAAAAAAATATTTGTCCAAATGTTATATAGTAATTGTCAAGAGAGCTTGGTGATTTTTTTTAAAAATTGCTCTCTTGAAAAATTCATTTGAATGGACATGGAACCATATTATTGGAATAGATTAATCTGTGTGGATTCTATTAAGTCCCGATTTGCGAATAATTTTGATAACAAATGTAGTCCAAAATGGAGAACAGCTGATATCAATGTAGTTCCTATTTTAAGTTAAAATATTGACAATGCGATTGCCAGTTTTATAGTGCTATAATATTCCATGTCATAAAATAATTGATGAAACCTTATTTTTATTTGATAATCTTGAATTACCATGTTTCAAATCCTTATAAAAAGCTATAAGGCTATGTCCTAGGCCGGCTTAATTTGGATACTTGTATAAAAAGTATTTTATCGAAGATACCCTATTTTGGTATATTTTATATTTGGTGGCATTGCTACTTTTCTTATTTTACTATCTTTTTTTGTTTTTTCCCCATTTTTTTTGTTTTTTTCTTTTGCCATAGATGGCTAAATAGCCAGCTATTAACTATTAAGTCGACCTAGGATACAACCAAAAACTTTAAAAAAAATATTTTTTATTTAATGTTTTCTTATATTTAGAAAGTTATTGAATTAATCAAAGCAATTTATTTCCTTAATTAAAGCATCCAAAACACTCCCTATATGGTTTCTATGTTAACCATTAAAGAACATGACATCGCTAAGTGCTGTAGAACCATGATGGCGATAATGAAATAATATTTTCATTAAATTTTATAAGGTTTCGTACATTTATTAACATCAAGCAAAAAACTTTTGTAATCTAAAAATAGAGAAATTAATTGTGGTTTCTTAATTTCGAAAAACAAAGCATTTCGTCATTACCTAAAATTTTATTTATTTTCTTCTATTTTTTTTATCTAGCTTTTCACGTTCATCTACGATATTAATAATAATCCATTATTTGATTATTGTAGAAAATTGAATAACATGAACTTATAATAAAAATTCTTAAGCAATAATTAATTTGCCCTTTTCGTTTATATTATAAAGTATAAAATCGATCTTTTTTGGTCATAGAAAGAACGCGTCTTGGGACGCATGAAGAACAAATCGTTTCCGATTTTTAAGGATGAGCTAGAACTGACATCTGAACCCCATTCATGAAGAATATACAGATTTCTTAATTGTGAATTTAAAAAAAATAGTTAACTATAATAGTGAGACAAGTAGAGTGATAAAAAATAACTATAAAAAGTTGTGGTTGATTCAAATTTACTTAACAATAACAAAAGTTAAATAGCCTAATTAACTACTTTAATGAAATTTGCCAACTATTATATTTAAAAAATATAACTTATAATGATCTTCACCATTTTATATACATTTTCCAATTTAAGAAAATGTATTTATTTTGGTTATTATATTTAATTCATTTTTTTATGATTGACAATTATATATAAAAAATTAATTACTTATTTTCTTCCCCTCAGCGACAAATTTATGAATAGTGTTACAAACCATTTCTGGTAAAATTTTTTTAAAAACCATATTATTTATATTTGGTTCAGATGAAAATTTCATAATTGGGCCGGGCCAAAAGCTTGAGCTAATGAAAATAATATATAATCGATTATGGGCAAGAGATTGATATTGATTAAGGATTTTTTTTAGGCATAATGCTAAATTTTACTATTTTTTTTATTCGTTTAAAACTTTATCTGATCTGCTTGATTTCATAAAAAAATAAACATATAGGTAAGTGCTAGGGGTCGAATAATTTTTTAGTATAGACTATTTACCGACACCCGTTATGTAGTATGAATCCAAATATATTTAGCAATGCATTTTTTAACTCGATTTAAATGGAATTTGAAAACTTCGTTCAGAAAGTTGTTTATTATGACTGGTTTTATTATAAATCACATTCAATTAGTCATTCAAAAGCTTTTTAATTAGATGTAAAATAAACTACCTCGGCATATAGCACCCACTAAAGTTTAAAGGCTTATTTTTTTTAAACTAAATATGGTGTCTTGCTCAATAATTATATTTAAATATTTAACTTTTCATAAATTAGAAAAATAATGCTTAAAGGTTTAATATTTCATTCTTATAAATTTATGTTTTAGTCTAATTTCATTTTTTTTCTCTTCTTGTTAGATCCAATGTTATATGATTTATTAAAATTAATAATATATTTTAGAGATATTCTGATAACCTTACATCTTAAAGATGACATTTGAATCTCGATTTACTATGAAAAATAATGAAAAATTATATTTTTCATATGAAAAACATATATAAAATTAATTAATGTTTTGTTTATTTAACTAATTTTTTATATAAATTCTCTTCAACGAAATAGAGTATTTGATAAAATAAAATAAATTTAATACAATTTGGGTTTGTCTTTAATATAAAAAAATATTCTTTTTTCACAATAACAAATTGTCTTGCTACCCACCAGCAATATGGATAAAAAATTTAAGTTATCGGACTTGAGATAAATGCATCTAGTATATTTATTTATAGTATTATTCATTGGATTTGAAAAAATAAAAACTTTATGCCTAAAATTACGGGATTGATAAATTATCATAGGAACAGCATTTAGTATAAAAATATAATTATAACATTATAATCTAATCGCAATCATATAAATATAGTTAAAAAAAACAATGGACATGAATTTTTTAGTTCTTGGGTAATACTTATAATTTATTGTTGGTTTTAAAAATTTTATAACATAATGCGTTGATTTAACAGTGTCACTGAGCCTATATGTTTATAAAAAATTGTATAAATTTTTTTTTTATATAAAATAAAATCCTCTTACATTTCTATTCTAAATGGAGGCTTCATTAATCAGAAATCGAAAATAATTTTATAAATCAACTAGAGTATATATATATATATACTCAAGATTTTTTCCCAAAAAATTGTTATTATAAAAAATGCACCTAAAAAATTATTTATAAATGATTAAGAAATTTAATATTATTAATTTTTATGATTCATTGTATTTATTAATATTTTTCATAACTCTTTGAGAACTACAATTATAATGAGGTAAGGAAAAAAAATCCTTATATTTTATTTTCCGACCTTGATTTCCGGGAAGATTAAATCATCTCAAAGGCCTTTGTTGAAATAAACCGTTTTGACGTTCGCCTCCTCCAATTTTTTCCTTAGATTAGGTTCTAGCCTGGCAACAGAGATATGCCTAAAAATAAATTTGTGCAAGTGGAGAGGGAGTGGTTAAATTGAATAAATTAGAATGGTAACTTAAACTACATTTGATTATAATTATAATAGTATATCCTAATTTCAGTTAAAATATTATAAAATAATAACAGCATAATTGACCAGACATTTAAATAATTTAATAACTTACATCTTTTGAGGAAACATGGCACAGCACAAGGGAGTAGTGAATATTAAGCTAAGAAAATAAAAAAAATTAATTATTATTACAAAAAGATTATAATAGATAAATGGAATATGTATCGTAACATTCCTAATTGTATAGACGGTTATCATGACTTTATAAAAAAATCAAGGTAATAATTCCGAATCATTATTTATCTAATCTTAAATCATCCATCTACTTAATTTCCAATCATGAAACCAAAAATGAATTGTGCAACCATTTTTAAATTATGGGAATACCAAATTATTTTTTTGTTTTGTTTAAAGAGTGGAGATGGAATCATATAATATTCGAATTATGAATGGATCAGAAATAGAGCCCTGCACAGGCCTACCGAACCCCGACCCAAAACTTGTACTAGGACCTTGAAGACATTTTTCTCAGCCTGGCCCAAATCCCAAAAATTAAATTAAAAAATATCCTAAATAATCATTTTGTTTCATCGAAATGTCAATTAGAATGACATATCATTTTTCAGCTGACACATTTCACTTATTTATTTACGTAATTTCCATTTCCCAAATTACCAATCAATTTCCTGTGATTGTGATTTGTATTGTGACTAGTTAGGACTCTCGTATTTATATACATCATATTCAAGGTTAAATAAAATATTTTTTTTAAGTCTCAAAATGATTAAAATAATATCTTTTGCGTTGATTTATGACTTACAAAATAAACAATTTAAAAAATATATATAATGTTTTTACAAAATTCCGCATAGAGCGATCTGTATGGGAGCCACGGATCTTGGGTATTTCAAAAAAAATCCTCTTTTTTCCAAGGAATTTATCAGAATTGGAGGTAGAACTATAAGTATTGGTTAGAAGAAATGTATATTAGTATAATATCTATGGGTAGCCCTTAAAATAGATTATTGTTTTAACAACATCCGACCTAGCTTATTTAAACCCGGGATGGGTCAAGGAAGATATTTCATAAATCTAGATTAGGTCTGTAAATAAAAAGTGCTTCTAAATTTATTCCTTTCTTCAGGTTTATTTCAGAATTTTTTAAACACCATATCCTTTCCCGTTTTTACTTCATATAAAATAAATATTATGTATATATATATATATAACTCATTCCAGGTACGCACATCAAGACGCGAGATAAAACGACCGATGGAATGGCTATTTGAGCGGCACGGACAGACTCTCCCACTTTTACATCTGTTTTAGCGTCGTAAAGACTTATGCCATTTTTAAGTTCCCTTTGGTTTGGGACAAATTAGAGATTGAGATTTATATTAAAATTCGTATATATTTTTTTATTGGTAAAACAGAGTAGGCTAAAATTTATCAAAATATTTTTTATAAAACTAATGATAAATAACAATTATATTAAATGTTCTTTGGAGATCTTCATGGGCTGAGCCAGCTCGCGGTCCATACTCGGCATTTTTTAATGGGCTTAGGTCTAGAATTTTTTTTAAATTTATAATTAGCTTATTTAAAACAATTGCCAATTTTTTTTCTTCTAATAATAATTTTCAGTTTAGCATTGAAAATTATTGTCTAAATATAATGAAATATTAGTTATTTTCAAATACAATAAATTAAATTATTGGATATGGGCTTGCAAAAAATTTTTTTAAACTTATTATGGGCGTGGGAATTTTAAATATTAAAGCCCGTGAGCTCTTTCAATTGTCTTAATTAATAAGTGCCCTTGAAAGGCAGGCTGGTTTGACCAATGACCTGAATATTATAGTATTAATTAGACTGACAATCGTAATTTTAACAAGAAATTTGAAATTTTTTTGCCTTTATAGTACTAAATGGAATAATAATTATTGCAAAGTTTTCTAAATTCATTGTTTAAAATTTATTTCGATTTCCCTAAAATTTAACGACCCCAATACAACTAGTTTATATTTTTTTAAAGGTTAACCAATCCGACTTATTCTTGTGATACTCTCAAGTTTTAAATTCAAAATATAACACGTTTTCTTTCCCTTATTTAACTTAGAGTAGTTTTTGTTTGTAGTTCATCAATTGACATTTCGAACATTGCCGAAAATATAATGGATATTAAATGAAATTTAATAATAGAAATCAATATGAAATTTGAAAAATCGTATGTTTTACGAAAATGAGGGAAATTTATATTATGAAATTTAATTTTTAAAAAATAATTAATACTCTGATCTCATCATAGGAATATTCACGCAATTAGCAGCCGCCACCGCACAAAAAGGGACAAATCTTCCTATAAGCGATGGTGCATTCTGAAAAATAAAGAAATAAAAATTTTGAAAAATATTTAGACATGCTTATTCTTCAATAGGTATATCGAAATATAGATATTCTATATTCGATTCAAAATTTACGAATACGCATTATAATTTTTAAAAAATATTATTGATTAATAATTTTCCAAAGAAATTTTTTTATATTTTGTATTTTCGGCTGATATTCCTTAATTTTAGAAAATTCAAAAATTATTTATTATATAAAAAAATTCATTTTAAAAAAAAATGCTAACATTATTATGTATATTTTAGGGGAAAATATAAATTTGTATATGTAACTCTTAAGAGGCGATTCAAGCCTAGTGCTGTCGTTAAGGCTCCTCCAGTAGCAAAAACGTAAGATAATCCCAATTGTCTATTTCCGAATAAATATATATATAAATTTTCGTTTACCTAAAATATTTTTTGTACATTCTTTCCTTCCTTACGTATTGCGTCAATTAATTTTTCAATAGTATTTTTTAAAATTATTTAATCCCTCCAGTGAATTGACATATATATATGTTAGCGACAATGTGTTATTTTTTCAACTTTAAATCATCTTTTAAGCAGCTTTTTTAAACTTAAAAATCTGAATTTAAAGGAAATGTATTCCATCATGTTTGGAATACCTACCATGTGAACTTAAGAAAATTGTCATAAATTTTTGAACTTATTATAATTTATATTCGTTTTCCCATAGAATTTTCTTATAAATCATAAATGGCTCAAGAGTAAAAAAGGTAAAATTATCTACAATTCATAAGATAGGTATTCTAAACATGCCGGAATATATTCCAGGTAAAATCAGATTTTTACATTTAAAAACGAGCTAAAAAATAATTTGTTGAAAAAATGACACATTGATTGAAAAAACACATTGACTCTAACATATATAAATAATATGCCAATTTATTTAAATTCATGCGAAAAAACACAAATAAAACTATGAATATACTAAATTCGCTTGAATATTAAATTAAAAACAAATGATATTTATTTTTTTTGTATTATGAGATCAGTGAATGCTATAGCTTTAAGTTATCAGAACTATTTATTTTCAATAAAGGAAGAACAAATCCAAATCTGTCAAGCCCAAAATAGGGCTAACGGACAGTGCACATGATTGTATAGGTATGATGGATTTAAAAAAATGAGTTTGTTCAGATCGCACCACCAAGATAGGCTGAATACATAGCTTTAGCTAATTAGTAATAAGCTAAGAAAATATAGAGCTAAAGCTTTCAAATATTTGAGTGTTAAATATGTGCATTTATATGTAAAATAGAAAAAATAAATAACGATATAGGTATAGGAGAATCTCCGCTTCTGTTGGTGTAATTAACAAGGGCGTTAAATGACTGATTTATCCATTGCCAAAAAATGACAGCCGAATTAGATCTGATATATATAAATATAAAAAAAGCCTTAAAAAGAAATGGAAAAAATTGGAAGAAAAAAAGGGGAGGAAGAACTGGGTGCCATGTTTAACATAAATTGTTAACCAAGTTTGTTTCATGTCAAAATCTCAAAAAGGATATATAAAATGAAATATAAATTAATAAATATTAATATAACATATCAATATCAGGGTTAGGTTTAAAGTATAGAATAATAATGATTTTTTTTATTTATTATCTACCTTAAACATTAATTTACAAAAGGCACCTTCAGAAATTATTGACATCAAGAATAGGTAAAAAGTTAGCCAATAACATAAAAATCGATTCTTATAATCATATAAATCTGTTTTTTAAATTTAAATACAATATATTTCATTTTCCTTATATCTCTAAATAACTTTTACAAATATTATATAATCTTTCCAAAAAAATAATTTTAAATGTATAAAACTTGTAAAAAGTGAGCATTCCTCCGGTTATAATCATATTCATAGGAACTTGAGCAGACATCCTACCAATTAAAACCATTTTTTCACAAGTATCTGGGTGGTAGGCAGAATCATATAGAGCCTTTGCCCTCCAGAGTCCATCTACATCAGTATTTAAATCCTTCAAACTTTCCCCTTTTCTGATTTAAAATAGTGGCGTTAAAAAAAATGTAAGCAAATATATAATAAGATTAAATTAATTTTATTTAATGTAAACAAAATTTTTAAAACAATACTATGCTTATTTTTAAATTAAATAAATTTTTATTCATTAAGAATATACTTGTATTTAGTGACTATATCTTTAGCTTTTTCTAATTCTTTCTCAGTTGCTAATATGTTCAATGGGTTGGTTATAGCAAAAAAATGTTTTGCTCTTCCCAAATAGGTATCTTGATTCCATCTTGGTTTATCTATATTAATCTTATAAATAAAAATGAACATAATTCAACAAATTTTATAAGTAAAATACCTTATTGTATTTATATTGCTAATTTCAATTATATGACAAATTATATAATATAAAAATAAATGTTTTGAAAATGGATTCTATGACCATGTTATTTTCAAAATTATTTTTAGTGAGGTCAATCACTCTTTTAAAGTTTAAAGTAATAAGTTATCAGTAAATTGATAATTATTTTTTTAAATTATTTTGTAGTAAAAATGTGATATGTAAGAAACTTTTATAAATAATCAAATTATATAGTAATAAAAGTGTTTATTGTAAACTTTGTCGGGAAATGTGTTGCTCATTAATTTTTTTTATAAATTATAAAGGACCGCACCCTTTTATCATATGTTTGAGTACGATATTTATTTATAAATTTCTTTTACACATATCAGTTGTTTATTTATCATAACATATAAAATCAGAGATGTTTTTGAAGAACGGCTGTGTCCCTGCATAGTGAGTTATAACACAAATCGCTTAGATCTCTATTTGAATTCAACAAGTACCAAAATAAATTTATGAAGCAAGTAATCCATGCTACGGTGTATGTAGTGTTGTAAAAATGTATTTTTAAAAACAGCCCAATTAAGATTATAACTAAAATAATATTGTTACGCATACATGGAAGAAAGGTTTGGGCATCAGGCCGTTTTTAAAATTAGACCCAAATCGAATTATTAACACTTGTATGAAAGAATATAGAATATTGAAAGCGATTCCGTATTTTTGTTTAATATTTTCAAAATGGGTTTTATATCTAAATTTTTTTTAGTAGCAAATATTTGACTTTGCATAGCAACTGTGATCGAAATTGGATCTAATAAGTGTTTAAACTATTTGGATATGCAATGAAAGAGGGCTAAAAGAATGATTTTGACATTAATAAAGATGAGTAAATAGAATTTGAAGTTATTGTCTAATTATTATTTTTTAATGTAAAATTTATAGTTGTTCTATCACTTTAATATTTATATATATAGTAAGATACATTTACTATGTGTCTTACTATTTTTATAAAGTACTAGATTAGTCCCCATGCCGTTGTACTGTTTTTAACTAAAAATACAATCATAATTAAATGTAATTGCAATTTTAACCACTCTTTAAAGTAATTGAATCCATTGTTCGTCCAATAAAAATCGATTTATGGCATCTTTGGAAAATCTGATATTAAAAAATGTTTAGGTTAATCGAAGGATATTCATTTTGTTTAAATTTAATCGTACCAATTATATTAATTTTTACTTATAAAAGTGCAGATTTACTTAATTCTGCGCTTTATAAAAGAGCTTGCAAACTTCAGGCATGATAAACCGATTTAGTAAATTGCAAAGTATTAATACTTGGATGCTTTAAATGTAGTCCTGATGATTACATTCAACAATTTTAAGAGTAAATTTTGCAATTTGATTTGAAAAATTATGGACAAATCTTATATTCTGCTTGAACTGATTACTTTAACGAGTGGTGGCCTAAAGAAATGCAAATAAATACTAACCTTTGATTTGGATTTAAAAATTTTTTAAATAAAATTTATCAAAATCATAGTAAAATCTTAATTTATAAAAAATAATTTAATGATTTTCAAAAAGTGAATATTATTTTTTGTAATAAAACTTGAAATTAAACTCATGATATTATTTAAAAAAAGGTCACATGTGAGTAAAACAATTAAAACTAATTTAAAAATATGTTTATATACTAAGTATAATATAAATTCGAGAGAAATTTTTTTTGTAGCCATATATTATAATACATAAAATATACAAATAGATTTAAGTAAATGTATGTTAGGCATAAAAAGTTTGTTTAAAAAATTTATACAATTTTTGATTAAAAATTTATATTATTGCAAAAACAATTTATGTTTGATAATAAATAACTACCACTATATTAAAAAAATATATACAATGAGGTGAGATGGCAATAGATTTAAAAATAAAGTAAATAATTTCATCACAAAATCAGATGAGACTTCTTAAATAAATATTTTAAAAAATTTGGTTTTCAAGATTTTTTTAGTATAAGATTTTTATATACAGTATAAAAAATCCCTATTAATTACTTTAAAAGGAAGAAAATATTTTAAAAAATGGAAATTAGCTTAAAAATTACAATACTATAATTAATAAATACATATTCACAAGTTTTGCTAACCAGTAAATGTGTGGCTAAATGGTTAAGGTCAATTTTAACTTAAATGTATTTTTTAAAAATATTATATATTCATTAAAAAAAATTAAAAATGGATTATAAAATTAATTTAAATAGACCAAAAAAATAGTTTGGATTTTGGGATAATTTTATGATTTCAAAAATATATAAAATTTATTTATAGTTAAAATACTTTAATATAAAAATAAATAAAATAAACAATGTCAGCATCGATTTAATAAAAGTCTAACCGCTTGAGAAAAAAGCGTTTTGCTTTAATATGGTTCAACAGCCGCAAAATTTATTGTTATATTTTTTGGAATAGTTGCATGTATTTGAGCTAGAGGCCGTGGAATTGCCGTTCAAGCTTAGACCCTTCCTTTTATTAACTGATAACATAACACATAATAAATATATTGAAATATATATTTCATTTTCTTTTTAAATTAAGAGCCTATATAATATAGCGCATAGGTAGGTAAAATAGTTTCTAAAGTTTTTCAATTATATAGTTGGAAAAAAAATTACATAGATAAATATTTACTATATGATAAATCAACCCATCTCCTTTTCAACTTATTTATGTATGTCAGATATATTCACTACTAAATATCGACATCGGTTATTTTTCATGATATAAGTATCGGCAGATAGTCATTTATTTATAATAAATCGTAACTAGTTTATTTTTATATTTTTTTATATTATAGAAAATATAATTTTGTTTTTTTCTCCCAATATTTGACTTTTTCTAAAATGTGTTCATTTTTTATTCGTTCTATTCTAAGAAATTAAACATTTATTATAATAAACATTTCAAAAAAATAATAAACTAATCAAAATCTAAAAAGAAAATATAAAAAGTAAAAATCTCAAATTCAGTTTTGTTTTATTTCTGTAATTATTGGTCCGATCATATCATGATTTCCTGACTATTGATATTGTTAATACTATTTTCTACGATATCGCAAATATCATTATTAGAGGGATAATTACTATTTATTTCTACAATAAGAGAGGTGAAATAATGGCAATGCCATCATTTTTTACTACAAAGATCTGGGTTGAAAATATTTCAATGACTTTTCTTTCGATAAAAAAATATATGACAACAGGGAAGCAATAAAGATTCTGTGTAACCATACATTGATCTTAATCTACAACCATTTGTTGTCCATCTATAATAAACAGATTAGTGTAATCTTTACATATATGATTTTTAATTAAATTTTTCAGATAATTTCAGTTCATTGTTTACTATTTTAAATGCACGGCTTGTTAGTAGTTTCGTATTTATCTTTCAGTCGAATCAGCTTTAAAATTTGTAGTAACCTATTATCCTATGATGATCATTTTCTTGATCATGTATGTGAACAAACCATTAAGTTTTATAGAACTATAAAAGTGAGAAATATTTCTTAATAACACTTTTGAGGATTCTACTCATCCCTTCGGTGCGATGATTCGTGTTGAAGATTTGTTATTTGGTTTCTTCCATGTCATCAAACATTTTTCTTATATTATCTGTTGAATGCCTGAAAAACATGAAAGAAGCATATCTCTAATGATGCCTCTGGGAATGCCTACTTGTAGGCATGTCTATCTGCAAAGTCTTTGTCAGATATAATACATCGAACTGTTGATGTTTGGTATTGTATCGTTTAAATATTTTGCATATTACCTTTACTGAGCAGAGATCTCTGATTTGATCACCATACCTACAAATCAAGTTTGTATATCACCATCTACAACACACATGGCGAATAAAACTAGTGAAGGTCAACGGTCGGGTCCTATCGGTTGAGGAACGTGGTCCGGACCGGTCTTTTTATTTTTTACGGTCCAGACCACGGTCCGGATCGGTCTTTTATTATTATTTAAGTTTGCTTTACTATTCAATTAATATAATTTTTTTGTATATTTTATTTTATATTTTTCTAGATGAGTTATTTTAGATTTTGTTAATTTTTATTTTACAATATGAAAACCATAAGTTCGTCCAAGAAACATTTTACTTATAGTCACAATAAAAAACATAGAGTAGGTGTTCACTGCAGTACCAAATTTAATGTATCGTCAGCAATATGTAACAAAATAATTGTTTATAATTTTTTAAGAAAAAAATTAATCAAAATAAGCAGTATTATTATTAAAATATATTGATTATTATTTAAATAGTTCTATTTTTTCTTAAGATGTCTGAATAATTCATTGTCAAAATAACTTAACCTTATTCTTAATAAAATAATTAGGTACCTTAAGCAGACATCTGATAAAACATAAAATATATACTTCTACTGATGAAAATGAAAATATCTCAAAAACACAATCTACTCTTAATTTTAATATGCCCTCTACAAGCACAAAATCACTTTCTTCAATACCATTGGATAATTTTATTGTTTATATAATACTCTTATATTTAATAAAATGATAAAACAAATTAAATTAGGTTAAAAAAATATGTTTTTTATTTTTTTATTTAGGACCATGGTCTGAATTGATCTTTTTCTTAAGGACCGTGGTCCGGTCCAGTCTTAGGGTATCGGTCCAGTCCGGACCGTGACCTTCACTAAATAAGACATAAGATACTTATTTAATGAATAAGCTGCATCCAGAAGTCAAAATATTGCCCATCTTAGGGGTTTGAAAGTAAAGAGCACGGAATTTTCCATCTTCCAGTAATATTTCTACTATATTTTGGTGGTTATCTTTTTTATCTTATAAACTAAGAAATCTAAATCATTTGAATTAAACGATAGGAAATGTTCCTTTTTATATTATATAAGTCACTTTTGGTAATTTTTCTATGGCATGGAGACATCAAATAACAAATCTTCAAATTTACATGAATAATCGTGGCGAAAGAATGAATAGAATCCTCAAAGGTGTTATTAAAAAAATTTTTCACTTTATAATTTCTATAACAACCTAATGGTTTGTTTTCACATGAATGATCAAGAAAATGATCCTCGTAGTATAATGGGTTTAAATAGACCCACAAATTTTAAAGTTGAATTAGATATTGCACTATGGATGAATAGTTATTTTGTATCCATTTTTATTATGTAATTTTTTTAGTCATCCTTTGCTTTTTTAATATTTTATTTTATTAACTTCAAAAATATCCACAAAAATAAGACATGTTTTTTTTTATTAGGTTTTCCACTTTTTATATAATTTCTTAAGTTTTTATGGTTATAAATGATAGGGTAGTGACCATAAGATTGTTTTGAATTCGGGGGAAAAATAGGAAACTCTACATGCAAAATCGTTTCTAAATTTTTTTAAATTTAAATAGTAAAAAAAAAATTCCTAGAGATTAATATTTATTCGCTTTTTCAGCTAAAGATGAAATTTTTTTAATTCCGGTTTTGCAGTTCGGTTTGAAACCCTAGGTGCATCTCTAATTTAAAACTAAAAGTTAAATTTGCTATATAATTTTTTAAGATAAACATCCACCACAAAACATCATTACTCTTTTATGATTTTTGTAAAAATAAAATTGTAAATATCTTTTTAATTATTGATAATAAACCTTTTTTTTTAATTCTAAAATGCCAGTCATTAAATAACCATATTTCTGAAATAAAGGATTAACATTTTTTCTCCCTCTACTTAAAACATTTAGATAAAATCTAGCCCCAACGATCCAACTTAAAAAGTTGTTTTTTTAAACAAGATATTAAAACAAAAAATTGACTGTACTTTTTAAATTTTCCGGGTCAGCCACAAAAGCCTTGGACACATCTAAGAACATTTCGTCTAATGAATTTAAATTTTATATATATTTGCAAAAAGTAACATTAAATTTTAAAATAAACCATAAGTGAGTACCTGGAAATTTTGCTCATAAAAGTCAAAAAGGTTTGGGCACCTATTTAAGAAATCTCGACTTGCGTAATATAAATCGAGCTATTCAACAACCCTAATTAACAGTTCATCAGACATTCAATATATAGAAGTTTCATTATAATAAAGTTGTCATCATGATCACATAAACAGGTGACCATTTAAGTAAGTCTCATCATACTGTGAACACTTTGACTGATTTTATAAAAACATCCTTTTAATCCATTTCCCTCCTTCATTCCACCCCCCCCCCCCTTCTTTTATTTTTTTAAATTTTATTTATATCTTGATAGCTAGCCTGTCCACCCAATTAATATTATATTTTGTTTATTAGTACGCCAATTTTAGAGTAAAACATGACAAACCCGCTAGCCGTAGCATCGTTAAATATAGGCCCTTCCTACCTATTCAATTTATTATTAAATCCTGATTTCAAAATTATAAAATTTATTAAAAAAGGGGTTTCAAAAAAAAAAATAGATAAATATTCTTAAATTTTTGGAGTCATCAATGAATATTTAAATTTAATGCACAAACATAACATTATAAATATTTTGAGTTTTAAATTTATTTTTTCCTAATTTCCATTAAACTTTTACCACCTAGCTTCGGCGGGCTTTGTCCAAACTGTTAGCTTCTATTAATTTACTGTTAGATATCTAAATTCTACTTATAGTTGTAAAAATTGGAACAGTGATTGAAAAATTAAATTACGAATTTTTCCTTATATAAAATTTTTTCAAGAGAATTTGTCATTTAATCAAGACTCAGTAGGTAAAAATAAAAATCGGAGATATTCTCAAAGCGAGAAGAAAAAATTTACTCTGGCAACTAATTAAACCAAAATATTTTAGTCTTATCTCTTACAATCTCATTCTCCTTTATTTATATTGTAAAACGGCCTGATTTGGGTCGATTAATAAAAACGACCCAATTAAAATTTTAGCCAAAATAACAATATGTAAGTCTGGAGATTTTGTATTTATCTATATTATATATATATTTTTATAAATTAGAAAAAAATTATGACTTTCTTCATTCCTTTATCACCTAAATTATTGTTTAAATAAAATAATTCGCACCAACCTATGCTGTCCCCATCTTTGCTTGATGTTTCATAATATTGAGCAGCATTCTCTATTAAATTTATAAAATATAAATAAACATTATTATTAAATGAATAAAAATAAATTATTTTGGCCTAAACCAAATTATGTGAATATTTATTCATAGATGCAGCTATATCACTTTTATTTCGCTTATATTTAAAAAAAAGATGTTTAATGTTTAAAATGCACAAGAAAGATTAATAATATTATATGGGATCGGTATCGTCGTATGCCCCTCCCCCAAGTCGGTTCCTAGATACATATTTCTAATTACTTCATACATTTTTCAGATAAATATTTAAACGTGATTTAAATATTTATATTAAGTTAGTTTTCGATATTATTTTTAAAATTGGAAACTATCAAGGTTCTTGTTTATCTTTATTTCACAGATTCAGATAGGAGTCAAATGGACAAATAATAAAAATATTTATCAAATTCTATTATGATACGAAGTAAAAAAATGAAAATGATAAATTTTTTTCAATCTGAAAAAATTAATCTAATTTAATAGTAGTGATCAGTAGTTTTGGTAAAAATGAAAAGTATCAGTGTCGACTCCTACATGGTGAGTATCTGTGCAACCCAATCTTTAACAAAGGTTTCAAGATAAAAATAAAATGGGATATTGTTTGATAATTAACTAAATAATGTTTTAAAAATTAACATTGCTAAAATATCTAGTCAAGACTATTGTTATCCAGCGTTGGTATCTAATTAATCGGTTTATTTTCAATACAATTTTATTTTATGATTTTTATTTTTACCTTTTATGTATTTTAAGACATAAATTTTTATACAATGGAAGATGAGAATAATTTTTTTTTATACTATAAAAATATGACCTGGATGATTAATATTAATATTATAAACAAATAAGTAATCAGTATAACTGAGAAAGATCAATCAATAAATTTTTAAAGGATAAGACAATCAATTCATATGGAAAAAGGTCATAGAATTTTTTTCTATTATGAGTAAAGGAAATGTTAAGCTGGTGATTGAAGGCAAAAGAGCAGGAGATAAGTAAGAAATGGATAGTTGGCAACGTGATTATGAGTAAAAAGTTAAAATATCAATTCAATGCCCTTGGATTCAGAAATGCATAAAAGATATAGCAGTGAGAAAGGATCCTGAAAATAGCAACCATGATATTAATCTGTAGAATATGTATGAAAGATATAGGGTGGATAAGATATGGCTGAACGGAGATTGAGTGACTCCGCTCCAGTTTCAAGGGCATTGTGATGTTACGAGATATGCCATCTATCCTTATAAATAAAAACGTCTCTTTAACGTTGAAGGGAAAAGTTTATGTGAGCTATGGAGGAATTGTGAAAAAATATTGGAATAGAAGCAAATGGAGTAGTTATAGGCGGAGGTGGTTCGGGCATGTTTAACGAAAGAAAATAGGGTGATGAAATGTAACTTTATGGAAATAATGAAATCAAGTTCACAAGAAGACCCAAGATATAGATTAACGTATGACACGATAATGCGTCTTTAAAATGGCTATATGGCAATGTAAAATAGAGGATGATCAGATAAAAAAACTGGACCCAATAAAATGATCAAGGTACCTCTAGGGAAAACCTATATTGTAAGCCTGACTTTTAAAAAATTTTTTAAAAGAATTAAAGGTAAATCACAGTATTCTTATTGCAATATATTATTTATAATTAAACTTAAGAGAAAACATATGACAATGACTAAATCTAAATAAAAGAAAGCAAATAATTCATTTTGTTATCGAAAGAGTTGTACGGTTTTCATAGTTGAAAATCGTTCCTTTATAATGATTATGACGATTAAATCAATACTATCACAAAAATTTAATTCGCTAATACACATAGGTAGAATTTCCTAACGATGAGAAGAAGTTTAAAAAAAAATGATATGATGCAACTAAATTTGAGATTAGCAATAGATCCCCAATTTTGACATTATTATGACCATTTTACATGATTTCTATAATAAATATAAATATATCGTAAAATAAATTCATTTGTACCTAGATATATTTTTAAGAGTACATTTGTATCTATTACCTTAATGACGATATCGATATCCAGATATTTATGAACACTTATTTTTAGCAATTCTGTTTTATTAAGCACCAAAATGTATTTTACCATCTGCAAGCTCCAAGGCATCGTAATAATCAACCCTTCTGTTAGTTTTGTCTTGCTTTATCAAATCCTTTTTAGTTCCGCAGAGGTATATCTTGCATTTCTAACAAAAACAAGTGAAAGTATTAACAATTGATAGTAATAAATTTTATCATATTCCATTTATTCAAAAGAGAGTATAATGATTATAGATGGTATTGTTATAGATAATAGAAAAAACTTAAATAGTATAAAAAGTATTTACTCAATATCTGATGTAATATATCTTACTCATTCATAATAATAAAAAATAATTTTATATTATGCATAACAAATAAATGATAGTTTAGGCAAATTTTCAAAAAATGTACTTAACTATAAATATAGGTACCTTTAAAAAAAATTATTTGAATATAACTACATATACATTTTAAGAAAGATATATTTTAAAAATATATATCTATTAAAAAAAATTTGAAAAAGTATTTAAATACAAATACATACTTTTTGGAAACTCATTTTATTTTTTAAAAGAGTTTAACAGAAAATTAAAATATAATGTATATAAAAAATACATTCGCATTAGGTAAAATAAAATCACGTCGGAAGAAATCTATATTTTTGAGGTAGGAGAGGGTCATTTTATTTTTATCAATTTAAAAAAATATGATGGGGATTTCCGGGGAATTACCATTCGCGATTGAGTGAGAACACTCATATATTGAAATAAAATAAGAATTCTAACAGCTAATTAAGATCCTAATTTATTATAAAATTTACTAAATCATCTGATGATGATATTATATTTACTAATGTATTTCATACATATTTGCTATGCCAGATCCCCCTAACTGAATAAACTTGACTAATAAAAAAAGGTAAAATTAATACATTTATTTTTATAAGATTTATAGATAATTATTACATTTAAGATGTAGTATAAAATTGAAGGAGGCGTTTCGCTTATTTTATTATTAATTGAACATATATTATTGCTTCTAATGTTGGAATATATATTTAAAATAAAATATAGTATTTATTTGAAATCTTAATAAATATTATCTATATTTTTGTATTTAAATAAATACTATCTAAATTATCAAATAATTATATAATTCAAAAATATTGCATTTAGTATTTCAAATATGGCCGCAATACTGCCTAACCTTGGCTAGGGATACTAATAAATTTTACTAAAATATGTAGAACCAATGATGTATAATTATACTACTAGATTGGTGATTCGTTAACTAAAAGTGTCCATAAATAGGAGTCAGCTATAAAACCATATTGTGATTTGCTTATTTATAATTTTATGAATGCACATTAAAGTCATTTAATCGACGTGCAAACTACAAAATGGCGATACAGCTGACTCCTTGACATTTTTAAACATTTAATGACTGAATCGCTAATCTAGTGGTATATATCATTGAGTATTACGAACTGAGTTCTTATAATTAAATTCTATATTAAGCTAAAAAATAATATATTTAGAAAATGAAGGAAAAAATAAAATAATAGTAGATTGGGGACCGAGAGTTAGAGATCTACAAATCATAACCCGGCCCATACCCAGCCCAAACAGGTTTAGGGTTGAACGGATTTCGGGTCGGGCAGTCTATTTTTTAAAAACAATTCCGGTTCGGACTGAATCTGGCCTAATATTTTTTTAAAAAAGTTAAAAGTTCAGGCCGGGTTGGGCTTACTTTAAATATATTAATACATTTTATCAAATAAATTAATATATTTTAAAATTCTTGCAAGAAACAAGGCGCTAATATTTTTTATTTATATAATATTTTTTTTACAAAAAAAAATATTAAACTTTTCTATATTTAAATAAATTCGGGCCGGGCTGGGAGGACAGATAATTTCTGGTCGGGCTTTTCAAGACAAATAAAAAATGTTGCTCGGGATAGGGCCGCTTGAAAAATTAGGCCCAATGCAGGTCAATAACGAGAGTGGACCCGAACCGCTGAACCAGAATGAACTTTTTAAAATTTTCCGAAGAACCTTTATACCAAATCGCTAAAAGGAGCGAACAAACTTATATAATTTTTTCGAACCAGTTTAAAACCGTTTTATTTATAATTGTAAAATTATATTTTACCCAGATAGTTTTTATTATTTTTGTAATGGTAATTTTTAAAATTTCGCGGCTTGTATAATATCTTTTCCACGTTCATTTTAATTCATCAATATCAAGGAACTTCTTAACAAGACGGGGCAAAATATTCAATAAAAGGGGGAACTGAAAAAAATGAGAGTCTAAATCAAATAAATTTTTATGAAGAATTTAAAATTTTTTTTACTCTCAAAGGCAAATTATTTGTGATTTCATCTGAAAAGGTTTTTATGCCTGAAAATTACAAAAGATCTTTTTACAAAAAATATTTGGCCTTTTTAGGTAAAATTTGATCAAAAATCTATCTTCTTTAAAAACTTGATTTAATCAAACTGTTTCTATGTGACCATGAACTTGAAATAACTATAAGGTGATCATAGGTTCCGAATTGTTTCGGATAATAAAGTTAAGGAAGGTCCCGAAGGATACTTCTTTGATGGCCTATAGACTAAAAAAATTGAATATCTTGAGTTATTTCCACTACCTACAATAGTGCTAGCACTTCCTACAACTCCAAAATACCAGTGTTTGCATAAAGGAGAAATAGTTTATAGATTGCTGAGACTTACCCCCTTAACCTCCAAATGCTTTTTACTGCCACTAGACCTGCCATCCCTCTTTAAGTTGCGCCGCCCCGCTAAAGGAACTTCTGTCTAGTGCGACAAAATATCCCATATCCGATAAAAATAAAAAATCTAAATTTTTAATATAATTTAAATGAGAAATTTAAAAACTATCGACATTATAATAAAAAATATTACTAATTCTGGATTCTTAGAAAAGTTGCCTGCATATCATTCAGATGATACGAGTGTTCGCTTTTGTAAAATCAAAGCATAATGGCGGATTAAATGAATGCATTAATTCTTCTAATAAAATGCATTTGCCTCATGCTGCATATTGAAGTTAAAAATGTCTAAATATTTTGCCGTTTTATAAAGAATTAATAATAAAGTGATACAAAAATATTCAACATATTTATAAATAATTTCAATAGATTTCAAATAATTAATATAGGTTAAATAATTTCAATAAGTCAACAAATACCGTAAAGGAGTTCAAAAATATATATATCAATGGACAAATTTGTAGAGCGTGTAGCTCACTACGAGAGTACTTTCAGTTGTTCATGCAGTTAAAAAATTTTTAAATTTGAGCCATTGAAAACTTATCTTTTTCATTAAAACTTCTGCTAAGAATTAAAATCATTTTTTGAAGAGGAATTAGCATAAGTATCTCACAATTTAAAAAAACTTAATATGAAGTGATAATAAATTTGTTTTCAGTAATGGAAGATATGGTGAACTTAAGGGCTCAAAATAGAAAAGATTTGTGGTACATAATAAAATCTTTTTTAAATAAGTTTTCTGATCTGACAGAGATAAGGTACTTTCAGTTGTTCATGCAGTTAAAAAATTTTTAAATTTGAGCCATTGAAAACTTATCTTTTTCATTAAAACTTCTGCTAAGAATTAAAATCATTTTTTGAAGAGGAATTAGCATAAGTATCTCACAATTTAAAAAAACTTAATATGAAGTGATAATAAATTTGTTTTCAGTAATGGAAGATATGGTGAACTTAAGGGCTCAAAATAGAAAAGATTTGTGGTACATAATAAAATCTTTTTTAAATAAGTTTTCTGATCTGACAGAGATAAGGTTGAAGAAGCACATACAAAAATAGCCTAATATTATGTCCAAACTATTTTATATAATATATTGAAAAAGATACCACTTTAATGACAACAAATGTAAATGCCTCAATAGGTCAAAAATAAAGATTTAATCAATTAAAAATTGTATAAATTTTTTGAATTTAAATCTAAGTTTCAAACCTATGTAAACTGTGAAAGCCTTTTAGCGAAATGATACATTGTGAAGGGAAAATATATCTTACGATATATTTTAAGTTGAATTAATGGTCAAACATATTTGAATATGAATGGCCTAAATCTCAAGGTACCAAAGAAAAAACAATTTAAATAAAACATAAATATAAAATGTTTTTCAAAAATATGATTAATATTGAAATAAAGATTGATAAAACTGTAATTTATGCTTAGAAATTAAATAAAGGACATTAAATTTCGAATTTGCAAAAAAATCATATAAATGCGTTTTATAATATGAGATATTTGTATTGATTTTTAAAAATTTTTATGATAGAAAATCTGCAAATTAACTTGTAGAATATGGCAGGTTTACTGTCTGCCACCTTGGCAGCCTAAGACTCTCAGAGATATATGGAAGCAATGGCTTATACCCCCTTCCCTCTTTATGTAGACACTGTCAGTTTCAGATAAAAAGGTCTTGGGTTAAAATAAATTTTATTTTCACAGCATAAATATAAAAAGTGGACTTTTGGAATACACATTAGAGCCCTGCAAATTAAAATTTTTGCAGCCTAAGTTCAATCCAAGTTTATAAGCCTGGACCATAGATTTCTTTAAAATATTAGATTATAATGTGAACACATAATACTTATGTGTTTAATAATATTTTTACTGAAGATTCTTAAATATTTATTATATTTTGTTATAGTGTATTAGAATTGTTGCAAAGTAAAAAATAATGATTCTCACATTATATTATATGTCAAAAACAGTGTTGCTAAGTAGCATGTTTATTTTTTCAGTAGCGGTAGATCTAGTGCGCTACTTTAAAAAAAAATAGCGATAGTGGTAGCTTGCTACTAATTAAAAGTAGTTCAATTTTATATGATAAATACACATAAAAATTATCTTAATTTTTATTTTATTTAATTTTGAAATTTATCTAAAATATGCATTATAAACTAGTTTTCAAAATAATTAAGAATTTAAATGCCGACAATAAAGATTGATATTGAAGATAATTTTTGTACAGATCATATTGACAAAAAAATTTTCCTAAAAAATATTGATAATATGGAATTTACTCTTCCTAATTAATCTTAATTCAATCTAATAAATTAACACAAGGTAAGTAGTATATAAAACAAATTTAAAACCAGTGTGTAGCCCATTCCTTAAAATAAATTTGAATCAAAGCTGTATCTATAATTAATGAATTTATGTGAAAGTTGATTTTCTGACCCAGCCCAAACATGGTATGTTTCAAATGGCCATAAGATATTATTTAAGAATTATATTATAAATTAAAAATTGCACTAAATAATTAATATTAACATTAGTGATATCCATCGAGCCTAATTTTTCAAGCCCACACCCAAATCTTTTTAAAGAAATTTGTCCTGCCTGGCTCAATCCCGAAATAAATTTTTGTATTTGTCCCAAAAGGCCCACCTGAAATAAAATTATTAGTTTAAATGGCCAGGCCCAAATTTATGTAAATATAGGAAAAAAAATTTTTAATTGTAAGATATATTCTTCAAATAAAACATTTTAGTGCCTTGTTTCTTACAAGAATTTTAAAATATGCAAAAAATAATGATATCAAATTTAAAATTTTAACCCCAACCAGGTAAAAAATATTAGGCCCGACCCAGCCCCAACCAAAATTATTTTTTAAAAATAGACCAATCTAGGGTATAGGCCAAACCGTTATTTGTAGATCTCTAATTAACATCTCATGTTATCATCAGACTCATCTATTTAATGATAATATTTTATAAATTATTATCTGGATGTTAAACTAGATATCTGCAAATCACAACCCAATCCGTATCTAGCCTGAATGGGTTTGAGGCTGGGCCATGTCTATTTTTAAAATATAATTAAGATTCAGGCTGTCTGCCTAATATATTTTTCAATATTTTGGGCTAGGCTGGGTCAGGCTTAAATTTTTAAATATAATATCATTATATTTTATCAAATAAATTGATATATTTTAAAATTCTTGTAAGAAACAAGGTGGTATAATTTATTTATAAAAATTTTTTTATAAATAAATAAATTCGGGCCAGGTGGACAAATAATTTTTATTTTTATTTCGAGTTGTGCTTTTCGGGTCAAATAACAAAAAAAATGTTAAATTTAATACTGAATTGACCTCAAGTGCTAATGTTAAACAATTATTTATTATGGCAAAACTTATGCTTTTTGATCATCACTTTAGACTAGTGTTGTTAAACAGATCGTTTTGAGCCAATTTTTAAAAACAGCTAAATCAATTTTTTAAACAAAAAATAAGCATCAAGATTTCGCTAATTGATGTCTATACTTTTGTGCCATCTATGGGCTAAATCTTCAGGTTTGCATAATATTTTTGTAGATAAAATATTTAGTTAGCGTTTTAAAAAATCAGCTCAAATCAAGTCATTTAACAACACTACTATAGACGATGACAGTATACAAATATTATTATTGAAATTAAAAAATTATAAATAGATTTTATATATATTTGAAATTAAAAATATTTTTATATCTATATTTTTTTTATTGTGGAATTAGAGATAGGTAAGGAATATTTTTAAAAAATTTCTAATGTAGTAAAAATAATATCACGCTACTAATAGCAGCCACGATACTTTTAAAAGTAATTTTTACCAACACTGGTCAAAAAAATATTTAGAAAATGCTATTATTATTATATAAAATCAACAAATAATATCAAAGATAAGATGTAAGAACCTAATGATCACATATTTTTTAAGTTTCAGTTTTTTTGGTTAGACCCAGTTATCTGATTCTAATATCTTATTCCAATCTCTGATTAAAATATTAGTAAAATTTAAAATATACTTCTTCACATTGTTTAATCTCATTTATCCAAAAAGCTGCTTTTTCAAAAGTGGATGCATTGGTCAGATCAAAACATATTATAGCTGCAAAAGCTCCCCTATAATATATTCTGCTCATTGAATCATATCTCTCACTGCCCGCAGTGTCCTGAAATTAATATAAATCTATACTTAGGTATTTATCCTTATATATTTTAAAATATTCATATTAATACTTTCATTTATATTGTTTTGAGAAAAAACATATATTACTTAAATGCACAATTAAATTTTATAACTTTAAATAATCTCATAAAATTTTGTTCCTAGTAAATTAATTATAATATATTTTATATACCCATATGCCTAAAGATATAGAATGTCCATCAATAACCATCCTTTTTGCTCCAAATGCTGTGCCTATTGTCTAGATAATTAAAAAATACTCATTATTATATCACGAAAAATGTTTTTAACAAATACTTACACTTTGATAAGACGCAGCATCACAAAATCTTTCATATAAATATTTTTCAACTAAACTTGTTTTGCCAGTATTTTCTTTGCCTAATACGACTACCTTGAATTCAATAAATGTAGTAGAAAAGCTTTTTAAGAGCTGAGTGTTTATCAGCATTTTATGATGGTAAAGGATAAATATTATTACATCATATATTTTATATTTCAAGCCATTTCAATTATGTGATGCGTGAAAGCGCCGATAAAAGAAAAATTTCTTTAAATATTTATTGAAAAAATACTGATATTTAGCGTCGGACGTTTATGATTTTCATGTTTTTTCTAAAATTTAATATTCAATATATAAGTAGTTCTTGTCAGCAGCGTCACTGAGAGGGGGGCAGGGACTCAAGCCCTCTAAAAATTTGAAGAGCTCCCTCAAAATTTTGAAATAATTTTTATACCCATATGTCATTGCCCAGCGTTTACATGACAAGATTTTCACAGAATGCAAACCCCCTTCAAAAACCCTTGCCTACACCCATAAAAAATACCACCGCCTTCGGCGGCGGTGTTTTCCTATTATTATTTTTACCCTTTTAATTTATTTATACTCTTTTCAGAGAATTTAGAAAGAATAACTTAAATTAATCCATCTCTACTACCAACTATCGATATTTTGTGAATATAAAGAATTTATTTTTTAGATAATATTATTTACAATGAATTAATTATTATGGCATTATGAGCTTGCTGAAATATCTAAACCTTTTAAATTACATTTAAACAGATAGTAGAAAGTTTTATTTGAAAAACAATGTGTATGATTGTTTGCAATATATAAATTTGGTCGATGAATTATATTACTATTACAGCATTAATTTTGTCCTATTTCATCTCAAAATTTAATAGATAACCCCCCAAAAGATTTATCCTACTCCCATTAAAGCAGCTTACCCCCCCCCCTCTCGAAAAAATATGATGCAAATTGTTCCTACCCCTCCCGCTCATGTAGACGCTGCATTGACCCAATGTAATCTTGATAATGGCTAAAAAAAGCAATGACATATAAATGTCATTGAAAAAAAGATAATTAGCTAAAAAATAAAAAAGTAATTGATAATGTAACTAAAAAAGAAAAGGTATTTATACTATTGTTAAATAAAAAAATATTTTTTTTGCATGGCAGCTGTTTTCCAGAATGTAATAAACTTAAACCTAGGCTTAACATTCCGTCCTAATTTTTTTTATTCCTAATCTATTTTTGTTAAATCCACTCTTTTTTTAGGGGGCTGATGATGCCGTGGCCAATTTTATGCATAAGCCAAATTTTTGTGGGGTGGGGGTATGACTTTGTTTCCATGCCTCACATACCTCTATGTTATCTACTTTTAGCTCGGAGAGTTGTTGGTTCTACAAACCTAAACTCTTGCCAATAAATCGTTATATAAGACAGGTCTTCCTAAACTCTTGCCAATAAATCGTTATGTAATAACTGCCAGGTCAAAATTTTCAAATTGAGGTAGAAATTTGGTATTATGCGGGAGAAATATAAAAATTGCGGTAGAAATCTAAAAATTGCTAAAAAAATTTTTTTGCGGGCGCCTATTATTTTTTATTTAGTTTATATAAATACAAAGTCGGTAACTATTTTTCAAAATATAATTTATAAAAAAAATCCAACAATCTTTTTTAAATATAAAAGAATGTAAACAAGATAAAATTTTATAAAAAAAACGATTTTAATTTTACAATTAAAAATATATTTTATGCGAATGTCCCACAAAACGACCGCAATTGGAAATCTACAGTGTGTGTGTATAACATTATAGGGAGGCGCTTAATTATCACGTATCACGTTTAAATACATAATAAGTTACTCCAAAAATAAGAAATACAGATGAAACTACAGTTGCGGCAATAGTAATCACTTATCTTGTAGTACAACATTCACAGAGATACTTATCATCACAATGTTGGTAGAATAATTTCCCCATAATATTTAACGACTCTAATATAAGTGAAAACTATACTTGTAGAACAAAAATGAGCAAGGCTATAATCAATGTTTTAGGATCTAAATCCAGGAGGTCAATTCTTGACGATTTGAAAAATGGCCATACATATGCAATTCTAACAGATGCATCTAAAAGGAAAATGTTCCTCAGCTATTTTATCAAAATTAAAGTCGTTTTAATAAAACTATTAAATTTTTTCCCCTCAAATAGCGAAAAATCCAAAGACATAGCTAACCATATAATGGTAAATATGGCAGATTCGAGATTATCATAAATTGCATGTCAGCTTTCTGATCTGATAATGCCTCAGTGAATTTGGTAAAAACAGAGTGATACAGAATTGAGTCAGCACAATGTTGGTTGCGATATGTTATAATACCCGCCATCGGAATTTTAAAATAACCCTTAAAAAAATATTTCTTAGATAAAGATTATAAAAGCTGTCCTTATATTTTGAAAATTTTTTTAAATATTGAATGGCAGATGTATATTTAGAAATGATTTCACATGTAGGAAGTCTACTACATGCTGTTAATGTCTAGTTGCAATCAGAAGAATCTTAACAAAGATTTATAAAATTATGCTGCAGATGTGTTCATCTTTACAGTTCAAAATTAACAATAAATTTTATGGCGCCATTGCTAAAACTTAATTATATTTTATTTGAGATTTAAATAATAGAACTAAATGTTTACCGTCGTTATTTATATATTTATAAAATACCTGGCATGACATATTATATATTTGTTTAACCATTAGCTCGGCCTCTAATGTTGTTAAAGCAATCCGATTTCCCTCCTTTTCCAGGCAGTCCTCATCAGGCTAAATATGCGCTCGGATGAAGCCTTAGAATGCTGTAAGGAGAAGACATACTCGCATATTTTTTCCAAGCATGGGGATTTATCGTTATTACGAAAAAATTCTACCCATTTCTCCTCTGCTAGACCATATAACTTTAAGTATTTTGGCGAATCATAAAAAATAGAGAGAATTACAATCTCCTCAAACAAGAAATCAATGTCTTTCGGTATTTTTATTATATTTATTAATTATAAAAACCATCAATTGATGATTTCTGTTACAAGGTCATAATATTTATACATTTGTAAATAGAGTTATTAAAATCAAATTTTGATTGTAAATATTCTAAAATTTTCTTAATAAAAATATCTGCTTCAATTAAAAATGTATTAATTAGAGTATTATTTGAACATTTTAATATAATATTTTTAGCAATAGCGCCATAAAATTTATTATCAATTTTTAACTGTAGAGATTAACAGAGCTGTAGCATGATTTTATGAATCTTTTTTATAAAGAATATTCTGATTGCAACTGAATATTAACTGCATGAAGTAGATTTCCTACATGTGAAACGAATCCCAAATATGCCTCTGCCATTTCATACTCGAAAAAATTTTTCAAAATTTTAGGGCAGCTTTTAAAATCTTTATTTAAGAAAAGTATTTTTTTTAAGGGTTTGTAAAATTTTAAATTCTATCGATGGCAGGTATTAATGACAACCATCTGATAGGTATATATCGCAACAACTCACACCATTCCAAGGACCACTTCACCAACTCTTTTAATTCCTTAACTCTTTTAGTTGATGACTAAATTCGTTAAAACATTTCATCACAATTATAACGACATCCACAGATAGTACATTTAATGCCTTCTTGCAAGAATTATGTAGTATATGGCATATACAGCCAATTGATATTAATTCATTATTGTGCTGCCTCAATTCGGTAACTTTGGTTTTTGCCAAAATTTACAAAGGCATTATCAGCGCAGAAAGCTGACATGCAAATCATAACCCTGAATCAGCTATATTTACCATTATGTGGCTAGCTACATCGTTGGATTTTTCACTATCCGTCAGCGTCTACATGAGCTGTAGGGGTAGGAACAGTTTGCATCCTACTTTTTGAGGGGTATAGGGGGTAGGTGGCTTTAATACGGGTAGGATAAATTTTTGGGGGGTTATCTATTGAATTTTGAGATGAAATAGGGCACAATTTGTTGCTGTAAAAATTAATACTTTTATTATAGAAATATTATAATACAATTCATCGACCAAATCTATATATTGCAAACAATCATACACATTGTTTTCCAAATAAAACTATCTAGGGGGTAGGCAAAGGTTTTTGAAGGGGGTTTGCATCCAGTGAAAATCCTGTCATGTAGACACTGCTATCCGTGGAAAAATTTTAACAGTTTTATGGAAATGTTCTTATTCTTGTTGAAATAGCGAAGGATCTAGGGAAATGTTGTAATATATCCCTTATTAGATGCATCTGTTAGAAATAAATATGGATGCCCATCTTTCAAATCGTCTAGAATTGACCTCTAGGATTCAGGTACTAAAACACTTGTGATAGCCTTGCCCATTTTTGTTCTGCCACAAGTAAGGTTTGCACTTATATTGGAGTCGTTAAATATCATGAGAAAAAGATTCGACCGATATTGTGATGATATAGCTCTGTGAATGTTGAACTACATGATAGATGTATACGATTTCCGCAAATGTAGTTGCATCTGTTTTATTTATTATTTGAGAATATTTTTGTATTGCTCGATGTTGATATACACCCCTGTACTGACTTATATGAATGAAATGATGTTGATTTATTATTGGATAAAAATAAAACAGGATAGAAAGAAATTTACAAACTAGACATATTTTTCAAATAAATATTTAAAATTATTTTAAAAATATAAAAATCATCAATTAATGTCTCTCAAAATTATTATTTATATATTAAAAATGTTAAAATACTAAAAAAAGGTAGAAATTTAAAAACAGCGGTAGATTTTTGCGGGAGATTTCCAATTTCGGTAGTTTTGCGGGAGAGAGATGTCTGCGTGTAAACTAAAAAATTGCGGGAGTCTCCCGCTGATGGGAGAGACATGGCAACCCTGGGATAGAGTAGTGTTGTTAAACGGCTCGTTTTGAGCCGATTTTTAAAAACGGCTAACTCAATATTTTCAGCAGAAAAATATTGCCTAAGCCTCAAGATTTTGCTAATAGAAGTCCAAACCTTTGTTCCTTCTACATACAAAATCTTCAGGCTTGCGTAATATTATTCTAGATGAAATATTGTGTTAGCCGTTTTTAAAAATAGGCTCAAAACGAGCCGTTTAAAAACACTAAGTAGAGTATCCATTTTTTTTTATCTATTTCGGTAGTTTTATATTTAAAAATGGGCAACTCAATTTTTTATCCACAAAATATTACGCAAGCCTGA